CAGCGCCGAGGAGCTCTTCGATATGCTGACCAAGGAGACGCCCGATTCGTTCTATGTGGGCAAATGTGTTACGGCCATGGTCACGGGCTTCACATATCGCCGGCCGCAGGGCGAGCAGCTGGACAATGCGAATCCGGTGCGCATCGATGATTCGGATAGCTGGCAGTGTCCGTTCTGTCATAAGGATGATTTTCCGGAACTGTCCGATGTTTGGAATCATTTCGATGACAACAATTGTCCGGGTCAGGCGTCCGGTGTGCGTGTCCGGCTCGAGAATGGTTTGCCCGGCTTTATACACATCAAGAATCTGTCCGATAAACAGGTACGCAATCCGGAGGAGCGTGTCCGTGTCTCCCAGATGATACATGTGCGCATCATTAAGATCGATATCGATCGCTTCTCCGTCGACTGCAGCTCCAAGTCGGCCGACCTTAAGGACGTGAACAACGAATGGCGACCGAGACGCGATGCCTTCTATGATTTTGTCACCGAGGAGCTGGACAATCGCAAGGTGACAGATGCCAAGGCGAAGGCCATGAAACGCAAGACATATGCACGACGCGTTATTGCCCATCCGAGTTTCTTTAACAAATCGTATGCGGAGGTAATTGCCATGCTGGCCGAGGCGGATCAGGGCGAGGTGGCGCTGCGTCCCAGCAGCAAGTCCAAGGATCATTTGACGGCCACCTGGAAAGTGACCGATGACATTTTCCAGCACATCGATGTGCGCGAGGAGGGCAAAGAGAATGAGTACAGTCTGGGTCGCAGTCTATGGATTGGCACCGAGGAGTTCGAGGATCTTGACGAGATCATTGCGCGACACATCAATCCCATGGCACTGGCGGCACGCGAACTGCTTCAATACAAATACTATAAGCCCAATACGGCGCCGGCGAATGTCAATGAGCGCGACTTCATGGAGCAGCTGTTGCGCGACGAGAAGGCCCGTGACCCAAAGAAGATACACTACTTTTTTACCGCCTCGAAGAGCATGCCCGGCAAATTTCTGCTCTCGTACCTGCCCAAGACAAAGGTGCGCCACGAGTATGTTACCGTTATGCCCGAGGGCTATCGGTTTCGTGGCCAAATCTTTGATACAGTCAGCAGTCTATTGCGCTGGTTCAAGGAGCACTGGCTCGATCCGACTGCTGGCATGTCCAGCATGTCAGCCAGTGCCACGCCCGCCAGCAATACGCCCACAAGCATGATGCGACCACCGCCCACATCTTCACTTAGCTCCTTAGGTGGAGCAGCTGGCATTGGCGCATTCAGCAGCTCCGGCAGCATCTCGGGCGGCACGCCGCGCAGCGGCATCAGCAGCAGCGATATGCGCACCTCGAGCGCCTACTCCGTAACGCATTCCATTGGCGGCGGCGGCGCCGCCGCCGGCATGCCCATTAATGCCGCCGGAATCGGGCATTACGGCAGCGGCAGCACGCCAACATTTGGGGCGCACATCAATACGCCGTATACGCCCAGCGGCCAGACACCGTTCATGACGCCATATACGCCGCACGCAACACAAACGCCACGCTATGGCCACAATGTGCCCAGCCCCAGTTCACAGTCGAGCAGCAGCCGGGGGCATCATTACGGCGGCACGCCACGCTTCTATGACATGGCCGGAGGCGGCAATGCCTATAACAGCGCCAGCCTCTATCAGCAGCCACATCCGCACCAGCATCATGCGCATCCACATGCACATCCACATCATCACCAGCAGCAGCAGCAGCAGCAACAGCAGCAGCAGCAGCAACAGCATCTGCAGCAACGTGCCAAAGAGAACCTCGACTGGCAGCTGGCCAATGATTCCTGGGCGCGTCGCAAGCCCCAACATCAAACCCAGCAACAACAACAACAACAACATCATGCACAGCAACAACAAGGACAACAACTGGGCCTGGCCATGAGCCTGGGCCTAAGCTTGCCCAGCGCTGGCTATGGCGGCGCCGGCTCCACGCCCACAAATGAATATCATACGAGCAGCGCCAGTCGTGCTGGCATCGCCTTGGGCACGGGCAGCGGCGGCGGCGTCGGCGTCTCCTCCTCATCCAAGTCGTCGGTGCGCAGCACGCCGCGCACAAACACATCGCCGCACTCCATGAACCTGGGCGACTCGACGCCCCTCTACGATGAGAATTAGGACTCGCATGTGCGTGTGCGTGTGTGTGTGTGTGTGCGCGTGTGTGTGTGTGCATTGATCTGGATTTAATTATATATATATATATATATATACATAAGTAATAAGTATATTACTCTGTACACTCACAAGTTAAGCAAACGGAAACTCAACGCAAACCCTAAGCATTAAAAAGCATTAATAAAATAAATACACAACAAAAAGATTAATTCAAATTTCCATAACATTTGTCAGTTATGTGCAACATAACATTCTCATTTCATGTTAACAATTTACATTTTAAATTAACATAACATTCTCCCTGCATGTTAACATTTGCCCTTTAAATTAACGTAACATTCTCTTTGAATTTTAACATAACATTCTGCTTTCATGTTAACATAACATTTGCATTGTTACGCTTAACAGTCGATTGTGGCTTGCTAGCGTATCCTGCAAGAGAAATTCCCTCAAAAATTCCCTTTTAACAAATTGCCCAAATGGGCTTTTTTTGAATTAGAGGGAGATAGCTTATCAATATCTATGCAGCTGATGAATGTGAGAGCGGGACAGAGAATCAAAATTAATAACACATTTAATTTGCGTCCGTTTTATAAAAATTGTTCTATTTGCGAGTTTACAGGTTTTTAATATCAACGTTCTTTACAAAATTACAATATCAAAAAGACCGTTTTTTTTTTTTAACTATTTTTTGTTTGTTTAGCTTATCAAACGCATCGCACGGAATGAAGTTGAGTGGTTGCCGGTTCGAATCCTGTTGCACAACTAATTCTTGGCCGTTGCATACTTGAAGGCGTATATGAGGGCCACGCCCAGCAGAATGCCGCCCACGGCCAGTCCGATTTCCCGGCAACTGTTGCGACAAAAACAAAGCACATTATCATATATATAAAATATGCATATATAGACAACATAAAAGAAACAAGGGGTGTGGGGGAGGGGGGGGGGTAATTGTGTTCGAGTTGGATTAATGCAAGATGCAACATTGTTTGGGCGTGGCAGGCTCATAACTGGCGCTAGCATTCGCATTCGCATTGTCAGTGGCATCGGCATTGGCAGTGGGCGTGGCACTAATTAAACCAAAGAGAATATCAAAATAAAAACTGATCAGAGAGAGAGAGAGAGAGGGAGACAGTTGTCGTGCTTGCATGATGTGCTTCGTGTTGAGATGTCGAGCATTGATAAGATGCAGCTACTAATACATACATATACACACATACGCACATACGCACCTACACATACATGCATGTAAGAGAAGCCAGCTATGCTCAAAGCAAATGCTCTGCTATCTTCCAGACAGTGTTGGATTACGCTGAACACATTGGAAATGAAGACGGCGAAATAACATTTAGAAGCAGCCCGTATATGTTAACATCGCTTTAAGCACGCCGCTGTCCGTCTATTTTGCACTGTTATATCAAATTGAAACTCTCCCTTGCGCTGTTAGGCAGTCTAACAGAGTCGTGTCAGTTTGTCTGCACGAGCTCTGTAACATGAATGTTATCTACATGTATGTATATTGGTGCGTTTGTGTGTGTGTTATTGTGCATATTTAATTTCGATTTGACAATTTGTTATTAATTTACATGCTGAATTGAGTTGTTGATCAGCTTTTGTAGAATTTCACTTTGGTGCTGGTGAAGGATTTGAAGCTTGTAAATAGAATATACCCGATTAGCAAATCATAGCATGCAGAGTATACGAGAATTATGTTAGGTTAAGGACGAACTGTTAATTCAAATGGATTCAATTGGATTCTGTTGCTGATCGCGCTCTAATTGGAAAACCGGTTCCAGTTGCAGCTGACGCGGGCCATGCTGCCTTTTAATTCGATAATGATGTTGCTCATGATGATGTTCTTGATGATCATGCTGTTGCATGCACACACAATCATAATGATGCACATGCTCATATTACGCTCCGTTTGCCACAAAGCGGACGCCAATTTGTTCGATTGATTGTTGAAATGTTTCTGTTAATCGGCAAAACTCACCTGACGGCCGATTTCTTCTTCTTAATATCGCAGGCCGCCAAATTGCCAATAAGAAACTTCTTCATAATCTGACTGAAAGAGACAGCGTGAGAGAGTGAGAGAGAGAGAGACGTAGCGAGTGAGAGGGGGCGGAGAAATTGAACAGCTGCTTGAGAGCTTACCGCGCCTCCTGGCTGTGGCCCACATCGATGAACTCCTTGGTGCCATCACGTCCAGCCACAGATTTCAATGAATCCTCGCCGCCCGGATGCTGTAAGCATATTATTTCTAAATTCTTTGATTTTCGGCTCAATTTGCAACTCACCTCTTTCAGAAACTTGGTCAGATCGTAGACTTTGTCCTCGATTATAACCCACAAATCGTTGGGTTTGTTGTGCTTCTTCACCTCGGCCAAGCTGATTTCCTTGCTCATTCTGCACACTACGCAACACCAAATACACTACAAAATAACAAAAGAAATATATATCGAAATTTTTTCGGTGCAACAAGCTTGTGTGCGTGTGTGTAGTGTTTGTGAATTTAACTTCGAAAACAGCTGTTGTCAGTGATGACAGCACGTCAATATATCGATTATTGTGCCGACTGCTCAATATCGATTCTTTGCTTGAGTACATTCTGCTAGCTGAGCTATGTGACCGTTTGCGTGTTTGTTGTTGGTTAACAGAACTGCAGAAACTGCTTCATATGTTACACGCCTGTTAGAATGTATGTTATCATATCGCAACAATATGTTTGCAGTCTGTTGTTGCTAACATAACAGAATTTCCCCTTCTCACAACGACGAATTTTTTGAACACGGCCATCGCATACCCTGTAAAAATCGATTTACTTAAAAATCATCAAGAATTGTCGGCAATAATAAACAAATTTTGAACGCGCACAAAGAACTTTATTGAATATTTAAATATTTTGGAATTTTGAGCATAATTTACTGCCAATTAACATGAACTACAGGGAATACATTTATGTTGTCTATTTGAGTACATTTAGTTATTTGAAAGATTTATATATTGACTTCTTTTAATAGTGTTCAAATCTAGTAACCGCCACGCAGACGCAGAACCAAGTGCAAAGTGGACTCCTTCTGGATGTTGTAGTCGGACAAGGTACGTCCATCCTCCAGCTGCTTGCCGGCGAAGATCAAACGCTGCTGATCTGGGGGAATGCCCTCCTTGTCCTGGATCTTGGCCTTAACATTCTCAATGGTATCGGATGGCTCCACCTCCAAGGTGATGGTCTTGCCAGTCAAGGTCTTGACGAAGATCTGCATGCCACCACGCAGACGGAGCACCAAGTGCAAAGTGGACTCCTTCTGGATGTTGTAGTCGGACAAAGTACGTCCATCCTCCAGCTGCTTGCCGGCGAAGATCAAACGCTGCTGATCTGGGGGAATGCCCTCCTTGTCCTGGATCTTGGCCTTAACATTCTCAATGGTATCGGATGGCTCCACCTCCAAGGTGATGGTCTTGCCAGTCAAGGTCTTGACGAAGATCTGCATGCCACCACGCAGACGGAGAACCAGATGAAGGGTCGACTCCTTCTGGATGTTGTAGTCGGACAAAGTACGTCCATCCTCCAGCTGCTTGCCGGCGAAGATCAAACGCTGCTGATCTGGGGGAATGCCCTCCTTGTCCTGGATCTTGGCCTTAACATTCTCAATGGTATCGGATGGCTCCACCTCCAAGGTGATGGTCTTGCCAGTCAAGGTCTTGACGAAGATCTGCATGCCACCACGCAGACGGAGAACCAGATGAAGGGTCGACTCCTTCTGGATGTTGTAGTCGGACAAAGTACGTCCATCCTCCAGCTGCTTGCCGGCGAAGATCAAACGCTGCTGGTCTGGGGGGATGCCCTCCTTGTCCTGGATCTTGGCCTTAACATTCTCGATGGTATCGGATGGCTCCACCTCCAAGGTGATGGTCTTGCCAGTCAAGGTCTTGACGAAGATCTGCATGCCACCACGCAGACGGAGCACCAAGTGCAAAGTGGACTCCTTCTGGATGTTGTAGTCGGACAAGGTGCGTCCATCCTCCAACTGCTTGCCAGCGAAGATCAAACGCTGCTGATCTGGGGGAATACCCTCCTTGTCCTGGATCTTGGCCTTAACATTCTCAATGGTATCGGATGGCTCCACCTCCAAGGTGATGGTCTTGCCTGTCAAGGTCTTAACGAAGATCTGCATGCCACCACGCAGACGAAGAACCAAGTGAAGGGTCGACTCCTTCTGGATGTTGTAGTCGGACAAAGTACGTCCATCCTCCAGCTGCTTGCCGGCGAAGATCAAACGCTGCTGATCTGGGGGAATGCCCTCCTTGTCCTGGATCTTGGCCTTAACATTCTCAATGGTATCGGATGGCTCCACCTCCAAGGTGATGGTCTTGCCAGTCAAGGTCTTGACGAAGATCTGCATGCCACCACGCAGACGGAGAACCAGATGAAGGGTCGACTCCTTCTGGATGTTGTAGTCGGACAAAGTACGTCCATCCTCCAGCTGCTTGCCGGCGAAGATCAAACGCTGCTGATCTGGGGGAATGCCCTCCTTGTCCTGGATCTTGGCCTTAACATTCTCGATGGTATCGGATGGCTCCACCTCCAAGGTGATGGTCTTGCCAGTCAAGGTCTTGACGAAGATCTGCATATTTCCTGTTCCTAAGAAAATTTCAAAAACCAAAATGGAAATATGTATTTGTGTGTATTTAGGTATAAAGTGACAAATCGATTAAATGCCAAATATGAGGTCACACTGACGCATGCAACCCTGCACTATAAGAGCAAGAGCTGCTTTTTTTTTTCATTTTCTTTTGTTTGCTACCCTCAAAAGAAAGTGCGCAGCAAGTTTTTTTTTCTGCGTCGTGACCTAGTTTTGTAAAACGGAACAAACGCCTGCGCACACTAGAATAGTTAGCTGATAACATGTATAGACACAATTTTATGTATGCATAACTACCTTAACTTGCATTGAATTTCACAACTTCGCCAGTCACAATTAGTTTCAATAACCCCCACAGAGATGTATGTATGTATGCGTGCATGTGTGTATGTATATGTCAGCTGCACTTGTTCTTTGTTCGACGCCATTTTGAAGTGTGTAGACAATAAAATGGCGTTTACAAGTACGCAGTAGTTGAACGTGCATACGTACATACACACATACATATATGCATATGCATTTACAGAAAACTTACATTCAGCACAATAAATTCGCTGTACACATAAACGTATTCATGGCCAACCAATTTTATTTCGTTGCTTTTGCAAAAAGAAACAGCAAAGAAGACATATTTTCGACTCGTACTAATTTTCCTAGTATGCGTATGTGTGCGTGTGTATATTACATGCACAAATTTTCTTTGTCTCAAATGAAGTTATAATTTGTCAGTTGTGACTTGCAATTTATTGTAATTCCTATAACGTTTTATAAAAGCTATGTACATACCTTTTTATATTATCAAATTCACTATTATTTGAATCAAGTCTTGAATTGATTTTTTCTTTCACTTTGTTGTTGCACTAAATGCACTTAGACACGTCTGCTTTGGCTGAACACTGAAATACTTGTGTTTGAAACGTTGCCACTGCAAGAAAAATATAGTTCATAACAGAGTTTCGAATGAGAATGCGAATCGATTTTCTCAATTCTGTTAGTGACTTGTGATATCGAAAGAAGTGTTGCCAGCCGCGAAAATTAGTTCTGTTAGCTCGCTTGGTTCTGTTATGCGCTAACATTAGGCAATGTTCAAAATGCCGATATGTACAAATCGCATAATGTTAATAAAATATTAAAGAATTTTGTAATTGGGCATTTTGAGAATACATCAAAAACAACCTCATTAATATCTTGATATAATTGCGCTGAAAGCCACCCAAATATCGATACAACAATTATGGCCATCATAGTTAACAAATTTAGGAAAATTCTAAAAGCTTTCGAGAGCTAACAATATTAAGTCTTTGGATAAATTATTAAATGTTTAAGCTGTATTCCAGCCGATATTGGAAAGTGCGCGATTGCATTTATGATCTTCCCTGGCAGTCCTATCGATAACGTGCAGCCACTGAAGAGTATTTGTCATCGAATATTCAGAAGCAAAAACAAAGCCAAAAGGGGCGGACGTAAAGCGCTCGGTACGCGTAATTTACTTGTAATTACTCATTGTCGCCTTTAAAAACTATTCGGAAGTTGTGTCGGCCGTTGACGACAGCAGTTAATCATATTTGCACACCTAGCTGAACAATTCAATATCTTGACATTCAGTGCTTTTATGCCAAGCGAGCAACTCCTTTTTTCGTGTGTGCGTGTGCGTTTTTTTTTTATTTTTTTGTGCGTGTGTGTGTGTATGCAATTCTACACTTTGGTATTCTTTTTTATTTTTTTTGAAATTTCTACGTGCTTGTAAATGTGAATTTTATTTCGTCTGTGTGTCTGAAATCAAAAGTATAAATTTAAGTTTTTAGTCTATCGATATCGGTTAGCTAAAATTCGCTGTATAGTTTTTCTTTTTTTTTTTTTTTGATAAACAACAAAACAACCCTGCGCGCACACACAAAAAAAATCATATGCAAGAGCGCAGCAACATTAAAACCCGCCCCAACGCGTCGCGGCCGCCGTCGTTGTCGTCATCAGCAGCAGCGCAGCCACAAACGGCAGAAGTTAAAGCAAAGGCACACTTACGTTACGCGCTCGCTTCTGGCGTTTCGATGCCGTCGAGTTAACGTGTTGTCTCTCTGTGTGTGTGTGTGTGTGTGTGCGCGTGTGTGTGTATGGTGTGTTCTGTGTCTCTGCTGGATTCTAATAAGAACATTTTTGCCGATATATATATATATATATATATTTTTTCTGCAGTGTGTGCTAATTTTTTTTTTGTATGTTGTAATTTTTGTTAGTGTGTTGTTTGTTTGCGCGCGACTTACGCAGTTAATTTTCTTTCTTTCAATAACAACAGCAGCAGCAGCAGCAACAACAACTAAAACACAAGTGGCAGTGTTTGTTGGTGTCGGCAGAGAGGAAGATAGCGTTTCGTTCGCGTATATACATATACATATACATATAAATATATATATGTGTGTGTATGTGTGCGTGTGAAAGAGAGACCAAGAGAAAAACATTCACAATCAATTTGATAACTTAAAAGAAACGTAACAGTGCCGCAGCAGAGTGCAAAGCAGCCGTGCAGCAAACATCGAGCAGCGGCCAGTGGCAGAGGCTGAGGCGTAGGCGTCGTCTTCGTCTTCGTCTTCGTAGCTAAGCGCTGTTCACGCAGCAACAGCAATTAACTGTTAAACGTTACAACAAAACACTTTGTGATCGTGCTTAAACGGTAGCCAGAGAGTAAGACATAGTGTGAGCGAGGAGAGAGAGAGAGCGAGAGTGAGAGCCAACCGTCTTCGTCAACGTCAACGTCAGCGTCACCATGGACAACTTAATCCCGATCGTCAATAAGCTGCAGGATGCATTCACATCGCTGGGGGTGCACATGCAATTGGACTTGCCACAAATTGCCGTCGTTGGTGGACAGTCGGCTGGCAAGAGTTCGGTGCTGGAGAATTTCGTGGGCAAGTAAGTGGTCATCCAAAATGTTTGTGTCTCGCTCTCCACAATACATACAATAGAATGAAGAAAATCCATATTTTTGCGCGAAAGCTTTGCTGTCTGTGCGTCTGCCTCTCTCTGTGTGTGTGTGAGAGAGAGTTCTGAGAGCGCTTAGCGTCTATGTGTGTGTGCTAGACTTGGACTCTCGCCGTTTGCGCATACATACGCACTTATATATGTGTGTATATGAGTGTGCTTGTGTTTGTGTCAATTTTGGTGAATAATCAATGAAGCAGCATTCCTGGTCTTTGTTTTTTTTTTCTGTTCACTCTGTGGGTGTTTTTGCTGCGAGCAGGTGGCCATCAATAAAACCCGACCTACCACCCCCCTTTCGCTCCCCCACGCACACACACACGAACATACTTATGCATATACAATCAAGTAAATGCGCATTCAGTTGTACATGGTCAGCGTTCTAGCAGCATTGGCAGTAGCAGCGGCTGCGGCAGCATAACAACCACCTTACACAAAATGCTGCACACATGTGTATGTATGTGTGTCTGTACATAAGACGCAAAGTACAATACATATATTACAGAGGGCGCCACTTGCATAGGATCATCTCTGTTGATTTTTGTTGAGCTTTCCAAGTTGCTCGCATATCTTACGAATGGAGACACACACACACACACACACACAACATGCTTATGCTGGGACTTAAAGTTTCGTCGAGTGCGATAAACTCGCTTCCAATAAAAAGACACAAAAACAGTAACTGAAAAGAACAACAAAAAGAAAAACAACGAAAACAACAGCGTTTTTAACGATACTGTGCGCTCTCTCACACACACACACATTTCTCTCTCTCGCTCAGTAAAACGGTTTTATTTGGGGGCCTTTTTCGCTGGCTGCGCGGCGCTCATTGCGCTTCGTTCGTTTTTATCTATCGGCGTTTGCGCCCGCCCCCTGAAAATGCGAAAGCAAATACAATATAACCCACAAAATACTTACGCCCCAAAAAAAAAAAACGGGCAATGGGCAAACTGAAAAGATGAAGAAGAAGAGAGAGAGAACAAAAATCAATGCATGCCTGACATTTCCTTTTGCAGCGCACATGCTTATGTTTCCTTTTCTTTTGTGCGGTTCTCGGTTCTTTATGTGCCCAACACACCCCCCGCCCCCCCTCGCTTCGTACTGCCACACTTCACTTTGACATTTATGCAATGCTGTCGCTGTCGACGACGACGCTAGCCTACATTTTTGTAGTTGCTGCTTCTGCCCCACTCCCACTTACATACATACATTTGAGTCCGCCTACTGCTGTAACTTTTGTAACTGTTAATGAATGGAACGCGCGCTCGCTGCCATTTACCCCATACACACACAGCTATGCATGTGTATGTGTATGTGTGTGGGTGTTTGTTCTATGCAGAATGGCAAAATTATATAATGCTCTGCTACTGTTATACGTGGAAAAAATCCTTTTGTAGCTGGCTCCACCTACTAACAGCATAACGCACACACACACACCAAAGTGCGCAGCACATTGTGTTGGTGTAACGGCATGTCTGTCCATCTTATGTAGCTTCTCTGGTGCTTTGCTATTTATGCTTGTGTATGTCCTTGCTGCAAACGCATACACACACACACATGTATGTGTGTATTGCAAAAACGTGGGTGCCTTTACACATAAGTGCTGTGTACACACATACATACATATTTCAAGAGAGTCTTTCCTTTTACACATATTTTGACATGTAGTATGTATTCTTATGTAAGCTGGCGTGCAGTCAATAACAACAACAACAACAACAACAACAACAACAGTAGCAGCAACAACAGCAGCTTAGCCAAGCGCAGTTCATTTGCTGAGCCATTACTTTTCGCATGCGCCGGCCGCACACACATATGCACTATACATATGTATATGTGTTATATGTGTATACATATATGCTTATACATATCGTGTACATAGATACACATGCTTAGGTGCATGCATATACAGGCATATACATACATATATGCTGTGTCTGTGTTAATGACCTAGTTTTTCTTCTTTTTTTTTTTTTTATTATTTATGTTCCACCGATGCTGATGCAGTTTTTTTTTTGTTCTCATCAATGTCAGTTAATGATGCTGCATAGAGTGCATGTCAAACTGAGCATGAGCTTTAACTTTGAAAAAGAGAGAGCGGAAGAGAGCGAGAGAGAGAGAGAGATGAGTGTTCAATGTCAACTCAACAGAAGCAGCATCATCAGCCGCAAAAGCTCGGTTCGAAATGTCAATAGTTCATGGCACTTGCTGTTGATGCTGAGGGCAGGCGCGCTCTCTTAAATATATATATATATGTGTGTGTGTATACACACATAGTCGGTGTGTATGTGTGCACATAATGGTTACTTGACATTATCGCTAAATGGGATATATTTTTATGAAGAGCATTGGGGAACGCAGCCCACATACATACATACATACATATGCATGTATGTATGTATGTATATGCACACAAACTAATAATATGCATATATGTAAACATTTTAATATAGACACTGACGCATACGCGCACGCAAATAATAGCACAAAAAAAAAACACAAAGAAGAGAAGTTTGCAAAAACAAAGATGTTGGTAGGGCAACAGCCTATTGAACTGAGCAGCAGCAAAAACAATTCAATTGAAATCAAAGTAGAAAAAAAAAGAGAAGAGTATGATGAATGGTGAAAACGCAACAATTCAAAATTGCAAACATAAAAAAAAGACAAAAAACGACAGCGAAAGCAAAGAGAGCCAAAGTATGCGCAGCAGCTGATCATCTCATGCTTGTGTCTGTGAGCTTATTTTTGCGCTTGCAGTAGCAGCAGAGAGCGATCAACACTCGCTCTCTCGCTCTCTCGTTGTGCAGCTGACGCAGCCGGCGTGGTGCAGTTACGCATATGTGTGTGCGTATTCAACACTACAGCTGCTGCTGGCTATTTAACAGTTTCAACTGAACGAACGCTTTTTGAACTCTGCTAATTGTGAGCAGCTAAAGCTAACAGTAATAAAATCAAAAATTTCATGAGCACTTTTGAGTCACATTGTTGTTGTTGTTGTTGGGCAGTAATTTATTTAGAAGAAAAAAAGCTGCTGTTTACAACTTACTGCACAATTACAATTACAATTATTTCCCATGCAATCACACGAGACACACACACACATACGTACGCACACAAGCGCATGCAAGAGAGTTACTCATCAGAAGTAATTGATAACATTGCATTTTATGTACACTTGAATAATTCTGTTAGCGTTCGTGTGTGTGTGTGTGTGTGTCTGTGCGTAATTTAAATGCTGTCTGTACATATGGGCATTTATTTGGAACTTATGTACACACACATGTATTGCAGCGATAAGATAACGGTTTAATCCCCCCCCCCCCCCCCCCCCCCCCCCCCCCCCCCCCGACACGCCCACACCCACTTCTTTTGAACTCGCTTTCAAAACAATTTCCACATATTTAATAGTGTTTTTATCAAAGTTTTAGGGGGGGGGGGGGGGGAAAGAATTATGGATGATTCATGTACTTTGATTATAATTGATATTGTTTGCATTATCGATAAGAATTTTTGCTGCTCTTTGTTGACTTTGCTAGATTTGTTTGCCATAATAAAACAGGTCGAAAGTGTAGTCGCCCCCCCCCCTACCCCTGATCTATCCATATATGAACTTGTGTATACTCTTTATTCGCTGAAAGCGTATTTCCCAGTCAATTAATCGCACATGTTGCACGCTGTTGCCCGATTTTAATGACTCTTCCCACAAATTAAAATCATTTCTATTTTGTTTTATTTTTATTTTTTTCAAATATCTTTTAATAATAACAAAAATATCACAGGCTAATCAAAGCAAATTGTGAACAATTTGTGACTAATTTTTGCTGTTGCTCTCTTGTTGTTCTTGTTGTTGTTGTTGTTGTTCATAATTGTGTTGGACTTAACGACGAGCTTACTGGAACATTGGAAATCATTTTTGTTCCCTTGAGGGAAATTATGTTGAGCGAGCCCAATTTGCTAAGCTGTGTTCCCGTTTTTCCTATTGAGAGCTTGTGTAACATTGAATTTCCTTTTCTCGATAAGTTGGGCAATTTACAATTTCTGCACTCTATTGTATAACATTGAATTTCCTTTTCGATAAGTTGGGCAATTTACAATTTCTGCACTCTATTGTGTAACATTGAATTTCCTTTTCTCGATAAGTTGGGCAATTTACAGAATCGTTGCCCTATGTCGCGCTCTCTTAAGCGATTGTCCATGTAATGGAATTCAAGAATTTCAAACAAACTGTTTGCTGCGTTTCTCTGTTATGTTGGCCCCTCAGCTTTGCTAATATGCTGGCACGCTTAGGGAAATTCCAAGGTTTTCGTTAAATCTCGAAATGTTCTCCCTTTCGTTGAGTTCTTAACCTTTCTTTCATTTGGGCAATTCGTTAAGCTAGCCTGGCAGAGTTTCAAAACTGGTACTCTTTTACTCTGCGGCTCTCTTTAAATTTCCCTTTCTTACATTTTCGCTTGGGTAATTTAATAGAACTGGGAAATTTGCAGTTTCTCTTCAAGGCAAGACTAAGAAATTGCCGCTGTAAATACAGTGAGCACTCGTATGCGCAAACGAGTCACTTTCCGAATGTTCTTTAATTAGCAAAAATATATGTACTTATGTATAAAGCATAACAGTAGAGTTATTAAACGTGTACAGTTTGTGTGTTCGTGCAAGTTCTTCGCGCCGAGTGACTACTGTATTTGGGAAGCTTGTTAAAAAATTTGTTAACTACATGTAAAATCGATAAAATCAAATGAAAGCTGCAACAACAACATGAATTATAAAAATAAGAATTGAGTAATTGCAATTACCGCAAACACACACACACACACACACACACACACACACACACACGCACAGTTCATTGTTATAAAATATGAATAATAACAATATATTTTTGCTTTCACAGAGACTTTCTGCCCCGAGGTTCGGGCATTGTGACGCGCAGGCCTTTGATTTTGCAGCTGATCAACGGCATTACCGGTAAGTAGCCTATCGTATACGATAAACGATAAACGATATACGATAAACGATAAACGATATAAATAACTTTTGTAGAGTATGGCGAGTTTCTGCACTGCAAGGGCAAGAAGTTCTCGAGCTTCGACGAGATACGCAAGGAGATCGAGGACGAAACAGATCGCGTGACGGGCAGCAACAAGGGCATCTCAAACATTCCGATTAATTTGCGCGTCTATTCGCCGTACGTGCTCAACTTGACGCTGATCGATTTGCCCGGCCTGACCAAGGTGGCGATCGGTGATCAGCCGGTGGACATTGAGCAGCAGATTAAGCAAATGATATTCCAATTTATACGCAAGGAGACCTGTCTGATATTGGCGGTAACGCCGGCCAATACCGATCTGGCCAATTCGGATGCGCTCAAGCTGGCCAAAGAGGTGGATCCGCAGGGCGTACGCACGATCGGTGTCATTACCAAGCTGGATCTGATGGACGAGGGCACCGATGCCCGTGACATACTCGAGAATAAGCTGTTGCCGCTGCGACGCGGCTATATTGGTGTGGTTAATCGTTCCCAAAAGGATATCGAGGGGCGCAAGGATATACATCAGGCATTGGCCGCCGAGCGCAAATTCTTTCTCAGCCATCCGTCGTATCGGCATATGGCCGATCGTTTGGGCACACCCTATTTGCAGCGCGTGCTCAATCAGCAGCTGACCAATCACATACGGGACACATTGCCCGGCTTGCGCGACAAACTGCAAAAGCAGATGCTAACACTGGAGAAGGAGGTCGAGGAGTTCAAACATTTCCAGCCGGGCGATGCCAGCATCAAGACAAAGGCCATGCTGCAGTAAGTCCAATACCCCCACCCCCACCTCCAAATTGACCAAGCTCCATAGCTAACTCTATGCACAACTTTTGCAGAATGATCCAGCAGCTGCAGTCGGACTTTGAGCGCACCATCGAGGGCAGCGGCTCCGCGCTGGTCAACACAAACGAACTGTCCGGCGGCGCCAAGATCAATCGCATATTCCACGAGCGGTAAGCCAATCGAATCTCCATCCTGTTTCAACCATGTTGTTATTATGTTGTTCCCTCGTTGGCAGGCTTCGCTTTGAGATCGTAAAGATGGCCTGCGATGAGAAGGAGCTGCGCCGCGAGATCTCGTTTGCCATACGCAACATACACGGCATACGTGTGGGCCTGTTCACGCCGGACATGGCCTTCGAGGCGATTGTCAAGCGTCAGATAGCTTTGCTCAAGGAGCCGGTCATCAAGTGCGTGGATCTAGTCGTACAGGAATTGTCCGTTGTTGTGCGCATGTGCACCGATAAGGTGAGAGTCAGCGAGCACCTTTACCTATACACAAATTGAGCATACATTTCTCTTCATTGTCTTCTCCTCTGGCAGATGAATCGCTATCCGCGCCTGCGCGAGGAAACGGAACGCATCATTACCACGCATGTGCGGCAGCGCGAGCAGCGCTGCAAGGAGCAAATCCTATTGCTCATCGACTTTGAGCTAGCCTACATGAATACCAATCACGAGGATTTCATTGGCTTTGCCAAGTATGTCTGACCACATGCGACAGCAATCTTCACGTTTCCCCTCTGCCCTTTCGTGAACTCTTCCTAAATTGTATTTACTTTTATATTTGTTTTGTTTTTGTTTTTTGTAGCGCTCAGAATAAATCGGAGAATGCAAATAAGACCGGCACCCGACAGCTGGGCAATCAGGTCATACGCAAGGGTCATATGGTCATACAGAATCTGGGCATCATGAAAGGTATGTCACACACACACACACACACACACACACACACAGCCGCAACAACAGTCCAACTATCAAAACAACAACATCAGTTAACACGATTCTAACCTTCCAACCGATACTACTATATCATTATTATTAATAGTTGTATGCATTATCATCGTAATACTGTAGTAAATATTCTGATATATATGCTTCACACTTATGCATATTGCGAATGGGGGAAATTATGTAGAAGAAGCAAAATTCCTACCTTTGCCAAGTTTGCTGAGGGTTATTTTTAGGGAAATTACAAAAAGTACTTAAGAGCAGTACTTTTCTAAGAAATATCCCAAAGGGCAATATGAAGATGAAACATTCCCTTTATAATTACCTTTTGTAATTACCTAAGCACTTTTGGGGGTAATTTTTTGGGTAATTTCAAATTAACAATTAATTACTTCAAAATATCATGAAGATTAATTTCTAACTCCAAGTTTTTGATCTATTAAAGTTCAACTCTCATTTATATAAACTTGTAAAACATTAGAAATTAGACTCTGTATAAGAAATGTTCCAATTTGAAAGCGTACAGAATTATCACTGAGTTAATTCATGTTTGATACCTTAATCGATATAAATTAAGCTCTATAACAGTTGCTGTAGCTATTGTATTAACTAGTTCTCGTTAGTCAAGAAGTAGGGCTAAAAGCTGTATTTGCGATAAATCGATAGGCAGAAGTGTGTCAGAAGTTTATCGATTTATCGAAAAGGAAAATTGCCCAACAATCGATGGGCTTTAAGCTTGTGCCATATCTAACGATCTAGAGAATTTCCCCAGAGAGAATTTCCCCAATAAGACTCTCTTTAGGCATTCTCTTACGTAGTTTGACAATTTTTGTGCTTGTTTCTTTGCTGTTGCTCTACGTTTGCTTTCTTTTGCTTTGTTTTTCATTTCTTTTTGGTTTTATTTTTGTTTTTTTTCTATTTTGAACAATTCTTGGTGTTTTTCTTTTCGGTACTGTACTTATATATTTCTTGACATTTGTCACGTAACTTGTGGAAAATTGAAAGCTTTGCTGAGGTTTTTGCCACGCATACTTGGTTTGTATTCAACGATCTTCTAATTATGTATATATGTATATACTTATCATTTATTCTATTTTGTAAGCAACAAGAACAAAAACAAACTACATTCATGTGCTGTACTTGCTTGAACCGGAACCGAAACCGAAACCGAAAACGGAACCAGTCGATTTCGTGTTTGGTTCAAATGATATATCCTACAACCTGTATTCCCCGTCCGTCCACAATGCACACACACACACACACACTCTCCCTCTCTCCCTCTCTCTCTCTCTCTCTATATATATATATATAATCCATATCTATATCTATATCGATAACTTTGTAGTCTTTGCGTAATTGAAAAGTATTTCTTGCTTTTTTTCCATTTTGTTATGTTGTACTTTTGTCGTTTGTCGAAATTGTTAGCAAACAAATTGGATGATTTAGTTACTCGATTCTATATGGTTTTTTTTTTTGTTTAGTTTTTTGTTAATTGTGAACAATTCGTGTTTTGCAGGCGGCTCGCGTCCTTATTGGTTTGTGCTAACATCGGAGAGCATCTCCTGGTACAAGGACGAGGATGAGAAGGAAAAGAAATTCATGTTGCCGTTGGATGGTTTGAAATTGCGCGATATTGAACAGGGCTTTATGTCAATGTCTAGACGTGTTACATTTGCTTTATTCAGTCCCGACGGACGTAATGTTTATAAGGTTAGTAATTTTTGTTAGCATACAAAAAAATCAAATTCCGAAACAAAGTACAAAAAAAAAAAACAATAAGAAAACATTTGCCAGCACAACAAATATTATTTTGTTGTGCTTCCAAACAAGATTTATGACATTCAATATTCACAACAAAAAACAGCAAGAACAAAAAAAAAAAAAGAAAAACGAATAAGAATTCATATATATATATATATATTTTGTTTCTTTTGTTCGTACAATTTTTGCGTTCAAGTTGCCCGCCACAATTTGATTCTCTTGCGTTGCAACTAGTTCCAAAAAAAAAGAAAGAACTAGTTCCACACAACGAACAATTAATTAATTTTTTTGTATAAGATAAAAATTACTATGTTTTTTATCAACATTTGTGTCAAATCGAAGCCAAGCGAAAAAAAAAACCAAAAACAACTAAATAAAGTTGATTTTTTTTTTCTTTGCCTTCGATTTGTGAGCATGACAATAACTGGCATTCTGCTGCTATAGTACATATATATAGACAATCGATATACCGATATATCGATAAACCGATAAACCGATAAACCAATATGCCACCGATACAAAACACTAACTAAACTCTGGTCCAAGACATGCGCCAGCTGCGAACCACTTGACAACTCAGCCAATAACTAGAATGCTATCAAAACCCAACAATATACCGAACCAACCAATGCCACAACCCGTCCAAGTACTCGTAATCGTTATCGTAATCGTTACCGTAATCGTTATCGTAATCGTTATCGTAATACGTTGTTCCCATATACCAAATGCTTGACGAAAATACCTATCCATTTGTTCTCTTTGCGCTTGGACGCTTCTCTTTCTCCTGCACACACACACACACACACACACGACACACACACACACACACACACATGTATATACATGTTGTGCATTTAGGATTACAAACAACTGGAGCTGTCCTGCGAGACGGTCGAGGATGTGGAATCGTGGAAGGCATCATTCCTGCGCGCCGGCGTCTATCCCGAGAAGCAAGAGACCCAGGAGAATGGCGACGAGGTGCGTACCAATTCACATAGTCTTAAACAATTATTAAAAGTAAAAAAATTTAAAAATAAAATACCAACTTAGTTAGGTCTAAGTCGCGCCTAAGTCTTGTCGCGTATGTATGTGATATATTCTTCTCCTTCGATTAGATAACAGCGCCAACACAAATGTCCATTAACATACGTCTTGCCTTATCGTGACATTAATCCCTATTCTCTGTATGCGTCGCAATGCCAGCAGTCCGAATGTTTTTCATAATCCCCCTTTTCCCCCCTCTTTATGTGTTTAGGCTATGCGGCGGAGTCAGACTCGATCAGTTGAAATATTTGAATAACAAATGTTTACACAGTATTTAGCTGTAAATTATCTGGCTGTTGCTTAACATATGTTAACTTTAGGCTGTTAACAGTTCGTAGTTTAGTTGATTGCTTCTTAGCATTGCTTTTACTCTAACAGCTGTTAATTATTACATTTGTGCTTACAGCTATTTAACATGTAAGCTTAACAGCGCACCTTTGGCAACAACTCAATGGATTACAGCTGCTTAACATACTGTTAACATAGAAATCTTTGCTTAGACAAGAACGTGTTCGTGTTATTTGTCTGTCAGCTGTTAACTTTACAGTGTGCCTTTTGCAACAACATAATGCATTACAGTTGCTTAACATACTGTTAACATTAAAATATACACCTCACTTAGACAATAACATGACCGAGTTACTTGGCTCTCAGCTGTTTGTCCTAATGTTAACTTAACAGCTGCTTAACATACTGTTAACATTAACAAACTTCACTTAGACAATAAAGGATTGAGTTACTTGTCGGTCAGCTATTAACTTTACAGTGCGTCTTTTGCAACAACATAATGTATTACAGCAGCTTAACATACTGTTAACATACAAATCGTATCTTTAACTCTCAGTTGTTGGACCTAATGTTAACTTAACATAGAAAACTTCACTTAGACAATAACATGATCGAGTAACTTGGCTCTCAGCTGTTTGAGCTAATGTTAACTTAACATCTGCTTAACATACTGTTAACATTAACAAACTTCACTTCAACTAGACAATAACATGACCGAGTTACATGACTCTCGGCTGAACTTCTCTTCTACCAATGTTATTCTTAACAGCCTGATGTTAACTTAACAGCTGCTTAACATACTCTTAACATAAAAAACGTTTTTTAACAATAACATGATCGAGTTACATGACTCTCGGCTGAACTTCTCTTCTCTCAATGTAATTCTTAACAGCAGCAGTTCGTAATCTGTGTGTAGTTTGTTTCTATGTGTGTGTGTGTGTGTGTGTGTGTGTACACGATTAACTAACACACACACCCACACACACACACACACGTCGTGTATCATGTGCTGAATGTGTACTTGGTATAACAAATATAAAACTCTAGGATACGCTCTAGATCTTAAGAACTAATTCTTTGATAACGCAATAACTCATTCAATGTTTCTTTATTTATATATATATATATCTTTAAAACGTTGCGACCCCAAAAATAATACAAATACAAATGCACATATATATTTCAAATATATATATGTATAAATGCGTATCAAAATGTGTGATATATGCAGGAAGGACAAGAGGTTTGTTTCTTTTCATCATTTTAAGCATATTTTCTTTGCGCTCGCTCTCGCTCGCTCTCTCTCTCTCTCTCTCTCTGTCTCTCTCTGTCTCTCTCTATCTTCTATTTTATTTTGATTTTGTTAATTTCATTTAATTTTGACAAAATTAATTGTTCAAATTGGGGCTCAAAATTGCAACTAAACTTCATCAAATATTTCGGCATATTTGGCTAACACTGAACAACATAAATTTGGGCCATGCAAATCTGGTGCTTAGAATTTGGAACTAAAAAAAAAACCTCTTACCGCTTTCCGTTTTCTGTTGTTGGCATAACATTAACAAGTTTCCCCCAATACTGTGGTGTGTGCAATATATCTCTAGCTCAGCATTACATACATCTAAAGACAATATATATATATATATATATATAAATATATATATATATATATCTGTGCATAAATGATATATATTTTAATTTTACAATATTTTTTATCAATTATTTTCTTCTATTTTCCCGTCCACGTACCAAACGAAATGACCAACACACACACACACACACACACACACACATATATGTACATGATAATACCAATTGCGTATATATATATATATATATCTATATGCAACCGTTAACAGCAAAAAGTAGGTGTCATTTTTACCGTACAACATTTCTCTACTCTTGTTATTCTTATTTGATTTGCATACGTATTGTCTTTGATTTATCGATAACTTTTAATTAACACACACACATTTTCGTAGTAATTTCGTAATTAGCATTGTTTAAGTTGTTATCGCTGTTTTTTTTCCAATTTCTAAACGCTTTTTACAACATTTTTTGGCTTTCTACATTTGCCCCGCATCCAAGTTTCGAGTTCGATAAATAATCGATAAGTCACGCTCTGGACTATCGATAACAATTCCAGCAGTACACACACACACACACACACTTGCACGCCTTCAATATTTCTCTGTTCACAATAATAATATTTGCAAATATTTGAATTTCCCTGCAATGTGATTCCAATTGGATAATGCAATAGATCGCACCTAACCTCACTTTAAATATAGACAGGGTTGTTACACATTTTCCTTAGAAGAGAGGTTGAGCTCTGATCTCGATTCTTATGGAACTTGGAATTCCACCTACCATTGGAGAATGTCTAATTTCCCACTCATCTAACTAGTTCCGACCGAACAGCATGTGCAGCTAAATGAACCAGTTCATTTAGCTTTAAAGTTCAAATTTCTTGAGCGTGCCTGAGATCCGATCTCGATTCTTGTTAAACACATTGCAGCATACCATAGCTCCAATTGGCTAACGCAAAGATTCCTACCTATCTAAACTATTCATCTAATGTGCGTGCTAATGAACTAGTTCATTCTGTTTTAGTTCCTACAGGTTCCCAGTCCCAAACATTCCAATAAATTGTCATTTAATTGTAAATATCAAAATGTAGATGCATCCAACACTAGAGTAAATACATCGCCTACTACAACTAATCTGTTATATAAGTGCAGCTCAATGAACTAGTTCATCTGCCTTAAGCTCTTATAACTCATTTGGAACACCTGATTGAGATCTGATCTTGATTCTTATTAAACACTTGGCGATCCCAACTTACCATGACTTCAATTCTACCTATTTAACCTGAAGTAAGTGCGGCTCAATGAACTAGTTCATTTGCCTAAAGTTCTTAAAACTCATTTGGAACACCTGATTGAGATCCGATCTTGATTCTTATTAAACACTTGGCGATCCCAACTTACCATGACTTCAATTCTACCTATTTAACCTGAAGTAAGTGCGGCTCAATGAACTAGTTCATTTGCCTAAAGTTCTTAAAACTCATTTGGAACACCTGATTGAGATCCGATCTTGATTCTTATTAAACACTTGACAATTCCAACTTACCATGACTTCAATTCAACCTTATTAACCTTACCTTAAATGCAGCTCAATGAACTAGTTCATCTGCTTAAACCTCTTAAAACTCATTTGGAACACCTGATTGAGATCCGATCTTGATTCTTATTAAACACTTGGCGATCCCAACTTACCATGACTTCAATTCTACCCATTAAACCTAACCTTAAATGCAGCTCAATGAACTAGTTCATCTGCTTAAACCTCTTAAAACTCATTTGGAACACCTGATTGAGATCTGATCTTGATTCATATTAAACACTTGACAATTCCAACTTACCATGACTTCAATTCAACCTTATTAACCTTACCTTAAATGCCGCTCAATGAACTAGTTCATTTGCCTTAAGCTCTTGCAATTCCTAAGGTCCCAAGCATTCGATTAGAAATTGGAAACATGAAACACTTTATGCAGTAAAAATAATATGTTTTGCCATACTAAAACAATATTTGTAGTAATTAATTATGGTATTTATTTGTTATAAATTGGCGTTTGATTTGATTTGTTTCCAAACTAAAACTAAAGCATTTCTTGGCTTAAAAAAGCCGAAGGACTAACGTCAAGTTGGCTAACACGTTTATGATTTCATTCTTGTTGACATTTCAAATATGAAAAGCACTTTCTTAGTTCAACTAACACGAAAAATCGACTTAAACATAAAAGTAAAATCTATTATAGTTGAGAAAATGGGAAATATGTATTATATATTTCTTGTGATTTGTGATTCTCTAATGCTTTACTTTATTGCGGCTGCACTTTTTGGCGTTTCTTTTCGATTGTAAAAACTTCATACACGTTTTTTCATTTAATTGATTGTTTCTTCGTTTTTTTTTTTTCCAATTACTTTGGACCTCCCCAACCCCCTCTCACCCTTCTATACGAACCAATCAATCAAAACGAACAATTCTAAATGTGAAAAAAAAACCACATCCATGAACAAATTGAATATCGTTTATCGATAATCGATAACAACAACAACGACAACAGTCGGCCAACGAGGAGAGCTCCACGGATCCACAATTGGAACGGCAGGTGGAGACCATTCGCAATCTAGTCGACTCGTACATGAAGATCGTCACGAAGACCACACGGGATATGGTCCCGAAGGCCATCATGATGCTGATCATCAACAATGCCAAGGACTTTATCAACGGCGAACTGTTGGCCCATCTCTATGCCTCCGGTGATCAGGTACATACATCAATTTGCTAGCAAAATAAATCCTGCACAATGTATTTCTTTCATTCAATTTCACAAATCAGTTAACCCATCCATTTTCCTACTTTGCGATAGGAATATAACACGCAATTAGTATAACACGTCCTTAATCAGTTACTGTTCAAATCAATCAGTCGGATAGCCAATCAATCAGCCGGTCAGTCGGTCTGTTAGTAAGTCAATTTATGTGCCAGTCAGTAAGTCAGTCAATCAGTTAGTCAATCAGTCAGTCAGTCAATTAATCAGTCAGTAAGTCAGGCAATGAGTCAATCATTCAGTCAGTCAATCAGTAGTCTATCAGTTTGTCAATTATTCAATCAGTCAATCAGTAATCAATCAGCTAGTCAATCATTCAGTCAGTCAACCAATCAATCAATTAATTAATCAGTCAGTAAGTCATGTAATGAGTCAATCAGTAAGTCAGTCAGTCAGTCAATCAGTTAGTCAATCAATCAATAAATTAATCAGTCAGTAAGTCAAGCAATGAGTCAATCAGTAAGTCAGTCAATCAGTAGTCAATAATTCAGTCAGTCAATCAGTAGTCAATCAGTTATTCAATCAACCAGTCAGTCAGTCAATCATTCAATCAGTTAGTCAATCATTCAGTCAGTCAACTAATCAATCAAATAATCAGTCAGTCAGTCAATCAATTAGTTAGTAAGTCAATCAGTCAGTTAGTCAATCAGATAGTCATCGTCATCCAATCGATCAGTCAGTCACTGTCGGTCAATCAGTCAATGTCGGTCAGTAGGTTGGTGACTCGATCTGTCAGTCGGTCGTCAATCAAGTAGACAGTCATTCAGTTAGACTGTCAGTCAGTTGGTCAGTCAGTCAATCAATCAGTCAATCACTTGGTCAATCAGTCAGCTAGTCAATCAATCAATCAGTCAGTTGTGTATGGTTTTTACAATCAATCTCTTATCTGTATCTTGGCTTGCCAGGCACAAATGATGGAGGAATCGGCCGAGTCGGCAACACGTCGCGAGGAAATGCTGCGCATGTATCGCGCCTGCAAGGATGCCCTGCAGATAATTGGTAAGCGAAGCTTGTCCAGCTGCAAAGGCTTAACTAAAAACTGAACTAAACACGCACAACAGGTGACGTATCGGTGGCAACTGTATCCTCGCCCTTGCCGCCGCCCGTTAAGAACGATTGGCTACCAAGCGGCCTGGAGAATCCGGGTCTATCGCCGCCCAGTCCCGGCGGCCCGCGCAAGCCAGCACCCACCGCACAGGTAAGCCGATCCGTCTCAATCTTAATTCAATGCTGATATTTGTGTTCGTGTTTAGGGCTCGTTGGGCGGACGCAATCCGCCATTGCCACCGGCAACTGGACGTCCCGCGCCGGCCATACCGAGCCGCCCCGGCGGCGGTGCACCCCCGCTGCCCGGCGGCCGGCCAGGCGGGGCGCTGCCACCCCCGTTGCTGCCCTCGTAAGTAGACCCCAAATCCATAATTCTTGTATTCGCTTTCGACTCGGCTGTTGTATTTTGTACCCCTTTAGCGCGCGCCTCTGTACAGTTTAGCTCTAGCATATACATATACATATATATATATATATATAAATATATATATATATATGTATATATATATTTGATTTTGTCTACTCTCCAGTATTTCTTTCCGTTTGATTTGATTTGATTATTTACTTTCTTATTTGAATTATCGACGATTGGGACCTCTTTTTATACACACACACACACACACACACACACACACACACACACACACACACACGCATACAAGCATGCACATAGCTATATATAGTATATACGCTGCATCTGGCAGATCTGTATATATATAGCTTATGTGCTTGCTCACAACTCTGTACACAATATTTGTTACAAGCTCAAGTGCTTTGTAAAGTTTAAGCTGTTTTTTTTTCTTCTTCTTTCTTTTCTGTTCCTTCCTTCTTCATTTCGTGTGTTGTGTTTTGTCATCAGGCTTTTTTGTGATGTGCCCTTGCAGCGGGTCTTACGAAAAGAATTTGAGATTTAAGCTAAATTCCCAGTTCTAAACGTTGCTAATTGCCAGAAAGTTCCCAGTAATCAAAAACCACTATAGTTATGCCTTAAATGTACCAGTACTTTAAGAGCGACATTTTCGATCCCAATTTGTGTATTTCTCATGCGAGATCTTTATTGTAATGTACCTGAGCAGCATCTACTTATTGCGAGTTCTATCACATCAATTGCCCATATATAACACAGCTGTCCGAAGAATATTGGGAAATTTGGTTAATGTACAATGCAAATTGATTGCGAGCTGCATCAAGTACTTAGATTTGTGACCATGCACATATGTTTAATACATGCCTTGCTGAGGATATTTTTCAGTTAAAAAAGTACCCGTATTCCGTTCATGTCAAAAGTACCAAATTTGGGATATTTGTTGCATACATAAAGTAGCACAGTTTGGAATTTTGTGTCCAGTACTTTAGTATGCATATCAAAAGTACCAAATTAGGGATATTTGTACCAGTATTCCGTTGCATACAAACATATAGTACCATATATGGGATATTTCTAACACATCAAGTCGTGCTCACAATTTCCCTAATTACAACTGTCTGCAAGGGCATTTTAGCTTCGGCAGCCCGAAGATAACTGTTATATCGTGACTATTTTTTGTATTTGTTTTGTTGTTGTTTATCTTGTAAGAGTTTTTCGTTAAGCAGATGGTCTGTAGTCAAACTAAGCATCGTTAAGAACAAACCTAAATTAGCATAACCCGCCGATATTTAGTTTTATTTGTATATATCTCTTTGTCTATGATTTGGGCTTATTTTGGGACAAGGGGCAAGCTGCCAGAATTTTTTTTGTTCGTTTCGTTGTTTTTGTTTGTGGTGCGCCTCAGTTTAGAAAGTATTTGTAAAAAAATATATGTAAAAAAAAAAAATAGAAAAAAGACAAACTTAACAAAATATAACAAAACAAAATCGTTTGTTTCTTCCTCTCTTTTTCTCTCTTTTTCTCAAATGCGATAAACAACAAACAATGTCAAACGTAAAACTGTTAATACTAACGCACACACACACGCACTCACACGCACACACACGCGCACACGCCGCTTACAACGCTAACTGTAAATCCAACGCTGCAGACGTCGCTAAGTTGTCAGCCACAGCCACAAGGCATTTACTCTCTCTAACTCCACACACACGCCTCTCTCTCTCTCTTTCTCTCTCTTAAAACAATTAACTAACCAAAATGCTTTCGCTTAAATCAACCAACAAAACGAACAACTCAACTCAACTCAACCAATCGATACGATCCGAACCGAACCGAACCGAACCGAAGCCCTTAAGTGCAGGCTCGTGTGCTCTCGCTCTCGCTCTCGCACGCGCTCGCGCTCTCTTAGCAACAAGAGGGGGAGGGGGCGGCTCGCTCAGTAAAAACTACTTACAGCAACAACGATGTCGACTAGAACTATGCAAAGAGCGTTAAATATTTAAAGCAAATATATATACATATATAAAGAAAAAGCCATCTACTCGTATATACATACAATATCCGATATATATATATATATATATATATATACAGCAGCTGAGCGAAGATTATATCAGAACTGTAAACGCTCTTTAGTTTTGTTAGTTTCGAAAACTAAAGAGAATAAACACACACAGAGAGAGAGAGAGAGAGAGAGAGAGAGCTGAGCTGAGCCGTGGACTTTTCTATTGTTGGGAGAGCAAAAATGCATACACATATATGCATACCTAATGAAGAGAATGATGAAAGATGAGATACACACACACACACACACATATATATATATAAATGCTTAAGTTAACTAAAGTACCTTTTTGTGTTGTTGTTGTTGTCGTTAAATAAAACTAAAGCATAAAGGAAGAGAAATTGAAAAAAATATACATTACGTACATATATATATATACACTGAAATATATATATACATATATAGAGATGAGCTACTCTTTAACGGAACAAGAAGAACACAGCAGCAAAATTCCACTAAATTATACATGATATTATAAATATTTAATGGGCAAAACAAAAAAAAAAAGTTACAAATCAATTGTTCAGAAAACAAAAGCAAAAGTCAAACAAACAAATAAATAAATAAATACATAGTTTAATGAAATTGAAAGTATATATGTATGCGCGCGCACACATTTCATTTATTATACAAACAACATAAACAAATATTACACCTATATTGTATTAACAGACTGACAGACATGTTCGAATACTTTTGGCTGGCACTGTGCCCAGTCGAAGCGCTGCTTCCAGTTCTCTTCCCTCTCACAGGCTTTGGCCAAGTACCGTTTGCTGCGGACTCTCTCTCTCTCTCTCTCTCTCTCTGTTAAGTCTTATACTTTTGCGCGCACAGTTGGCATGTTTTGTCTCTTTTGCTGTGCTCGCGGCGAACAGTGTTGGCAAACGCGGCTGTTTTTAGTGTGAAACGTTTTTTCTTTGCGCTTTAACTCATTTGATGCAGCTTTTTTGCTTTTGTGTGTGTGTGTGTGTGTGTGCCTACAGCTTATGTTAACACATGTGTGTGTATGTATGTATGTAATTATTATTAACATTAGCTTTGTTGTTTTTATGAAAACTCTGTAAAAAAAAATTAGTTTGTTGCTTTGTCTTATCATTTTTTATAAAATTTTAATTTTTTATGATTTGTGACTAAAATTAAAATAAAAATACACTCACACACACACGCACACACACACACACACCACAGATCCAGAAGCAGCGAAACAAACAAATCGATAAAAAGGGGTTTCAAGCGTTCCGATAACTGTTTGATCACATAGCCCAGCGCCTCTTTAGTTTAGTATTTTGTTCTCTTGCAAACAACAAAGCAAAAAGAAAACCAAAAAAAAAAAAAGAGAACAGCAACAAAATCCCAAAAGCAAATAAAAATACCCAAGCAAGAAACAACAAGAGTACAAAATCCCCCCTTTTACAACTTTCAAGTCGCGTCACTGGAGCTGTCGGCGGCGCCTTGACACAGCAATCGGGCGCCAATCGCTACATCCCGGAGAGCATGCGCGGACAAGTGAATCAGGCTGTGGGCCAGGCGGCCATCAATGAGCTCTCCAATGTGTTTGCCACACGGTTCAAGTAAAGCAACTCTCACCAGCATTGCAAGCAAAGCAAGAGAGCCAAGCAAGAGAGCCAGCCAGCCAGCGCGTGCTACAGCAAATTAAAAGAAAGAGCAACATTAAAACAAGAGAGAGAGCGAACGCGCGCGCGCGTACGCACGCACGCGCGCACGGACACGCACACAAAAGCACATATACAAGAGAGCGGGTGCTCTGCGTCTGCGTCAGCGCCTACTCTTAACATTGCAATATTTCCCACACATAACTGTTATGTTATTTAATGAACGCATATTCATGTTCTCTTTAATGTGTCCTGTGTGTGTTTTGTGTGTATGTCGAAACTAAATTTTATCTCTTAACAAAAGTTAACAAATTGTGTTTCATTTACGCTTTATGTTTTATTGTGTTTTCTTAGTTCTTACTTATTTGCATTTGCATTTGGAAACAGTCCGTTGCACGCTAGAGCTGGCAAAAACTATCGATAACGTTTCAACAATCGATATCGCTTTCAAAACTCTTGCAGTTACAGCCTTTGTAATTATGTTCGATAACACACACACACACACACACACACACACACACATGCATACATGCACACAACTAACACGTACATGTGTTGCTTTCGATAAATTATATATACGAAAATAAAATATATATATATTAAAGGGGAATCTCTCTTAGATCTACAAAGTTGTTAATTACATTTTACGATGCTAACAATGCATAATTAAATCGCTCTCTTTCAATCTAACCTTGAATATGCATATATATGTATATATCTGTCTCTCTCTCTCTCTCTCTCGCTCTCTCTCTTCAGATTTGTAATTGTTGCTAATTGTGTTTTTGTGTAGTTCTTAATGCCAATTTATACTATATATATATATATGTATGTATCCGATGCGACAGAGATAAAGAGTATATATAGTATATATGCATACATATATATATATATATATAGATATATAGATATATAGCGAAAGAGAGGCAGAATTAGAGTTAGTGAAGGTTAAATAAATTATACGATATATAAATAAAACATTTATGACAACTATTACATGTATGTATGTGTATTCATATGTATGTAAATGTATATTAAACTAAGCACAAAAACAAAAAACGTGAAAAGCAAATGTAGCAGAAAAACTAAACAATATGAATTATTTACGTTTGTTGATTAAGAGTGAAGCAATTCAAGAGTTACATATATAATTAATTTCTACACTTAACTGTACATTTCACTTAACAGCTGTTAAGTGGAGCTCAGTGCCACACTTAACAGCTCACTGCTACGCTTAACAGCTGTTAGCTAACATGCACAGCATAGCTTTTATGTCTAGCAAAAAGAACAGTATTCAGCTTTTGATGTTATCGAAATTATCGAAACAAACAACAACCCGGAAATCGTTTCAAATATTACAATTTTATTTCCATTTCTTTCATATTTTGGCCCATTGTTATTGTAGCTAATGCGCCGAGCAAGTAGGAGCATGTGCCGTGTGCATATATCGATAATTGTTAAGAATATATCGATTTTGGTTTTGTTTTCATATATCACACATGCGCACAGATTCGTGTGCTTGTGTATATTTATGATATGTGTATGTTCTATATATCGATATATATATATATCTATGAGAATACATATAAGCGTTATGCGCAGCAGTTAATCGATTAATCGATAGCATAATTATCGAGAATACGCGTAACGCACAGTTAAAACGAAACAAACCACAGATAACCGATAATTTAATCGATAACAAATCGATAACAACTATTTAATTAACCATATTTGCATCTCGAGTTATATGAATATGGATATCAATACATAAATGTGTTTGTTTAAGTAAAGTACACACACACACACAAATACACTCACACACACACAGACACACGTCACATACATATATAAAGAATAACCTACATATATTTATTATGTACCCCAGAACTTCTTGAACAGCCCAACCAAATGTGTAGCCACTATCAATTGCTGTTTATTGAATTGAAAGTTGATGAAATATGAATAATTAATCAAATGCGTAAAAGTATTAAGTTAATATGCCGAGCGCATGTCACGATTACATACATACTTATATATACATATATGAAAGACGGCCGTAAATATGAAGGGAAATATGTGAGACGAGGGGTAACTACAATGTTATTAATAAAAACAAAGTATATATATATACATAAATATATATATATATATATAAAGAAATATTTAAAAAGAGAAGAACGCGCTTGATTGTGTTTGTTTTCTTTGTCACTGTAAACAGCTTCTGGGTTCTGTTAAATAACATCTCGCCTGTGCGCTGTTAGCTAACAGCGGCCAAGTCTTGAGCTGCTGTTAACCAATTCGCTGCATTAACTAACATTACAGCTCATCCAATTGGTTCATGCTCGCTAACAGCACTGTTAAAGGCGCGCTTGCATGAGTACTGTTAAGCATTACAACAGAAGCCAGCCAGCTGGAATGGAAACTAATTTGATGAGGGGTGGCCAATCGGGCTGCTGCCTGTTCAGCTACTGTTAACAGCGAGCACACATAAAGAGAGCGCCTGCTGTTAATCATCATGCTGCTGCAAAGTACTTTCAAGAGAGTTAACAGACTGTTCGCTCTCTCTCTCTCTTACGTTGTCTTGTTTTGCTAACATTACTTTTGTTGTTTTTGTTGTTGTTGTTGTTGTTGTTAACTGGTGTTGGTTACGCTTTGGCCATGCTTTTCCAGAGCGTACATGAATTAACATAAGTTTGCTGTCCTGCCGGTGAGTTGACTCTTAACTAACTAACTATATCTAACTCTCTCTTTAAGCTCTTTTTGCGCTCTCTCTCTCACTCTCTTAAGTATGTAGACTCTCTAGTTGTACACTCAGCATTTGTTTGCATTGTTTCAATTGAATATAGAGTTATGTGCGTTTGTCTAATTGATAATTGTTCTCTATTCACAGTCGGCCGGGCATGAATGCCCCGCCCAAGCTGCCCGAACGCCCCTCCTACTACGGCAACACGACCAACGGGCGCCCCTACTGAGCGCGCACGCTGCAGCGGGGGACACGGTTGGACACAGCGTATACATTGCTCCGAATTCCGAATTCCGAATTCGGAGTGTGCTACTGTTAAGCGATCACTGTATTATTTTGTATGTATGTGTTGTTAACAGGCGTGTGCGTGTGCGTGTGCGTGTCTGGACTTTTTCCTCTGTTGTCAAACTGTACTAAAGTGTGTAGTATAACACTTGCGACTGGTCCCCCTATTAATGCTAGACATATCATAGTTAACATATATATGTATATCCAAGCTGTATGTAGTTATATATAATTTACACACACACACACACACACACACACACGCATAGACAGGCCTACACACACACATGCATATAATATATATATTTGTAGTTAATGCTTAACGTTAAGCTAAGAGAGTTAAGCGCCTAAGTGGAAGAGAAAAGCAGCCTCAACTGTCATACAGTCATACAGTTAAACCGTTATACAGTCATACAATTTAGCACAGCTGTGCGTATAACACGATATCGTTAAAGTTCAACAAAGAAGAAACAAAAAATGAAAAATATCCATTTCTCTGTGCATTGTAAATATTTCAAATAATTGTTATACAAATAATGCTTAAAACAAAATATAAATAAAACATGAAACGCTTTAAATTCACAATATTTTCCAAAATAAAAATATATATATATATGTGTGTGTGTGTGTGTGTGTGTGTGTGTATATATATATCCTATAAATTAAATAAATATATATATATATATATTTATATAGCTTTACATTAAATAATTCTGGCAAAAATCGAAATCGATTAATATTCATATTTTTTTTATATCATTTATATATAAATTTACACACACACACACACACACACACACAAGCAATTATATATTTTAATTGTACACTTAAATTTAAGCATTAATAGAAGAAGAAGAACACAAATTGTATGCATTAAATTAATGTTATTTAAAGCAAATGCAAATAATAAAGTTGAAAAATTCAAAGAAATTAACGTAAATTCCAATTTGATAATCGAACTATTTTGTGTGTGTGTTGAATTTGAGAAACATATATATTTTTTTAACCGATTTCGGAGCTTGCGTGCAATATTCGGAAACGTTGCTAATGCCGAAAAATATGCCAGCAATTGCAATTTCCTGTTCTTAGTTGTTTCACTTCGATTTTCGGACCGCACCAAGTTTCAAACCAAAATCATAGCCAAGAACCAAACCCAAATGGCCTGGCTGCGGCCAGCAGTCGCCGCAAGTCTGAGTAGACAGTCCAATTGGAGTGCCTAAATTAGAATTCTTATTTGATTTATGTACATGCAAGAGAATTGAAAGTTCAAAGCCAACTAATACATTGATTATGTAAGTACACAATCCAATTGGACTGCCTAAAACTAAATTCCAGTTTGATTCATGTGAAACGAGCACAATTGGAAAGTTCTAAGCAGACATGATCAGCCGACCAATAAAGATGTCTAGCGTCCAATTGGACTGACTACGTTGAAATTCTTATATGATTTATGAACAACCTAAGTATAAAGAGATCTGACTAAACAGTCCAATTGGGACTGTATGTGTTTTTTTATCTTGCAATGCAATAAGAAGTATCTCAGTAAGAAGTCCAATGCAAAGAAAGTCCAATTGGTCTGCCCAAGTGGAGACTCTTATTTGATTCAGGAAGCTAAAGAGCATTTTGCAAATTTCCAACAAGATGACCAGCTGACCAATCAAAGAAAGGTGCGTGTGACTAGATCAGTCCAATTGGACTGCCTTGCCGAAATTCCAATTTGATTCCGAAAAAACAAAAGAGTTGTAATAAAATGTGTCTTGCTATGCAAAAATGATTGAGTAAAGAATCAGACCAATTGGACTGTACAAGCCGGGATTCCAATTAGATTTAAAAATGGGGCATTGAATAGTTCTAACAAGACATAACCAACCGAGCAGTATATGTATTCTGCATGTTAACAGTCCAATTGGATCGCTACAGTCCTATTCGATTCACGAAACTAACCAGCATTGCATAGTTCCAATCAGACATAACCCAGCAAGCCATAAAAAGACTGTTTTTTTTTTTTGTTTTTGTTAACTTTGCAATGCAAAGATGATTATTATTATAAGTTGCACTGTTATAATTCCGTTTGAATGAAGTTAATTAAAGTACATATTGTAATTGTTGAACTGTGACACATTTGTTGTTGTTCTTGTTGGACAACAGGGTGGCACACAGCTGCAGGCGCTTGGCACACCCTGTGCCCGTTTAGCAGAGCTGCGATTAATTTATTTAAAACGTGCGCTAATATAATATGTTAATGCTTTATATGTCCGTTTAGTATATATGCTAAGTATGTGCTAATACTTTGTCTTTGTTGTTTTTTTCTGTTGCTTTCCATTTCTTAGTGGATTCTTATTGGAAGCGTGCGCGCCTGGCGGCAAAACTTGTGTTTCAAATTTTTGTGCTTTCCTCTGCTTCTTCCTCTTCTTCTTCTTCTTGCTGCTACTAGTTAATTAATGTTGTAATTACGTTAATTACGTTTAAGAAATTGACGGCAATTCTTAAATATTGTATATATAATTATTATTCTTTGACTTTTAAAATATGTATTTGTATATGTATATACATATGTATATATATATTTATGTATATGTTTATAAATTTGTTAATTTCATTTTCGATTTTGTTAATTCCGAAAAACTGTTCGATTCGTATATATTCTTGACAATTATGCTAGGAAATTACAAAAGAAATTAACAATTTCCAATTTCTCTTCGACTTTGAATACATTTATAAGTGTTCTATACTCTTCTTCTTCTTCGTTTTGATAATTTATTAATATATAATATTTATTGAAATATATATATAGAGAGAGCGCGAGTCGTGCCCCTGGGCAATGCATATGCCATACCTTTGCCCAAAAAGCTGAGCTCGTGCTCGGATTTGGGTTTGGATTCGAGTTTCTATATCATTTATTGTATGTTTAGAATACTGGCTTAATTATTAGATAAATGGCCGCTTTGTCCAGCCCACAAAATGTTTAACTAATCTACGAGACTCGCCTCTAAACATTCAACAATTTGTTGTTGTTGTTGTTGTTTTTTGTTTTTTGGTCACAAGCAATAAACATTTAAACGTGAATTCTGAACAATTATTGGCGCCTTCTCTCCGGCACGTTTATCAACACTGAAGCGAGCGCGCGCACGCGCGCACGCACGCACGCACGAGCAGGCAGGCAGCCAGCGCACGCGCACAGCAACGCCGGCAATTCGCCAGTGTGATCCTCTCGACTCGATGTTGTTGAGTTTTTGTGGCGCGAATTCGCCGTCGTTGCCCCCCTGGTTGGTGGGGTGGTTGGCTAGATCTTCGGTTGTTGTGCGCCAACTGTGCGCGTGCGCGTGTGCGTGCGCGCATGCGCGTGTGTGCGTACTCGCAAGTGCATGCGTGCGCGACGCACGCGCGCGCGCTCTCTCTCGCTCTCGCTCTCTCGGTGCTGCAAGCTGTGGTGTGTTGCCAGTGTGGTGTAATTTGGCAATTCACCACGAGCAGCCAACAAATTGACTTGCACAACAATCCAATTGGAGAACTGGCGCCAACTAGAGCTAATGCATAAATATATGTATTGTATTAATTGTAAATATTTGATTTATATAAGTATTCAATAATTTTGTAGAAGAGTGTTATCATTTGTAACTTACTTAGCTACGTTTTAGAACTTGTCTGACTTTTGTTTCTTTACCTTCTTTTCGTATATATATAACAATTATTTATGAACAATCAAATAAAAAGAGAGTAAGTTTTTGATTTTATTACATAATAACAAATGTTAACTATTAAAAGTTAAATAAAAAAAAAAAGAGCGAGAGAAAGAGAATACAAATAGAATACTTTCCAACAATATTATAAACATAAAAAAAAATTAATAAAAATAAAATGCATTTGGTTTGAAATTGCATTCACACGCACACACACACAAACACACACACGCATGTGCATGTGTGTGTGTGTGTGTGTGCAGCTAGTACGGTAATTGGATTGAAATATTGTAGCATTGCGATAAGTTTGTATTGTACTGAAGTAAATGCAATTTGTCGCTACTTTGCCAATAAGAATTAAGTATATTGGTATAAGTATATATATATATATATATATATGCATGAATATGTATATGTATATGGTAATTGGTATCTATATAATGCTTTGTATATTGTATAAATAGTTATCGTTTAACATTGCCTTCGTTTTAGGTATATGTATATTTGTATAACATGTTATTTAAAGCTTGTTGCAAGTATTTCAAAAGTATTTCTTCAAAAATGTTAAGTTTAAGTTGATTTTGTTTTCGTTTTTCGTTTTTTGCATTTGACTTGGAATACACGTAGTTCGAGTTGTGGAAGGCGCACAAAATTTGCTTCAATTGAAAGACTCTATATATATTTATATATATATATATATATTAATGCTGTAACTGCAAGTTTTTAAATATTGCTTTTCAAAGTTTGTTCTTCATTTATGGTTTTCCTAACTCTCAGCTTGCTTGCCAAAATTTGAAGCACAAGTTTTCACCACGGCGACGCGCTTTGCTGTGTGTGTGTGTGTGTGAAAGTGCAGTAATTGTAATTACATTTCGATAAATCGATAAACTCATTTAACATATGCTTAACATTTTGCTGTTATGTGGCTTTTAAAAGTGGCTTCTCTTAAGTTCTCTGTTAAGTTAATATATCTATATATATATATATATATATAGATTTGTATTTAACAACTGAATTAGAATTTTAGCATAACTACATTTCACTAATTCTCGTCAAATTCTGATGCACATAAACAACAACAAACAGTTTTGATTCGAGTTGTTAACGTTGTCAGGGTACATAATTGATTTTTTTTCTTTTCTTTAAATTTGTTTTCTCTTTTAATCATTGGACTATCGTAAAGAATTAGTAAACATTGTGTGCACACATAAATACATTGTTTTAAAAATATACATATATATATATATATGTGTGTGTGTGTGTGTTTGTGTGTGTGTGCTACGAGTTCACAATTATAGGGTATATAGTGTGTGATAATAGAATGTTATTTATAGAAGAAGTAAACGCTTTTCCATTACATATCGGACTGCACATTTATATAGATGTATATATATCGTATATAATATAGTATATAAGTTTTTTTTTGTATTGTTCTTTCGTTTTGTGGGCTAGTTAGTTAAGAGGTGCACATAATGTGTGTGTCTACTGTAGGTTGATCAAAATGAACAGACGCCTACACAATTTTATGAAACTAAAGACAACAAACACATATATAGATATATCATAGAAATATATGCATATGCTGATATATAGATATATCGATTAACAGATTTAGGGGCTGGCTAAGCTTGCTTTAAACTCTAGGTGCACGGCATCTAATCCTCCTTGGAGAGGCTGCCCAGATCGCTGAGAAAGATTTCGGGCGAGAGAACGTGCGAGGAGCCGACCAGCACCTCCCAGTTGCGCACCGAGTTGGTTACCTCGTAGGCGCAGCGCATTTCCGACATGCTCACGCCGCCCACTATGAAAATGATGAGGCGTGGCACATTCTTAACCTGCGTCTGTGCCTTATCCTTATGCCAGTGGCCATAGCGTGCGCTAGTCGGTGCATGATAATTGGTATTCTGTGCGCGTCCCTCGAGGAACGGAAAATGCCGCTGATCCAACTTATCCTCGATGCAATCCTCCATGATGTCCTTGATGACGGGCGTCCAGCGCGACATCTGATAGGTGCTCTCGGTGATGCGCTCCTTGCGCGGCACCGAATAGATCTTCTTGCGTGACTGCAAAACGAATTGGCATACAAATTAGTTGGTAGAAGAATCGGCCGTCTGCATTTTTAACCTGGCCATACTCACATCGGCAATGACATTGATGCCCAGATAGCTGAGATTGCGCACCATGTCCTGATCCTTGGTGGACAGCTGTGCGTGTGTAAACAGCTTGGTCAGGTTCTCCTCGGAGATGCCGTTCTTGATCATCACATAGAGCGAAATGATGCGCACCTTATCGTAGTTGGACACATTCTGAAAGTCGCGCATTCTCTGGCTAATTAGTCTGGACATATTGTTTTTTTGTTTGGATTTTGTGGCCTACCGCATCTAGCAAAATGGGCACAATGTTGCGCATATGATCCTTGATTTTCTCGCCCTCCGCATCCGTGCCCATGGCCAGATCCTGTTCGACGCGGCACAGCTTGTCCACATAGTTCTGATACGATTTCATGCAGTCCTCGGCCAGATGCAAATGGGTGGAATACTTGGACAGCTCCTTCTGATACTGCGGCATCTTCTTGATCATCTGCGACAGATCGCGCATCGACGACTTGTCAGCTATGAGAGGCAACACCTGATTAGCTTCGCCTGTGGCTGTGCTAGATGTCAACATACCGGAACTCATGCGCTTGGAATCGGTAAACTTCTTAAGGTTCTGTGTGACCTGTGTGGAGACAACAGCAATGTGCTCGTGACGCAGCTCCACCCACAGGTCGTCGTTCTCGTCCAGCAGCACCTCCTTGTCCGGCTGATTGGGCCCGGGCGTATAACGGTACACATCGTTCACAATGGGCAACAGATCATAGGCCATCGCCTGGAGCGTTAGCTCGTGCAGCAACGGCGATACGCAATCAAAGCCGCGATCCAGAATCAATAGCTGCGATCGGGCCTTCTCCGGGCCCTCGCCCATGGTCGGCTCATCGGCCTTGTAGGCATCCAGCTTCTGCTGCACCGAAGCGGCCAGATCAATGTTGCGATCCCAGTCGCTGCGATAGCGCACGTTCGGATACTCGCCCAGCGTGGCGCACAGCGTTGCGATCTGCTCGGCAATGCGTTCGATATGCTTGCCGCGTATCGAGGCGAATGCCGGCGAGTAGAGGCATTGGAACGTGTCCGGCGAATCCAGCGAGAAGACCTGCGGATGCGAACGCATCAAGGGGCGAACCACCCAGAAGGATTTCACTATTAATTGCCGTACACTAGTCCATTTCAAATGTTATCGAGTGTGTGAACGTGAGGCTAACTACGTATGTGTGTGTGTGAGAGTGAGAGTGACAGAGAGTTTTACAGTACGGCAAGCAAATGTTGAAAGAAAGGCACACTTTCAAGCCTTTTGCAACACTGCTTCATATTGGCGAGAAACGGTTAATCGATTAATTAATTAATCGATAGCAGGCAAGAAAAAATGCCAAAGAGCTGCTTTAGTCAATAATTCGAAATGCTTAGTCATTTTATAATTAATTTGCATGGCTTTTTGTCTATTGAAATGAAATCAAATATTCGATAAATTATCGATACATATCGAAAAGTAAATAGTTCTCAAGTCAGATTTTTTTAAACATCAACATTTGCTTGCTGTACTCCGGCACAGTTACACATTAAAGCGAAAGAGAGCGACATGCAGCGCTCGGCATGCAGAACGTTAGACGAATGAGAGCGCGTCTGTAGCGAGAGAGAGAGAGAGAGAGGGCGTTGTGTGAGTGTGTGTGAACTTAAGAGCTAATGAGATACATATTTACATAGAAAGTGGCGAGAGAGCACGCAACCAATTCACAAATAGTTACATTTATAGGTAATGCATTCCTTTTTTTTTTTATTACTGTGGTATTCGTGTGTTACTTTAAAGCCCTGGAGTTGTACTCGCCGCATCACAACGTGACGAATAACGAGTAAGCAGCAAAACGAACGAGTGCTGCTTAAACGTGCCTGGTCACATTGTGTCTGGTTCAGCGAGTAGTACTTTCGTTTTGCTTGTTATCATTATTATTTGTTATGTTATGATCAAATCGATATGCTTTAATAATTGATATACACAATGATCGCATGTGTTACATGTTTGATTAGGCACGATTTGCTTTTCTGTATACAATTCACATACATTAAATTGAACACTACAAAACAAGTTTAACAAAACTTAAGGAGATTCGAGATTGAATGGCGTTCGCCACAGTTAACGCTCGGAAATGTGTCAGACAGGCCCATGGCTTGGCTTCGCTTGCCAGTGTTGCAAAGTGACGTTTTGATTAAGCCCAAGCGCTAGAGCCTAGTGACACGATTGCTTAGTATTGTGTCAGTATTTACAACAACAAGTACAACACATATAGTACATATACATATTGATATATATATATACACATAGACAGTGATAGAATTAGACAGAGACAGCGAATGTGTGTGTGTGTGTTAGTGTGTGTGTGTTAGTGTGTGTGTGTGTGTAGGGGATACAGTTATTTAAGCTATTGAGCATTGAACAACACTTTTAAATAGTGTTCCAAAGTGTTTCCAAATAAATGGAACATGAAAATAACAGTTAATAACAGAGAACAGAGCGAGAGAGATAAAGATAGAGAGAGAAGGCAATTGAGCGGTAAAGAGAGAGAGAGTGAGAGAGAGAGAGAGTTTGTACTTAGATAAACTAAGACTTGGCTTGGATTCGGGCTTGGATTTAAATAAAACGCTCTTGCACTATACAAATGTCTGTTTATGGAAAGGATATTTGCTTTGTCTATGTTACAGAGAGATTTTTGTTTTTGGTTTTTTGTTTTTGTTTTTGTTTAGCGCACCTGGCATTCATATGGTAGAAATGCAATATTAATCTCCTTTAGAGTTTTGATCTTTCTTGCAGCGCACGATTTACACAAATCGTTAAATAATTCCTCCGGGCAAACTATAATTATAATTATACGCACATCAAATGTAGCTCTCGTTTTTCGTTTTTCGTTTTTTCTTTTGGTTTTTCATTTTTTAAGCTACAAAATATGTATAGTATATAGTATCAAATGGTATTATTATGTAATTGTAATGCATGTGAGCATGTATGTGCGAGGCAATTGGTTATTTCATCTATTCAATATATATATTTGGACTCGATAGGACTCGATGCCCAAACGTTTTGTATCTGGGCACGCTGAAAAAGTAAACTTATTGAAGGTTACGTATTAAGCGAATTAAATAAGGCCAGAAAATGAAAAGTATAACAAATGTGGACAAAACCAAAAGGAATTTAAAGAACATGTAACAAAATGATAAAGCATTCAAATGTGATAAATTGTTGTTTGTCAGTTCAAGTGGAAGTTGCAACCAGTTGAGGTTAGTTGTGAAAGCAAACGCTTTGAGACAAATCGCATCGGAACGCACGATCCACAGCACAGGGTGATTAGTAGTAACGAGTAGCGAGTAACGAGTAACGAGTAACGAGTAGCGAGTAACGAGTAGCGAGTCACTCGAACGAGTGTGTAAAATGGCGAGTTAGACTTGTTTTTTTTTTTTTTAGTTTTTCCTCTTTCCTCAATATACCTGTGCTTCATAGGCCAAAAAGGCAATATTGATCTCTTTGCAGGTGCGCACATAGCGTCGACAAATGTGTTTGTGCGATTGCAGCATTTCGAATATGCGAGGCGGTATCGCTACATATTTATATTATATATAGAATAATCAGAGCAGCGTATACCAACAGTAGGCATACGTATGCAGGTGCCGGTGTAAGGTACGGGATTCATGGAAAATTTATAAATAAATCGATATAGAAATTAAATGGAAATTATGAACAATAAAATCATAAATAATAATCTGGGTAGCCATATAGACATACAGTCACGCGCATCAAGTACTAAATAATTGATATATAGATTTAGATATTGGTTAATTAAAGGCCTGTCCGACTGGCACATACCCTCGGTGAAGAAGACGTGCGCGTAACGGTACATGGGACGCGCCGGATTCTCAAAGTCGCGTATCAGGGAGCGCACAGACTCATCCGATGGCGTTATCAAGTAGATGGCATCCATTGTGGGCAGCGGCTCGCGCTTCTTGTGAATATCCTCCACCACTGGAAGATGTTATACGACATGTTTAGAGTATGTACATATGTCTATTGCTTATTGGCACTTACATGTTATGCCCTCGGCGCTAATCTCGTGCATCTTGGTGCAGGCGGAGACCATGCGCATGCCCAGCTTATCCACCACCAGCACACGCCACTCGATCCCACCTGCGCCGGCCGCCTTTGGAGCAGCTGCAGCGCCCGCTTTCTTCGGTGGCGGCGGCTTGTACTTCACCACCTCGTTCATGATCTCTACAAAAAAAAAAGAAAACGAGAAGGCAAGCGCATCAATATTTATACAATTGTCAAAGTGTGTGTGTGTCTGTTTTGGCAGTGTGACCCATTTTGTTAACGGGTGTGACCCGTTAAATCTGCATTTTATGACATTTGGCAAAGGGTATTGGATAGAATATTGAAATCTTGTTATTCTTAAAGAGCATCTTTAGCAAAGAGTATCATTGAGCTACCCTGATAATCCTTGGCATAGAGAGAGGCGCCTCCAAAGGCGACCTAGTTACGAGGCGAATCATTTAAATACCTGCTTTCCCTTACCCCTCATTGATCTGTCTTTCAACCACTTTGGCATATAGCTTCCATATGGAAAATAAAACCTTGTTGCCGGACTCTACTCGGCTTAGTCAGAGCCACAAAATTATCATATTAAATCATTTGCATTAAATAATTTGATAAAGTATATATTTTTTAGCATTTACAAATGATATAATCCAAGCAAATCAGCTTTGGCTTTTCTTTTGGCCTTTTTTAATCCTCTCAATGCCCTAGTTAGCTTTTTTTTTTGTTGCCTTTCAAAAATGGGCAGCACTGTTGCGTAGTTATATTATGTGGAATCAACGCTTTATCATATTCATAGTGTAATTTGTTGGCTGGAGGCAAAGGCAAGAGTATTACTCATAAGCCTGATGAGTCAGCGCCAGCTATAAAAAAACCAACAATAATACACAAACAAGCAGCAAGAATAATAACAACAAGAAGAAGAAGAACGTGAGAAAAAGTGCATGAAATAAGCCACTTAGCGAATGGCGTTGCCTGATTGATTTTATTCCCGTTTTACGAATATTGATAGCAATTCCCATTTGCATAGCGAAGCGCTGCCAGATAGTTGCAATCAAGCAGAAGGCAAGACGACGCTTAACCGTTTAGTTGATGCTACGGGGGCAGTGGCAGGGGGGGGGGGGCACATTGGAAATGCTTATCCTGCGGCAAAGGTCACCGCAACCCCCGCATAAGCATTCACGCCTGAAAAGCGTTGCGCGTGGGCATTGCCAGTGGGTGTTGTGTGTGGGTGTGTATGTGTGTGTGTTTGGAAAAATCGATGAATGCTGCGGTGCTTGGAGCTGCTCGTTTGATAAGAATATGTAAATGCAAAATGTTTTGCATATCGGTGCTTGCCAATTAAACTGGTTCGTACATAAATAAATAAATAAATAAATGCGTGTGTGTGTGTGTGTTTAGTGGGGCGTCATTTTTATCACAGCCTTGCCTATGGGCTGTACTTGTGTGCGTGTGTCGCTCCCCATGTGTGTGTGTGTGTGTGTGTTAGTCAGAATAGCAGCAGTTAAATTTTGTCGTATTGGAATGTTTGTCATTGCACTTACTCTGGCCGACCAAAACTTTTAACGCCATGTTTGCTGGAATTCGTTGTTTTCACTGGCACTAACTGGCCCGGCTATTAATCAATAAACTATTTCAATTTTTTTTTTGTTGTATATCTTTGCGGTTGACGCACAAACGCAATAGCCAAATAGTTTAACAATAATGAATGTCGAAAAATTGATCACCACCGCAACTCAAAACGAAAAAAAAAATAATAACTCAACACCAACCGTCGGTGAAAACGCGGCTAATATTTAATTGTTTATGGAAATCGTTGCGTATTCTTTTTGTATATAATTACAGCTTGTATGAACGAACTCCCTAGTATATGCTTGCAGGGATGGCTCAAAACATCGATATGCCTTGCCATATCGATATGTGGCTAAGTTGGCGATAGTCAATGGCATCGATACTTTAGAGTTAAGCTAAATCCAGGATACTGAAAGATTAAAAAAAAAATACTATTTTCTTTGCTTCACTCATCCACACTTATCTTTTTTAAATACTAAATGTGTAATGTCTGGTAGCGCTTGACATGCGATGTGGCAGCTCTGTCAGAAATAACGCGCAAATTTGTAATTTTTAACGATCCTATCATTTTATTTGCGCCTAACACTAGAAAACAAAAACAACTTATCACAATATATAATAGAATAGAAAAAAAAGCTATGTTTAAATCTATAAAGGCATCAGCTCCGCCAAAGATTCGGCGATTGTGCTATCACGGAAGCGTCCAATTCTCAGTGCATAGGAGATGACGTGCGCCACGTAGCTTTGCTCGTGCACACCATGGAACAGATAGGACATGGCACCTGCCCGACAACATTTAATTAATTAAATATATATACTAAATGCATTGCATACATACCACGCGCATGTATCGTCACATCGGAGCCGCCGTGCAGATTCTCATCCGTATTAATGGCCGCCTGCTGTGTGTATTCCCAGTCTGTGGTGTCGCTGAGCGCCGGATTTTGACGCAGCATGCGCTCCGTGTTCACCTGAAAGCCCTGGTAGCTGGTGCCGTATGTGAGCGTCGTGTATGGCGTTTCCTCGGTCTTTGAGTTGCCGGCCAGGCCCAATATGTCAGCGCCACGTTCCGGATGCCCGTTGATGGTCAGACTATGGGCATGGTCAGCGGTGACAATCAGCAGCGTCTCGTCCAGCTGATCCCTGTAAGTGCACGTATCGCAATTAGCTATTGTTGAAGAGTCTGTAATTGTGGGTACTCACTTGGCTTTCAGATACGCCTGGACCGCCTGCACGGCCTCGTTCAGGGCGAGCACCTCGCTGAGCGCCTTGCGCGCCTGCCCACGATGATGAGCCTGGTCGATCATGCCCGCCTCGACAACAAGTAGATAACCCTTGTCGCTGTTGCCCAGCACCTCGAGCGCCTTTATTGTCATATTGGTTAGCGAGGGCATGCCGGCGTCGCTGACATCCCGCTCGTGATCGTACTTGAGATGTCCATTGGCAAATATGCCCATCACATAGTCAACGTTTTGTGTATCGAGATTCCTGAGCTGACCGTTGTTCTGCACCACGGCATGCGATTGGCCTTTTGCCGTCTTGAGCATCGCCCAGTCGCGGATCAGATTGCGTCCGTCCGCCGCTTGACCCGCCCACATGTCGAGCGGATCGCTGGCTGTGCCCGTCACATTCGAGACCAGCATCTGGCGACCGCCACCCATGATGACCTGCCAGGTGAGTTGTTCAGCTTAATTGACTTACATCTTTTACTAAGAAACGACAGAATACTTACATTTATTTGTTGGCCCGTTGACTGCTCGACCAGCTGGCGTGCTATGTCCTGGCAGCCTTGCTGCTGCGCCTCCGCCGGCATGCGCGACTCACACTCCCAGCGGCGATCCGGCACATGGGCGTACAGTGCCGCGGGCGTGGCATGAGTCACACGCGTGGTCGTCACAAAGCCCGTACGCATGCCATCCACTTGGGCCCAATTGAGTATGTTCTGTACGTGATGGGCCTCCTTCAGCGAGGCGCTACAATTGCCGAGCGGAACGGCGGCATCAACGCCGCCCGTCTCATAGTTGGCCTTGACGCCGCCAAAGAGCGCCGTGGCCGTCGAAAAGGAGTCTGGCACCTGTTTGTTGGCACAGTAGGTCTTCAGCAGGCCCATGTGCGGGAAACGCTCCCAGCTGAGCAGGCCCTCCTCCTTGAAGCCATAGATGCGCGCCGCAGTCACCGTATTCGGGCCCATGCCGTCGCCCACAAAGAGCACCACATTCTTGGCACGACGTCGATTCAGCTCACGATTCAAGGCCAGCTTGAGCTCATCTATGCCGCGATCGTACCACTCCTGCTGCTCCTTGGGCAGCGTGACATGCCAATAGGCCACCGTTTCCATGTCGCTTACATCTCCAGCGAACTCATAGTGCACCAGAAAGCCAATGCACATGGCTATCATTAGCACCGACGAGAAGCTAACGGCTATGATGAACACCTTCGATTTGAACACATTCTTTTGCTGCTGCCGCTGCTGCTCCTGCTGCTGTTGCTGTTGCTGCAGTTGCTCCGGCAGGGCTTTGGCTCTGGGTGTGCCGCCGTTGGAATTGGCAAAATTATGACTCGAGTCCAGGCTGTCCAGCTGCACCTCAATGAGGCCCACATCGCCCAGCTTGGTGCTGTCCGTGCCCGTGGATGACATCGCAATGCCCGAATTTTAGCTCTATCTATTGACTCACGTCTGTCCCGGATTGCTGCGCGCGCTGATTAAGCTTTATGCGGCCTGTAAAAGTGAGATATATGACACAGCTGCAATCTCAAGTGCGCCTCCCTCACCTCGCCTTCCCTTTCTTTCAGATAAGAGAGATAAAAACTGAAGCAACCGAACCAGCTTCACTCACCTGGCACGATTACAACGACGCTCGCCCGCGACCAACCATTAAATACCCAAATGGCCAATTCGATTACGCTTTACTCTAACCAGTCGACAGCTACGATTCGAGCCAACGTCACGGTCTCAATTACTGAATTGACCAAATTCCCCCCGTATGCCCACTTATAGCTCCGTTCCCGCTCCCGCTCCCGCTCCCGCTCCCTTCAGCCGGGGACATGATTAAGACGCCGAGTGCCTGCCGAGCAGCGGGGCCGTGTGCTTTTGGTTCGTCTGCGTCTGCCATGTTGGCTGTCTTTTTTTTTTCAAACTCGCTCTCAATATACACTTGCCCGACAGGTATATGCACTATTATATAAATTGCATTTTAAACCAAATTGAAAATCTATTTTTGTTTCCTTTTCTTCAGGCACTCAAATTGTGAATTCTCTCGCCTGCTCTACGCCTAGGGTATGTTAGCTATATCACACAATATGTCTTATTTCATTTCAATTGATATTGATTGAAAGAAAATTTGTTTATTTTATGCACCGAGTACTCCTTAAATTAATGAATGTTATATATAAGCATTTTGTACTAAGTATTATATATGTCTATGTATGTATGCATGTGTGTGTGTGTGTTTGTATGTGTGTATGTGTATGTGTGTGTGTGTGTGTGTGTGTGTTTGTGTGTGTGTTAGTGTTTATGTATATATGTTTGCAGACCAAGCTTGTTTTCGCTGTGCTGCAAATTTAAATATAACGAATTTCTACCAAGTGCTCTCCTCCTCGATTCTCAAGAATTCAAGTAGGCCCTGCAGTTTTTCATGCTTGGCTAGTACTGTAGTATTTTTTTTTTTTTTTTTGTTTTTTTTTTGGTGTTTTTTTTTGGTGTTTTTTTTTTTTGTTTTTTTTGTTTGTATGTATGTATGTTCACATTTATATGTATGTACGTGTGCACATACATATATATGTGTGCATGTTTGTACGCTGGCAGCAGAGGAGCCGGAGGAGCACCAAGGGGGCGGAGCGGGAGGCGTGGGGGTATGTACGTATGTATGTATGTATGTACGTATGTATGTAGGTATGTAGGTATGTAGATATGTATGTAGATATGTATGTATGTATGTATGTATGTATGCATGTATGTATGTATGTATGTATGTATGCATGTTTTTATGTATGTATGTATGTATGTATGTATGTATGTGTGTATGTATGTATGTACACGTATGTATGTATGTATGTTTTTATGTATGTATGTATGTATGTATGTACACGTGTATGTATATGTACGTATGTATGTATGTACATATGTATGCGTGTATGTGCGTATGTTTGTATGAAGGTGTGTATGTAGTATGCATGCATTTATGTAGGTATCCGGGCATGAATTCTTACATGTGCGCATGCAAGCATTTTTGCATATATACAAAACAAACATGCATACATGTATATACAAACAGGCATACATACATATGCAAAGTTAAGAGTTATCTCAAAAAATCGTTGCAGCTCAATTTCCACCGAGGAATCTTGGATTCGGCGAACAGTGTGAAACACGTCTCAAATGATTTTTCGTGTAGATCGAACATTGCCAACAAGGAGGCATGGATAACAAGAGTTTTTTCCACACATGCGAGTCAAATTTCCCGAAACATAAGGTAACTACACTTAAAATTTCATATATAAACATTTATTTATATATATTTGTGTACTTATAATTTGGCATACAATACTTTGTGGAAATTCAAAGTTCCTATATGCCACTTTTTCCGTCTATACGAAACTTGATCCATATTTTATCTTGTGTATTCCTGTTAGAGGAGACACATGCAATTCGCTGCTTCTGAAATCTCTCTTGATTACATTTCGATTTAATTGTATTTATTCAAATATTCGTGTATCAAAGTTCACACAAATGTTCTCTGAGATATGATTCAACTAAACTTGAGCTCATTTCAAGCATCTCCATATCTTTAGGTAAAAGCTAAGCCGCTTCTTAAAAACCTTCAGGCTAAATGAAACATAAATAAGTGAAAGTTTATGTTTATCAAGTTGTACTTAAGGTTTTTTAATCAAGTGTGTTTTGTAATTTGCATTTTCTGCAGCTTACAAAACTTTTTCCTAACTCCTCTTAACTACTTGAAGCTTTTTATTCCCTGAACCCATTAAAATTGGGTATAAGGGTATATTGTATTTGTGCGAAACCCAAATGCATGTAACAGTCAGAAGGATGCTTCTCCGATCCCATAAACTATATATATTCTTGATCAGCATCAATAGCCGAGGCGATCTAGCCATGTCCGTCTGTCTGTCCGTATGTATGAACGCAAGGATCTCAGAACCTATAAGAGCTATAGGTCCTCCTAGTTCCTGTGCAGCTCGAGTTTGTTTCCGATAATCGATAACTTTCCCCGTTTCCAAGCAATCGATAAAAATCGCTATCGATATCCTGTTTTTGGGCAGTTTTGGTAAATAATAAGAGCTAGAGTCACCAAACTTGACATATAGCTTCTAGAATAGAATATATATATATATATATGCATTTGATGTTGGAGGAAGAGGTTGCAGGGTATCCCCTAGTCGGGTGCTCCCGACTACAACCTCTAACTTGTTTTAATTCTTCAAGAATTTGTGGTTATATTCTTAGCTCAACTGTGACCAAAACTAGTTGCAAGTCAAATACAAATAACAGAACACAGATAGACAGATACTCTTGGGTAGGGGATCTGCGGTGCGACCAGTCCGAAGTGGTAATTGCCTGGGATCGGGCGTGCGATTGATAAGGTTGATTGTGAGTAGCATAACGCTATTTATGACCACTTCAATTTGGCCAAACGTGGAGCAGAATATAGCTCAAGTGGCAACAGATATACATATATGCCTAGATGCCTATCGACTCGCCGATGTGTCATAAGAAAAGTGAAAATATTCGACGACAATCGCAAAACATGTTCGATTCTGTCTGACGTAAATTGTTTGTCCCATTATCTGATGGGAGATGATATGCGTGCCTCTCAAGACGATTGATTGAGACGATTAGAGACCCCCCCCTCCCCTTTGTAATTAGCGCGGGTTTGAATAGCACTCGAATCGGTTTGATATATGTATTTATATAGGCATTAGCATAGATCATTAGAAACGGATTTCTTAATGAAGTTAGCCAGGCATAAAAACCTAAGGTCGAAAGAAAAACAAGTAAGAAGTTCTAGTAGGGAGCTTCCGACTAGGGAATACCCTGCACCCTCTACCACCAACATCAAATGTATATATATATATATTCTATTCTAGAAGGTATATGTCAGTTTTGCTGACTCTAGCTCTTATTATTTACCAAAATTGCCAAAAAACAGGATATCGATATCGATTTCATATCGATTGCTTGGAAACGGGGAAAGTTATCGGTTATCGGAAACAAAGTCGATATGCGCGGGAACTAGGAGCACCTACATCTATTTCAGGTCTCTAGACAGGTCTCTCAGACGGACCGACATGGCTAGATCGACTCGGCTATTGATGCTGATCAAGAATATATATAGTTTATGGGATCGGAGATGCTTCCTTCCGCCTGTTACATGCATTTACATTTTGCACAAGTACAATATACCCTTTTTACCCATTTTCAATGGATACAGGGTATAAATATACTCAACAATTATTGCCCGGCGAGTTATGATCTAATCGAGATATGGCACGATATAAACAAATCTGACAGAAACGCAAACGATATGGAAATCCTATCCCCCCACCCCACTACCCCCCTTGTCATATTCTTGGAAAGTTTTATAGTGAAAAAGAAAACACAGAAATACCTAGAACTTGGGCGCATTGTGGCTGCCTGCCTGGCTAACGGTAAATAAAACACTTGTTTTAATTGCGGGCGTGTGGGCGTGGCACATGCAATCATGCATATATAGTTCTGGCTGGCGTGTTCTATAATTAGGCAGAGGGCACAACTAATTGATTTATATCAAAAGCCAGCTGAGAGCAGGAAGTGAGAGAGAGAGAGGGAGAGAGAGAAACTATCCCTCCGCTCCCGTCACACACTCCCCACCGCCGCAGAGTGTAAAATAATAGAATGATTTAACAATTAAAGCAATTCAAGAATTTAGATAAAAAATGACGGGGCAACAATAAAATGTTTACATACCTGGCATCCACATAAGGCACGGGCAAATATACGTTTTTTTGGGCAATTTCAACTGGCCGTTAAAAGACAACAAGACTGATGTGTTAACTTAAATTGTTTCTATGCCCTTTAAAGAAACCCAAAAAAAACAACAACAATTGTATTTATTTGTATAATAATTTGGAATTGTTAAACTTCCTCTAGACAATACAAATTGGTCCGTTCGCAGCAAAAGTTGCTGGCGTTTTGCGTGTCGTACAAGCTGAATGAAAACAAGAAAGTTAGTTTTGGGCGAAACGCGCACACCGACTCTCGACTACCCTAACCGCAGAACGCCGAACGTGCAGCAAATGCTGGCAATTCAAAACAAAATGTTAAGAGTACTTATCAACTGTTCGCATTTAGTTTTGTGTGTTTCACTCTAATCAATTGTTGTTGTATCGCACAAACAATATTAAATAGTTGATGGGCCAGCGGCTGTGCATTTAACAACAATAACAAAACATTTGCTGCCATAGCAATGTGAGAGAGCGAGAGAGAGAGCATGCGCTCGCTGCGTTAACAGCTGTTAGGCAGCTGTTATCGATTGGCACGTGGCGCCCTCTGCTAAGCGAGCTGGCAATAACATTTATCGAACAGCATTTGGCGCGCCAAGTGTAGAAATTCAAATAGTTGGCATGCAAATTGTGAGGCATTTCGAACGGCTGCGACCGCAGAACGCGTAGCAATTTAATGTTAAGAACTTATCAACTGATCACATTAAATTTTGTTTTTTTCACTCTAATTAAATAGTTGGCACGCCAGCGACTGTGCATTCAGCAACAATAACAAAACATCTGCTGCCATAGCAATGTGAGAGAGCGAGCGAGAGAGAGAGAGAGAGATGTCAGAAGCATGCGCTCGCTGCGTTAACATAAAAGACAGCTGTTATCAATTGGCACGTGGCGCCTCCTGTTAAGCGAGCTGGCAATAACATTTATCGAACGACAACTGTTATCGAACGGCATTTGGCGCGCCAAGTGGGCAAATTCAAATAGTAGGCGTGTAAATTGTCAGGCATTTGGAACGGATGCGAGAACATGCTCAGTATTTAGCGTGTTACACAATCAGTCGCACGAAACAAATGCTTGTCATCAAATATATATATATATATATACATATATATATATTTATATACACAACTGAAAAAGTATTGAACAGAACATACAAAATAGAAATTAATCAAGATGTTGCGCATACCAGGCATGCCCCTACTGCCGGGCACCCTCTTCCGTGAAGTAAGTACCAACCAATGCAATATCTTTATCTTTCTTCTCTTTATATCTTATCTGCTTATCCGACCAATCGATAGGTTAATAAAGTGTACTATCCGAAATCGCAAACGTTGCTCAACTTTCGTGGCATACCGATGCTCAGCGATCGCCAGCATCCGATGCCCGTGGATCCTGCCGGTGCTGTTGTCGACATTAGCTGCCCGCCGGCCGCTGCGCATGCTCTATATCCGCCCCGTTCGGGGCCACGCCTACCGCCCTGGCTGGCCTACGACAAGAAGGTGCTCAGCTTTCGCGCCTATTTCAAGCAGACACTGCAGGAAAACTTTCACGCCCCGTATATGGTGCGGCATGTGAAGATCTATTACTATCTGGAGGACGGAACGCTCGAGATACACGAACCGAAGGTCGAGAACTCGGGCATTGTGCAGGGCTGTGTGCTGCATCGACAGCGTGTGCCCAAGCCGCCGCCCTGCGAGAACGAAACGCTCTCCATAATCGATCTCAACGTGGACAAGACGGTGCTGATCTTCGATCGCAACTATCACATTGTCGACTGCGATCGCTTCACGCGCAATTTTCTCAACAAGCGCGGCATTGTGGTGCCGGATCCGGTGATGGCCGCCATGTGAGTGGAAATCCATATACATATATCAATTTTGATTAATATGAACCATTTTGCAGCGATCCGGCCGAGGCGGTGCGCAAACGTGGCCAGGTACGCGCCAGCAATCCGCCAGAGAAGCGACATCCGTTTGCCCAGTTCCTCAAGTACGATCGCCAGATACTCAAGTTCCAGGCCTATTGGGACGATCGCACCGACATGGGCGATGTGCGCAAGCTCGAGGTCTGCTACTATCTGGCGGATGACACCATCGAGGTGAAGGAGGCTCACATACGCAACTCGGGACGCGACGGACCGACCGTCTTCCTCAAGCGCGGACGCTTGCAGCGCGTAAGTAATCCCGATCACTCGATCACACTCGATCACTCCATCACTTTTCTCGCAGGAGTTCGATGGGATGCTGTTGCCGGGCCAGCAGACGCCCGTGACGCTGCTGAATGTGCTCGGCTCTGCCCGGAATGTGCGCTACTGCATCGATCCGCTCAATCTGGGCAGCAAGGAGATACTATATTATAGTCAACGCGATTTGCAAATCGGCAGCGTGCTCAACGTATACGGCCGGGCGGTGGTCATCACCGACATGGATCCGTTCACCAAGCAGTATTATCGCGATCATTACGGTATTGCTGAGTTTACGCCAATTCCGATGCCGACCCGTTCGGATGTCTGCAAGCCGTACGACAAGTCCGGACGCATGCTGCCGCCGTTCAATGGCTGGGGCAGCTACGAGGACTCTGCCGGCAATTGCATGTCCATTGTGATCAAACGGCCCAAAACGGATTTCCGGAAATTCATCAAATTCGATCGCTATGTGCTGCGCTTCGGCGCCAAGATGCTCTCCACCATACGGGAGAACTGCGAACGTATATTCGTGATCAGCTACTATATGAGCGACGATACCATGCAGGTGCAGGAGATAGCGGTGCGCAATTCCGGCTTCCTGGGCGGCGTATTCATGAAACGGACGCGCGTCCTCATGCCCGGCCAGGAGAAGTTCTCGTGCAAGCAGCCGCAGTATTATAGGCCGTGCAATTTCTTTATTGGCGGCACCATGTCCATCAAGGATTTCATATTCCATCTGGTATCCGCTGATGAGTTCACGTTGATGTACATGGAACATCATCCGGAACAGTTTCCGCATTGCAATATGGAGCTCATTCTGGAGAAGGTGCGCAAGGCGCTGGAGCCGCGCATGGCACAGTTTGTCTCTTCGTGTGTGCCCGACTGCACGGATCTGGAAAAGAAAATGGAGAAGCGCACCGTTTTCGTGTCATTCGAGAGCCTAAAGGGCGCCTTGGTTGCGCTAATGGGCAACACGATCAGCGATCATGAGATCATCTCGCTGTGCCGTCACTTTTCCGGGGAACAGGCGCCGCCGAATGCCTGCGCCCGGGACAAGGTGCGCGCCTCGGCCCATTTGGAGATCAAGCGTTCGCTGTGGAATGGCCGGGATGAGCTGATGGAGCATTTCCATCACATCAATCCGACCAATAAGCCATTCCTGCCGGAGGCCCAGGTGCGCTCCACGCTGCGCGGCTTTCGCATGCCCTTCACCCTCGAGCTGATCGATAACATATTGTCCGTGCTGAATCGCAACGATTGCGATGATATCGAGGTCTGCGACCTGATGAACTTCATCGATGTATCCTGCACCAAGGGCTGCGATATGCCGCCCATCAACTATGCCTTCGAGCTGTGCCCCAAGCTGCCCTTCCAGTACAAGGGACGCGTTGTCGACTTTGGCTGTTTACTCAAAGCCCTCAACCTGCCCCTCAATCTGCCCAGCAGCAAAGCCCAGCCGACCAATATGATCGGCGATGCCCGAATATTGCCACCCTCAGCCATAACCGATTGTTGAACCGATCTTAGATCATCGATCCGTGATCCGTGATCCTTGATCCTTGTTCTGTGATCCTCGATCCACACGCTGCTCAGTGAAGGGAGGCCGACTAATGTGTTCTCGTCTCAATTTTAAAATGTTATGCAGTTACACATTCCAGCTATAGTCGTAGTTAGATCGAAATTTCTTGTGCCACATGCATCGACTTAAGCGGACAATCTCAGACATTAGGAACTATCGTGGTGTAGCGTACGTAGAATATACACAGAGAAAACACAAGCATCAGACATTCAAATATATTTTAAAATATCGACAACAAACAAAATATGTAAAAAACAAATTAATAAAAGCGTATAGAAGTTCGAATTTAAGCATCTATCGTTGTGAACAGCCTTGGAATATATTATTCCCCTAAGGGACTCTGCACGAAATCCTGCGCCGAATTGGGCCTGAGGAGAATAGGCTTGAGTTTAAGGTAGGCTATCTTATTACTCCAAATGAGCAAAGCTTCCTCACGAATTGCTCAGCTAATCATTTTTGCTTTGTAGCTTTCAGTCAAAATACCTCGGATCCATAACGGAGCTGCGGTTTAGGCCATGCCAAGCAGGTAAACATCCTTCCTACTTGTCTCTGAAAACCTTTCCTCAATTGTGACTACAAAGTAAAAACCACTTGCTTCTTAATCCTTTAGCTACTTTTTGCATATGCCTAAGGAATAAGCATGGTACAAAGCGCTGCTCTTCATCATCTCGACATCTCTTGATGTTGGAAATCTTTGGCTAGGCAATCGGGTAAGTCCTATGCTGTACTTAGTTGGGCATAACCATTGACGATCCTTGTTTAGTGAGATAGGCATCTATTCTTTTTATTTCATAAATGTTTATTGTACATTTGTGCTACAACACAGTTGACTTAGGAGTTGCTTCAGTGCCAAGCCTGTCCCAAGATCCTAAGGCTTTAGGCCTGTTTGCATAATCCTAGCTCATTCTCTCGTTCGAAAAGCCCCAACTTACCCATAACTAATAAGACTCAGCGTAGAACTCTGCACAAGTCTACTCAAGCTTCTTTCCAGTGCCGTAAATAATTCGCTTTGCTTTTTGTACATTTTTATAAGTCTCTATTTATTAATTTCTTGAAAATAGCATATTGGGTTTTGCAATAATAATAATAATAAAAAAAAAAACAACTAGAATATTTTAATGAAATAATAGCTTATAATACGAAAAATTGTCGCATATCAAGGGCGGCAGGATGGGTGTAATCCATTTGATGTTCTCAAGAAATGCAGCTAGTCGTATTATTTTGTTGCTTCTGCTTTTGTTTAAAAGCATTTAAACATTTAAACATTTATTACTTTAACATCAGTTTATGCTTAAGAAATGTCGGAAAAAGTTTGGTTTTGCCCCAAAATGGATTTTCATTGTTTAGTTTATTATTTCGGGTATATGTATGTATATATATTTATTGAAAGCCAAATGAGTTTTACAAAAATTTTACTGAATAACTGTTTAAATTAAAATTGGTCGCATATACATATACATATATATATATAATTAGTTTTAATTGCGATTAGCTTAAGTACTGCACTTAGAATTAATTAAACATTTAAAACAGATTAAAAAAAAAAATAATCGAATTTGGTTTATCAAAAGTGAAAAATCAAAAATCATACCGTGAGATGTGCTAAACTAAAGGATATCCAGATACAAATATATAAATGAAATAGTAAAGAAAAAAAAAAAGTACACTACAATTGAAAGCCGAAGGTGATTAATTATTTATAATGTTGTTGCTCTTGTTGTTGTTGTAGCTGCTCAGTTTGTGTTTTTTTTTTGGGGGGAGGAAAATGTTAATCAGCGCCATATTATATACTATATCGAGTATGTGCATTTAATTTAAATTTAAATTTTGTGTTTATTGTTACAAATGGGTATATAGGATAATGCAAATGTGATTACAATCGAAATGTAGTGAAGTCGTGAGATTAGGCGATTCATCATCAAAGTTAAGCGGGCCCCCAAAGGTTGTTACGCTGGGCTGGACAGTTGTTGTTGTTGTTCTTGTTGTTGTTGTTGCATCGGTTCAACTCGTTACTCGTTGCTCGTCACTCGCTACTCGTTGCTCGTCACTCGCTACTCGTCACTTGTCGCTTGCAACTCGTTACTAGCTGCTCGCTACTCGTCACTCGTCGCTTGCAACTCGTTACTAGCTGTTCGTCACTCGCTACTCGTCACTCGTTACTCGCTACTTTGTCACCCACTTGTCGTTAGTCGCTACTCGTCCCTCGCTACATGTCACTCACTACGCTTTACTCGCAATTCGTCACTCGCCACTTGCCACTCGCTACTCTTGCAACTCGCTAAATGTCACTAGCTACTTGCTACTCGGTACTCGTCACTCGTCACTCGTCACTGATCTGATTTGCTTGTCCTGCCGTTCCGAACCATGCGCTTTTACAATTTTGGCTAACCCCTAATCCACAAACTGATGCTGCTGCTGCTGCTGCTTAGATCTCATCGATATCTATCTCGTCGCCATCCTCTTCATCCATGGCGTTCTTCTTGTTGACAGCGGCAACGGCGGCACTGACAGCGGCTACCTTAAGAGGTTCGACCCGAGCACGATCATCATATTCGATTTCCACATCCGAATCACCGCCAGCATTGTTGTCCTCGTCAGATGAAGAGTCCTCCTCCTCGGCATCCTTGAGCCATTGGACAAACGGTTCCACTCTCTCGTGTATTTCGGTGGCAATCTTCTTTGAAACATGACGCTTGCTCACCTTTTGGGCCCACTCGAGTATCACCTTCTCGTCGAGTATGTCCAAGTCGTAGAAGATCTTAAAGATGCCGGCCACCTTGCTCATCAGCGTGTTAGCATGCAGCTCCACGGTCTGCTCGATGCCGCCAATCAGATAGCGCTGACCCTTCGGATTGTTATGGGTGAAGCGCAGCAGTAGAATGCGATTCTTGCGCACATCGTGTATGATGTTCTCCGTGAAGAGCAGTTCGGCCAGCACCAGCGGCGCCTTGTTCACAATATCCAATCGTTCGGCCTCAATCAACAGCTCCTTGTGCGTGGGCACATCATCCAGCTGCTTATTGTCGCGCTTGTTCTTCACCAGCTCATAGAAGATGTCGATACGTTCCTTTTCTGTCTTGTCGTAGTCATCCGAAATGGTCATACCCTTGGCACCATCGGTTAGGTCTTGCAAACGTGCACGGATCGCTTCCTGTAAATGCAAGAACAAATCTTGAAATTCCAGCAAACAATTCTGTTAATGTTACTCAACATATGCAAGCCTTAACAGTAGCATGTTAACTACAACAGTCTCTCGCCAATAGAAACACACACACGGTTAAAGGCATGTTAACTTGCTGTTAACCAAAGATTATTAGATTCAAATTAGCCCCTTTGTACTGATATTCGATTATATGTACGTTAATATAGCATAATTAAGCAGCTTTAGAAACTGCAAGAATAAAAACAAATGGCAAGCTGACAAACAGCTTTTGCTAATCGATAACAGAAATGTGATACCAGCCGAGTTCAAGCTGTTATTATATCTGTTAATGCTAAAATACTTTTATGTTAAGCTGATATTGCAGCTGTTAATGCTACATAATTTTCATGTTATGTTGGTATTGCAGCTGTTAGTGCTAAAATACTGTTATGTTAAGCGCGCGTACACTGTTAGGCAACTACTTTGCGCTAACAGTAACATTCCCCACACTGTTAAGCAACTCTCTTCCTGACAGCAATGTTAACAGAATCCTTATTGTGGTTAGACTTAGGTTTATCTATGTTGTTCATTTTAGTCAAAGCCCATAGCTCACCTTGGAAACATCAACGCTCCAGCCGCCATCGTCATCATCCTCGGTAATGCTCTTCTCTGGTATGGCGGCGCTGATCTCGGCCTCGGTTTGGCTGGCATGATTGGTGCCATTGCCGCCATCGGATTCGCCGCCAGAATTGTTGGCCATTGAGTTGTTGGACATGGAACCATCGGAATTTTCGTTCTTCTGCTTCTGGACACGCTTGGAACGCTTGCCCTCGGTCAGGGAGGAGCCCTGTGCGGCCGGATTTAATGATGGTGGATTCTTCACAATGTACGTGTTGACTTTATGATTGACCTTGAGCAGACCATGAAAGCCGCAGGCCTTGCACGATTGCGAGATGGTCTGATTCTTGGCCGAGACGGTCAAATTGGTCTCCGGATTATCGCATTCCGGACACAGCACAAATTTGCGTATGAAGCCATCGAGCAGATCCTGCAGCTTGTTAACATCATGCGATCCATTCACAATGAAACGTTCGTTCTGCGTTTCAAAACGAAAACAAATATAAATATCAAATAGTAAATGGGAAGGTGAAAGCTAACGAAGCTGTACAGAGCGTAAGAGAGAGAAACGAGAATTCCACGCGCAAGCGTGGAAAATGAATGAAACGATTTTGTCATACCTTATGATCGAACTGCGTTTGGGCGCCCAGTTCACAGCCAAAGTACTTGGTCGGATAGGTGGCCGGGCGGCCGATGGCGCGGGCCACTTCGGCCATGTTGACCAGGACCGTTTTGATGCCGTTGCCCTTGCCCTCGACCTTGGCCTGTAGACGCGGCATCTTGTAGCGATAGAAGATGTCCGTTACGCTGCGGTTCACATTGACGGTCGCCATTTTGCAGCTGTACAGTGCCTGTTCCGGTTCCGTAGATGCTTATTGCCTGATTTGATTTGATTTGATTTGTGATGTTGTTGCTTCTATGTTTTCCTCCTCCAGTTGGATGTGTGTGTGTGTGTGTGTGTGTGTGCTGGCGGCGTTTGGGAGAGGTTTCAGTGTGGATGGTGGTTGGTGGGGATGGGGGCTACTCTTTCAGCGATCCGGGAGTGAATGGATCGTTCGATTAATTCCAATTGTCTATGGTGTTTTGTGCGGCTGGCAGCGCCAATTTGTTGACTTTAGCGGCTAACTTGCAGTTGCTTTGCGCCTCGTTTCCGTTCATTAAATTTGCTTTTGGCTCAACCTGCTCTCTTCTTTTGGATCGCTTTGATCTCTGTCTCTCTCTCTCTCTCTCTCTCTCTCTCTCTCTCTCACTCGCTCTCTCTCTCTCTCTCTCTCTCTCTCTCTCTGTGAAGCGGGGGCGAGGTTCTTGTAGAGAATCAGCTAGTTGTTGTGGTTATTCTTGCCGTTGGCTGTTGCCGCCAATTCCGTTTCCGTTTCCGTTTCGGATTTCCACTGCAAATTCACTTCCACTGGGCATCGACTCGTGCATCCAAAACGTGGACGTGGGCAACACAGTTAACAGTTTCTTCTGTGTGTGTGTGTGTGTGCTTTGTTTATGTTTTGGGAACCTCTTTGTCTAGAGTTTCTCTGGGCTTCCAGTCTTCCTTCACTCCTCCACGTCTCTAAGTTGATTTGGATTTGTGGTGTTTTTTTTTTTTGTTGTTTTCTGTGTAGTTGTGTGTTTCTTTCTGCCGTCTCCTATCCCCTTCTATTCGTTTGTAGTGCGGGCTTTACTGTATAGTATATATATGCTGTCTATATATCTGGCATAGTCTTAGCTATTAGTGTTGTTGTTTTTTTTTGTTGGTTTTTTTTTGTTTTTAATTTTTTTGGATTTTTGTGTTTTTTGTTGTTGTTGTTGTTGTATGTTTAATAAAAAACTATTGGAACGGTACAATGGTTGGCTCACGTGTACCTGAACGGCTGTAACTTCCGATGTCTGTTACTTGAAGTCCTGCAAAATGCAGAAAATGCCATACGATTAGTGTGATAAGAGCAGAAATTGTGCTTAACAGCTTAACATGTTAGCTTAACAGATTTCAGCTAACATTTGGCACGCCAGCTGTTAGTGCGCAACAGCATGCTAACTAACAGACAACTGTCTGTTAGCAACATACACAAACTGTAGTTAACAGTGCTGATGTTAAGTGGCAGCGCAAAATAACATATGTTAAGTTAATTTCAATATGCGACAACACATATTAACTGTGGCTATGTTAACTGTAGTTTAACATAATTATGTTAACTGAGGTTTAACATAATTTATGCTAAGACTAGACTGGGCTGCGTATCTCGGCTCGCTTAGACAACTTATTTATGGTGAACTACAACGTTTAAGTATATTTACGTTTAACATTGATGAGAGGCGAATGGACTGTAGCTAACAGCAATGTTAGGTTTTTACAGACAGACAAATGTTAAGGCGCATGTTAAATTAGTTTTAAAGCTGTCTACCAGCTTATGTTAAATGCATTTCTCATTAATATGACGAAGTGTGACTTGCAACAGACAAGCGCTGTTAAAACGCAATGTTAGATGAATTTCAACTTGATTTATATGCTAATTTCAGGCATAATTGCGTGCTTTAAGTTTCCAAGGCAAACACACACACACACACGCACAGATACAGCTACAGCTACTAATCAATAGCAGCTGCGCGTCCTGTGTGCACGTGTGACCTATTTCACAGAGCCGTGACCGTCAAGCGTAATTAGATGGAACATACTTATAATATAGACTATAGCTTACCGATGACTTATAGTTCGCCTCTTTGAATTCATGCACAGTTCGAAGCCTTTACTCCGTTTTTGTGGAATTGGAGGTGCGCCTTTTTTTGCTGGTGTTTCTGCAAATATACCAAGAGAATCGATTAGTATACGAATACAGTTGAAACGATCAGCATAAAAGATGCATGTATATGGTGTCGACCTGTTGGGTATGAGCGTGCCCCCAGACAGTGTCCTTATTGGCTTACCCACATAGGTATACAGTTAGGCCAGCTTTCGGAACGGTGCATAGCAAGTAAACATTGGTAACCCACTTCGACACAACTAAGTACACTGGACAACTGGACTGAGCCGCAATGGTTTGCTTTGCTTTGCTTTGGAATCTTGAAACTAGCTTGATCTTCGAGTTGTTTGGATGTTGGGTTGGGTTTGTTATAGGTTGGTTGGTTGGGAGGGGGAAGGGTGTGGATGTTGGGGGCTAGAACGATCGATCGGTTGCTCGCTCTTACGCCAGCCTTTCAATGCCGCCTCATCGAGAGCTTAATGGAGCTGCTAGCATCGGCTCTCTCTTCTTCTTTTTATACGCAGTAATTTTGAAGCAAAGCTTAACCAAAAGTTAGACCACATCAAAAATATTGTTAACGCTTCGCTATCTAGTCGAAATGTATATAAATAAATATATATAGCTATAGCTATATATATATATATATATATGTTTTATATGTTATGTTATTTGAATAAAGTTATCTTGATTTCACGGCCAATTTGAATTGCATTTGCATTTGCATTTCTCGTTCATCAACGGGCAAGAGAGACAGAGAGTAGTATGTGCCAGTCACTGCAAATTTGAGATTTACACTGAGAATTTCGCTGTTTATATATCGAATAATTTCAAAATTGAATGCCTGGATTGAGTTTTCTATAGCTGCTACTCTCTCGGACCAAGCCTCTTAATGACAGCTATGTCAAAATTCGGTTTATTTCTTACAAAAAAAAATGAAAACACAGTGCCTAATCGATTCAACGGTAGAAATATGAAATATATATACGTTCAAATATACGAGCAAGTTAATTTTCTATCGAGAAAGTTCAAAAATGCTCAACTAAAAGCCAAGCTATTCGATAAGCCAGACAGAGGCGAGTCGTATTAACAGCAAATGTTACACTGGATCTTCCATATGTAAACTTAACAGCAGCAGCAGCAGAGTTGCATTCCTTAACTATACTGTTAATTGAGCAACAATAAAAGCCGCACAGCTGCTCTTCTCTTTGCTATGTTAATTAACAGTTAACGAAACTAAAAACTGTTTTAATTGACATCACTTTACCAACTTCTTTGAGTTTCCACACTTGAAACAATATTTGAAAACTTTGCTACTTTTGAATTCGAAAACAGCTCAACAGTAGTCGAGACGCGCTCCTTAACTATTCTGTTAGCCGATTATTGAAGAACTGATTGAAGCAACTTGACGAAGAAGAGTGCAACACAAGCAAGAACGAAAACTCACCACAGAGCTGCTCGGCTCTCTCGCTATGTTAATGCAGTAGTGGGTGGGTGTGGTGGGTTTGGTGTGTGCTGGTTGGTTGGTGGAAAAGGATTTCAACTGTTGTGTGTTGAAAAACTATGGAACTCACCGCTGAGGCTGAGGTCATAGGTAATGGCCACAGTATGTCGCTGGATGGTTAAATCGCACAGCATATGATGCAGCTCGCTTTTATGGTTCGTTGTCACGAGCAGGAGCTGAACGAGCGCGGCCAGAAATTGCAATGGCAATGGCAACGTCCACGTCAACGTCAACGACAACTTCGATTGCTTGGGCGGCGTCAGGTTGATGTCGTTTACCCAGGCAGTTGGCACACACACCACAGTGGCTAACAGGATCTTCTTCTTGTTAACAGTTCTGTTTGCACTCTCTGCAAATCTGTTAATGTTATTCTTGCAGTTACAGTGGGTCACACTGTTATGGTTACTGTTACGGTTATGTTTACGTTTACTGTTACTGTTGTTACTGTTATTACTGCTGTTATTGTTGCTGTTGGCTGCAATTGTTTGCGTTATGTTCTGTTTTCGATATGCCAGCGATTTGAAATTGTTGGTTATTTGTGTGCAATTGGTATCGGTATCGGTATCGTTATCGTTATCGGTATCGTCACGTTGCAAGCGACACGTTAACATCAACGTTCGATCGGTCCGACGGGGCAACACGAAATTAGGAAAATAACAACGATAAAGAGTAGTTGGCATTAATGGACAAATGAAATAACACCAAGATTCAACACACGTGTCAAAGCGTGTGCCAATGCTGGCAAAGAGACAACAAACAACGAACAAAAAACAAAAACAAAAAAAACGCACGACAAAGTGTTTTGTGTGTGTGTGTGTGTGCGCGAGCGAACGCGAGGCCCCGAGTACGACCTCGACCTGAACAATACCCTTTAATCGATCTGAACGATCAATTCTGTTGTTGTTGTTGCTGTTGTTGCTGTTGTTGTAGTTCGTTTAGTTCTTGAAGGATGCTGTTGTGCTGCTGCTGCTGCTGCTGCCGCTTCGTCGATATCGATAAATTGATTAATCGTTATGCGTTTCATCGATGATTCTTTGATGATGCGCGCCCGTGCGTGTGTGGCCCGTGTGTTTTACTCTTAACTGTGTATTTTCTGCTCTTCTGCTGATTTATTGGACCAAATTTGGTGTGTCACATTTGAAAAACTATATATATAATAAAATGATGCTATGCAATTGAATTGATTGGAAAAAATATGAAAACTCAATGTAAAACAAAACCAAAATCGAAACTCAAATACATATGGCAGACACACACACACACACACGCACAATACATATGTGTGTGTGTGTGTGTGTGTACATGCACATATGTAATTTCGATTGTAAATGAAAAGCAGCAACAATTACAACAACAACAACAACAGCTAGGACTCCATTTCACACACACACACACACACACACACACACACACACACACGCTCGCTCGATAAAATCCAATAATTACAATGCCAATTGGCACGGACAACGGTCTCTGGTCTTTATTTCTCTTGTGCCAAATTTGCGACTATGGCTATTTGGGGGCGTGGCGCTTAGATATATATATATATATCATATATAATTGTTGTAGCTGCTTCAAATACAATTTTATGCTGGTTTTTCCCAGACAAAATGCGTGGAAAATTTTTCACGTAACGCGAACAAGTCGTGGCAAAAGAAAAGTCAAAAACTTGCGATGGGCTTAACGCTGACGAATAAACTAACGGACTGGCTGACTGACTGTTGACTCGGCGATGCTGAAAGAGCACAAGTCCTGTCACTGTGTGTGTGTGTGTGTGTGTGTGTGACATGCTCCTGGCGGGGATGGAACACAGCAGCAGCAGCAGCAGCAGCAGCTCGAGCATAACTGCGCATGTGCCATGGCCCTGCAACAACAAAACAGATGTTTGAAAGAAACCCACCAATCCACCACCAAGCAACCCACCACCTGCCCACACACACACCCACCACAATTAAATGCAACTCTGCAGCGCATTTGAGGTCAATTTAAGCATATGTTAGGCGCCAGCAGAGCGACGTATTTGCAAATTATGTTTTGTGTTTTTTTTGGGCCAGCCGCAAAGTAGGCAGCAACAAAACGCTTGATAAAACAAACGAAAAATAGCCGAAATGTCAGCAGCAGAAACAATAACAGCCTAACTGCAGATCACGCAATGTGCAACGTGACGAACTGAGAGAGACACAGTGAGAGAGAGAGAGAGAGGGGGGGAGGGGAAGTGAGACGAAAGAGCGTGGGCGCACGCAGGAGCTTAATACACATGTAAACTGCATAGACGTGCGTGCGTGCGTGCAAGCGAGAGCGAAAGCCTCAGCAACAGCGAAAGCTGCTGTTGCTGCACTCTGAACAGCTGCGAGCGAGAGCGAGAGAGAGGGAGACGGCAGAGGCAGAAAAACGTGACTGCGCTGCTGCTGCTGCTGCTGGCTGCACTGTAAACAGCTGAGAGCAAGAGAGCAGCATTTGTATGGAAGCTGAGCGCGTGTCACTTGCAGCGCAAATAAATGAACTGGAGCTGAACTGCTTGCGATTGGCAGGCACTGCCCAACCTTTGTATACCCTGGAAACGCACGCAAGTAATCAATAGCATTATTTTGCATGATTTATGAATTTGCATGAATTGATTTTGGCAGAAATGTTTTTGGAATAATGCGCTTTTATCGTTTCAATGAAAATTTACAAATTTCAACATAAGTTTAATGAAAGTCTGTAAAATTATAGAAATATTATGATACTATACTATCATAATATCTTTTAAAATTCGAAAGGCGAGACACTGATTTGAACCAGCGACTTTTCTTTGCTAACAAACAAATACTGAGATGCACAAATATGTATATTTATTTATGAAATATAGCTTCTATTTATGATATTAAGATCTCAAAGAGGTTGGCTTTAAACAAGATTTAAATAAGATTATGGGCTCTTCTCTGTGCCTTTATGAACAATTTAAGGTTTTTTGTCAAAATCTCGGACTTTAGCGAAATTCTAAAGAGATTTGTTTAAAAACTTAGTTTAAAGTGCGTCAATTAACGAATTTCTTAAAGGGATTCCCATTTGGAACATCAATAGACCAGACTTTAATGGAGCACAAGTTACTAGGTATTCCCCTTTAGGAGGGAAGGCGAGGGAGGGGGGGGGGGGGGGGGGGGAGGGGGGGGGGTGTACTTAACTGCACTTGAATAAGCATGAAGAGTCTTTTCTTTCGTTTTTTTCTCAATTTATTTCTAGAATCGCATGACAAATGCAATTTGCGATGGCAGCTTTCATGTGCAACAATATCTATATCTATATATATACTTATATATATATATATGTATATATGTATATAGCTGCAATTGTTGCAGCAGATTTCTCGTTATCGCGCGTTTCTTTTAGCGAGATTGAAAAGGCGAATCGTGTATTCAATTAAAATGAAATCAAAGTTACTCAATTAAATTGCCTTACAGTATTTCACGGAAATCAATTAATTTCCCTTAACAAGCGCAAATGCAAGAAGAAGAAGAAGAAGCAGCAGCAGCAGCGAATGCAAGCCCAGTCGCATAATTCGAGAAAATCTTTGCGGATTTACGTCAACAAATGTGGCTGGGGATACGTTTTGCGTAAACAGATGTTGCTGCGTGGGCAGGGCGCAGGGGGTGAGGGTTGAGGGGGGTGAGGGGGAGGCTTGGTTTTGCGTAGATAGACAACAGGCTTATGCCTGTTGCCGCGTGCCTCGCTTTATTTTTTTTTACAACAACAACAAGAAACGTTAGGTAAGTGCGTCAATAAAATATGTTGCACAACGTGACAACGCAACAAAACGTTGCCACAAGTTACGTAGAAACAATTCGCTTTAAATCGCTTTTAAATTATCCGAAACTCTTGAGTTTACAAGGCAAAAGTAGCTAGAAATAGCTTGAAAATGATCAAAAACCCCTAAAGACGCAAAGAAAAAGTAGCTAGAAATAGCTTTTAAAAATTATAAAATATTCATAGAAAAATACAGCTAGAAATAGCTTGAAAATTATCCAAAATTCATGAGGTTCTAGTCGGGAGCACCCGACTAGGGAATACCCTGCACCCTCTTCCTTCAACATCAAATGCATATATATATTCTATTCTAGAAGCTATATGTCTAGTTTGCTGACTCTAGCTCCTATTATATACCAAAATTGCCCAGGAAACAGGATATCGATATCGATTTTTATCGATTGCTTGGAAACGGGGCAAGTTATCGATTATCGGAAACAAACTCGAGCTGCACGGGAACTAGGAGCACCTACATCTATTTCAGGTCTCTAGACAGGTCTCTCAGACAGACGGACATGGCTAGATCGATTGATGCTGATCAAGAATATATATACTTTATGGGGTCGGAGATGCTTCCTTCTGCCTGTTACATACATTTGGGTTTCGCACAAATACAATTTACCCTTATACCCATTTTCAATGGGTTCAGGGTATAAAAAAAGAAGAACGTTTTCGAGCGATCTCTCTGGTAACTAATTGATATGGTATGTTATATAAAGCAGTTCAAAGTTCATAAGAAGCACAGTGAAACTTGTAAATGCAAAAATCTCCACATAGCATAGAATACTGAGTAGAGTGGGAATTTCTAGTTCAATTTGCTGAATAAGTTCACTCGTTCATTTTCTGGCCGTGAACTAGAACGTTCATTTAGTTCAAGTTCAATCGTTCAGCTATTCAGTCGGTCATGAACAATTCGCTTGGTTCAGTTATGCAGTCAAATCAAAAGTGCATTTAAAATTCCGCTATATTTTATGTTTATTAAGAAATGTTCAGTTCTCAAAAGAATGTATCGTTCAGGAACGACTGAACTGCTGAGTTGCATGCAACGTTCATGAACGACTGAACGCGTATCAAGAATGCACCGTTCATGAACGACTGACTGTTCACTAATCACTGAATAAGTTTAGTAGTTCATTTTCATGATTCGTTCAATCGAACTTGGTCTGAACTAAACGAAAACAACTCTACTGCTGAGCCTATGGCAGCTATAATATTACGATACTTATCATACCCGGTGCCCTTTAATTAAATTCAACAATTATCGTTGATTTCTTGTCAATCTGTTCGTTGTTAGAGTCTCTACTGTATTTAAATGCAGGCAGTCGTTCTGGTGCTCTGCGCATTTAGGTTGGTTTCACTGTGCGAACACAAGAAACGGACACGCAAATGCAGAATAGATCGCAAGCGAATGCGCGACCTAGAGCGAGCGAGTTTGCAGTCGCAATGCTGATGATACCCTGTTCGAGCAATGCCATAAACTGGTTTTTTTTTTCTTTTCACTTTTATCAGTGCTTTTGTTATTGTTTTGCAAAATGGCAAACAAGAAACAGTAGACGAGGAGAGAAACAAAAAGAAACAACACAACAAAAACAAGTTGGATTTGAAGTACCCAAAAGTACTGCTCAACTACATAGATATCCTGTACGAAATGCAGAGTTCGAAGGAGAGTTCCACGAAGCATCAAAAATTAACAAGTGCATGACTAGTAGATACTCTAGACTCCGTATGACATTCTGTTAAATATTCTAGATCAAATCCGAAAGAAGTCAAGATTATGACAAGCTAAATAAGTCTCTATTTGTTTCAAATCAATCAGATCTGCATTCATGCGATAGCTTCGCTTGTATATGCAACGACCCCATTTCAAACAATTTTAATGGGTATTAAAGCCAAAATTGTCTGCTATAAAATTCAAGTGGAATTGGTAGCCAAACTGGGCATTTAGAAGGGTGCCGCGGCATCGCGAGAGGGGAGGGGGGGGGGGGGGGGGGAGTGGGAGGGGCCAGGGATTGATTGCGCATTGTGTTTTCGAGCAAAATATAATAATAACAATTGCGGTTTGTTTCACTTCAAACATACGATTAACAGCGCGCTGTTAATTAACAGTAGCAAAAACATGTATGTCTGTGTGCGTGTGTGTGTGTGTCAATCGGTTACGGCATGCGCACATTAACAGACCACAACAACAGTACACACACACACACGCATAGCGACAGGCCTGTGTGCGTGTGCGTATATGCATGGGAAGAAGAAATGAAAGAAAAGTACACGTCGCATGATAATGATGTTCACGTTCATGATCTTCAATTGCGTAGGCGCGATGCGCAAGAAAAGACTGGAACATTTTTCTATTATTGTTGCTGGAATATGCCTCAGATTTCGTTTGGCTCATTAAACAGAAAATATATACATATAAAAGAAAATTTGAAAGAGGCTTTCTAATTAAAATGAAATAAAGCCTGCAAGTGCAGCACACACACACACACACGCCCACACACACACACACACACACGCACACACAGTTGATGTTTATAAATAGTTCCAGCATATGCCAAGGCGAATAAAAACCTTGAGCCATGCGATCGAGATAAATAAATATAAGCAAATAGTTCCGATTACGGAATCAAGTGCAGCATACAGATAAACATATGCTCTATATATATATATATATATAAATATATGGAAAATTCCAGGTATACGCATAGGCTTGTACGATAAAGTAAATAAGGCTTGAATCAATTTAAATTCGCCGTAAATTGACTTTTGTTCGGGCAACAAAAGGAGGCGGCAGCTGTCAGATTAAGGCGAAGGCTACAGTGATGGCAAAATTAGTATGTATGCCCCTTAGCAGTTTCTAAGTTTTAACCTAAGATTGATCAAAAAAAAGGAGTTGCATTTCCTTGTAATTTTCATTTATATTAATCATTTTTAGCTAAGCAATTAAAACTCTAAGAAATTACTTTCTTTTGGGTCCTGCTTGATCCTGCCAGACACCCTACTCCTGGTCTAAGAAAGCCCTTTAGCAGAGGACGCGCCTGTTCAGACTGAACACTTGCATAACTTAATTTACTATACTTGGCTTAACAATATAATGGTCCGGAATTAATAATAGTATATGGATCTGTGTGTATGCACACATGCATCTCGTGTGCTGGGGCCAATTGAAGGTACTTACCACTTAATCTTTCAAAAGTCATATAAGATATTATGTTTCCCCTGCTTGGGGTGCGCAATGCAATCTCACGAATTAGATAAGGAAGTGTATGAAGAAAATCTTCTCTCCTCTCAACACACGTTTCAAATTCTCAACGTTACGATTTGAGGCTTTTGGGTCTCTCTCGCTCTCTCTCTCTCTCTCTCTTTCTCTCTCTTTCGTCCACACAGATGCCTGCTCGCTTTTGTTGTGATTGGGATCGATGATATATAGAAATATATATACGAAGATATATATATATATATATATAGAGAGAGAGGTGTTTATATATGCTGGTTAACCGTAATTGTTTATAGTGCCTTTGTTTTTCTTCTTCTTCTTTTTTTTTGCCACGTGAGAATTTTGCGCAACTGTAAAAAATCGCTTCGCGTTTTGCGATGGCCGCTGGCAGCGCTAAACCACGCGAATTGCTTTTGGTTAATTGTTGTTGTTCGCTTGTGCAGCTGCTGCAAAGACTCTGAAATGAAATTGAAATATATATTATGTACTTGTTTGTTTACGCTCATCAAAATCAAAATACAACAATCACAAATATTTTCGACTGCATTGTCATCAATGATGCAAAAATGCTAAACAGTATGCAAATGTTAATGGCCAAATGTTAACAGGGGGCATTCCTCAGCTGTTAACTTGCTGTTGTCTTTCTTTCAGTGTGCGTGCGAGCGAGCTTTGCGCATGTGTGTGTGTGTGTGTGTCCCGATCAATTTGTTGTTGTTGCTTTACGAACAACGAAATGAAACGAAACGTGCGCAGTACACTAAAAATATAAAAACGTTTGGGATATTCCTCTACAAAATAATACTTAAAACGTTTTGCAAAATCACGCACACATACATAGTTAAAACGGCAATATTTGTGCGTGTGTTTCGTGTATTTGCGAAATTGTTATTGACTCGTTATCTTTATAGATAGTTCACTTGCCACTTGCTTAGGGGAAGGCCCTTTCGAAAAAGTTAAAAAGTCGACAAGATATAACGCCAACAGTGCACGTAATTTTAATTTGTAGTGCACACACACATACACTCACTAGCACACACACACATGTGCATGCACAATGAAAGCAGCCACGCCATTTAACCATTTTTTTTTTTTTTGAGGTTGTGTCTGCCACTTTGCATTCATATTTTTACCTTTGTTTATATATCGCAAACAAATACAGATCTTCAATACAATGATTGCATAGAACGTTGGCTTTTATATATGGGTTTATAATGCGAATTGCAACTGATTTTCCACGGAGATACGACTACAAACTGCTGTGCACTATTAGTGATGTACAGAAAGTAACAAACTATCGATAGATCAGTTGAAAAACTTTAGTTTTAAAGGCATCGATGCATCGCATAGGGATCGACATCGAGTGTTGTTATTCGAAAGCAATCATTAAGAATATTGAAATCAATAGTAATAGTTCAATAATAGTAATAAACTACAGTTTATAATTTAACTAGGCAGCTAAGGAAGGGTAGGCATTAGCAACTTAGTAATCTAGAAGTATGTCGCAAGTTATTTTCAAATGATTCACAATAGACATGGAAGATAACACAAGTGGTAAAAGTATATCGAAATGATCATCTACCGTTAAGCTCAAGCACTGCGTGTTGTTTGAAATTAACTTAATTAAATATAAACAAATTATATGCGGCAAATGTATTCTAGGTAGAGATACATCATGGCTGCTACGTCGAGGATCAGCATCGCCCATGGGTCGATTGTTATTGTTTTTGCCGCCAGATGATGCAAAGTGTGACCGTGCAAGCGTAGGATATAAATCCTGAGCCAACAACTCGTTTAGTAAATGCAAACTTATTGTTTATTTACATAGATCGAGTTTAAAATTACAAATTATTAGCCTAGCCAAAGCGATTATAGCATAAACCCTTTGACTAATTGTAAGCGCCATATGTTCCACCTATAGCTACATTTAGGCACTACAATTTTAGTCAAGTATCGATACTCTGTACTCATTTGCGATACTTTCGGCCTGGTCGCCGGCAGCGTGTTGTCATATGGTTTAAAAAACTGAATATTTCTGATTGTTTGTTTGCTGAGAGATAAACACGCTGTTGCATTAAATTGACGCCATGCCCAAGGAGCAGTTTCGCGCCTCGGCGCTAAACAAGAAAATGTAAGTAGCTGCCAATTAGTCTAAATTGCAATTTGTAATCTTTCTTTTCTTTTACGTTCTGCATTTTGCGGGCACAGCTCACATGTGCAGTTCGGCATTAGCGGCGCGGATGAGATCCAGCAGGAGTCGCTGGTGCGCATCATATCGAAGAATCTGTACCAGGCACAACGGCAGCCGGTGCCCTATGGCGTCCTGGATCGCCGCATGGGCATCAGCACAAAGGATGCGCTATGCGAGACGTGCGGCCAGGGCCTGAACGAGTGCATCGGGCATTTTGGGTATTTGGATTTGGCTCTGCCCGTCTTTCATATTGGACACTTTCGGTCCACCATCAATATACTGCAAATGATATGCAAGACGTGCGCACATGTTATGCTAAAGGCTGAGGATCGTGCCGCATTTGAGAAGAAGCTGCACAATCCGAATTTCTCGTATTTGGGCAAAAAGGCGCTGCACTCGCAGATGCTGGCCAAGGCCAAGAAGGTGACCAAATGTCCGCATTGCGGTGCTGCCAATGGTGGCGTCAAGAAAGGACCCGGTCTGCTCAAAATCCTGCACGATCCGTACAAGGGGCGCAAAAAGGATGCCGTCTTCACCAGCCACATGGACCAGATGCTGCGCTCCACGGAGCTCAATCGGGATCTGAACCTAACGCTGAGCAACTACAGCGCCGCCGAGGAGCTAACACCGCTCATGGTGCTCGATCTGTTCGAGCAGATACCCCAAAGCGATGTGGCGCTGCTGGGCATGTGCTCGCGCGGAGCCCATCCGAAACATTTGATAGTCACGCGCGTCTTTGTGCCGCCCGCCTGCATACGGCCATCGGTACTGTCGGAGGTGAAGGCCGGCACCACCGAGGATGATCTCACAATGAAGCAAAGCGAAATTCTATTGATTAACGATGTGATACAGCGTCACATGGCCACCGGCGGCAAGATCGAGCTCATACACGAGGACTGGGACTTTCTGCAACTGCACGTGGCGCTCTATTTCCATAGCGAGATCAGCGGCATACCCTTGAATATGGCGCCGAAGAAGACGACGCGCGGCATTGTGCAGCGCCTGAAGGGCAAACAGGGCCGTTTCCGTGGCAATCTGTCCGGCAAGCGTGTGGACTTTAGCGGTCGCACTGTCATCTCACCGGATCCCAATCTGATGATCAATCAGGTGGGCGTGCCGGTGCGCGTGGCCAAGATACTCACGTATCCGGAACGCGTGAATCCGGCCAATATACGGCAAATGAAGCAGCTGGTGCGCAACGGACCCAGCATGCATCCGGGCGCCAACTATGTGCAGCAGCGCGGCTCCAGTTTCAAGAAATACCTGGCCTATGGCAATCGCGAGAAAGTCGCCCAGGAGCTCAAGTGCGGCGACATTGTGGAGCGCCATTTGCGCGACGACGACATTGTGCTCTTCAATCGTCAGCCCTCGCTGCACAAGATGTCGATCATGTGCCATCGCGCCAAGGTGCAGCCGCAGCGCACGTTCCGTTTCAATGAGTGCGCCTGCACGCCCTACAATGCGGACTTCGATGGCGACGAGATGAATCTCCATCTGCCGCAAACGGAGGAGGCACGCGCCGAGGCCCTAATCCTAATGGGCAATCAATCGAATCTGGTGACGCCGAAAAACGGCGAGATTTTGATTGCGGCCACACAGGATTTCATAACGGGCGGCTATCTGCTCACCCAGAAGGAGGTGTTTCTCACCAAGGAGGAGGCCATGCAGCTGGCCGCCTGCTTTCTGGCCAACGAGGATTCCACAATGCGCATCCAAATGCCGCCGCCGGCCATTTGGAAGCCGCGTCGCCTTTGGACGGGCAAACAACTGTTCAGCCTGCTGATGCGGCCCAACGATGACTCCAATGTGCGCCTCAACATGGTCAACAAGGGTCGCAACTATGCCGGCAATATGGATTTGTGCGCCAACGATTCCTGTGCGTATGCAGCTTGTCTATATTTCGAGTGTTTTCTCTAACTTCTGTTCGTCTCTTTCAGGGATTCACATACGCAACTCGGAACTGATGTGCGGCACCATGGACAAGGCGACCATGGGCTCCGGCACCAAGCAGTGCATCTTCTATTTGCTGTTGCGCGACTTTGGTGAGGCCTTTGCCACCAAAGCCATGTGGCGTCTGGCCAGGGTGCGTATGAATCTCACTCTCTCGCTCTCTCTCTCTCTCTTTCTCCCTTTAACCCATGTGATAACATTTCTTCTGGCCTTGCAGTGGGCCTTAGAAGACATTGGAGCTGCATTGTATACACATTTTGAACAAAATCAACTGCCGAGTCATTTAAGTCATGTCCGTTTGTCTGTTTGGCAAAGAAGAGGGCGCCTATTTCTGCCTTCTTACCCCGATTTTCATGTTAAAGCTGCCAACAATTGGTTGAACATTTTGTTTATTTATTTATCCCAACTAAACGAGGCAACTGCGAACCTTAACAAGCTGCTAAAATAAAAGAGAAATTTTGTTAACAGCAGAGTACGCTGCCATATGAGTAGTTCGCCCATACATAAAGCTTTTTATCATAATTAGATCGGGCATATATATGTATTTTATCAGGATATTATAGTAGGATATCATGTCGAGAGTCTTTGCCCGTGCCCACTTCTAAGGCTTACAGCACAGAGTCACATATGGATTGTCTACTCCATTTATGTCCGCTTATAATTCTCAAACAGTTTAAGCCTTGACGTTTTCCTAATATCGAAAGTGCTTAGTCGAGCGCAAATATGTCCGTTGTGTACACTCGATAACACGGTTTCGATAACAAGTTTATTTAAGCCTTGGTTTAAAGTAAAGCAAATATGAAACTGTCAAAACGGTACGCAATCAAATAAGAAAACGATAACGATAGCCCGCGATAACAAGGCGCTCATGAGAAGCAAGAGAAAACGACAAAAGTGATATTGATATCGATATCGATAAAATAAATTTAAGCCTCGGATGAGGAAATGCTAGCTCAGCTAATCGTTCGATAACATTTGTATCGATAATCTTGGCATCGATCATCTTACTATCGATCATCTTAGGCATCACAAGTCATTTGAAAACAATTCAAAATTCTGCTTGCTATCAATTGATTAATCGCTATCGATCAATTGAGGAGCGCAAATGAAAAGCGATAACTTCATATGGCTTGATGTCAATGACAGTCTAGCGTAAAGAATCGCCTGTTGCTGCTGAACTGACAACCGGAACTGGGCCCTTGGCGCAGTCGATGAGAATAACGATAACGATAACGATAACTCGATAAGAAGAGACTTGAAGATAAAGCTAAATTGTTCTAGAATTCTTTGCCACAAGGCACGTAGAAATCATATATATAATGGATGAGCCGGGTTGGTTAGTGGCAGGGCAAAGGGGGCAGGCAGGGAGGGGGGCGGGGAGGGGAGGGGCTCGTCTATCTTATCTGTGTTGGGGAATTCGTTTTTGGTTTATTCGAGTGGAACATTTGCGCTTTATTTGCGAAACAGTAGGAAATGGATCAAAAATAGAACAGAATATCGCATGCATGAAATCTTTCGCTTTAGCTAAGTGTCAGGCCCGTCGTCTCTGCGATATAGTCCAGGAACGAAGTGATGCGCACATAGCCCGACGGATAGCCGGCGGTGCACTGATCCTCGGCCACAAACGAATTGATGCCAATCTGTATCCAGGCGCCAAGATTGCTGCTGTAGACGATAAGCGGTCCGCCGGAGTCACCGCTGCAGGTGGACATATTGCTGCCCGCATAGCCCTCCGCACAGATGGTCGAGTCGAGGACGACGCCGGCACCGAATATGGTCAGGCACTTGTCGTTGGCAATGATCTGCACCTGGGCATACAGCAGCTGCTGCGAATAGTCCAGATACTCGTCATCGATCAGGCCGAAGCCCGCAATGGTCGCCTGGCTGCCCACATAGCTGTTGCCCGCCTGCGTGCTGGACACCAGCTGTATGGGCTGTATGCTGCTGGTGAAGATTAACGGCTGGGGCAGCTGCACCAGGGCCACATCGTTGTTCATCTTGTCATTGTAATTGGGATGCACAAACAGCTCGGTGGCCGTCATATTTAGCGCCTGCTCTGCGTTCAGCTCGACGCTGCCAAAGACCAGATACAACGAATCCCGGCCATAGGCACAATGGCCGGCGGTGAGCACCCAGCTGCTCGAGATGATCGAACCGCCGCACAGCAGATCATCCCATTCGTCGCGCTTCAGTATCACCTGCCATGGAAACTGTCCGACCGCTGCGCGCTGGCCCGATATGATGCGTCCCTGCTGTAAATGTACGAATGCGCATCAATGTATGTGATAATCCTTTAGAGCAAGGGCAACACCTACAATATCCAATTGTTCGGCTGCGGGCGCTGCCAGCGCCGGCAGCACAGATTCCAGCAGCAGCAGCGCCGCCAGCATTGTGCACTCGACGCCGTGGCCCAATCCTTTCAAGCTGCGTTTAATCTTACGAACAATTTTCATACTTTTTTTTTTTTCTGTGCGCGCGTTTGTTGCTCGGCTTCGTCTGCGTTGCTTTGCTTTGATTTGCACAATTATATGCTGCCTGCATGCATGCCCACTCTGCCACGCCCCCGCCCCCGCCCCCGCTCCCCTCTACCGATGATCACCTGCTTTCTGTACAATTTGTTATTAACACGGCCCGTCGTGTTCTTGTTATTTGGCCAGCTCGCGTCTCGCAGCTCGATAAGATTAATTACTCACACGCCAATTCTGTTCCACTGTCTGTGCCGGCGTCGCTGCCGGCGTCGCTGCCGGCGTCGCTGTCAGCTGCTTAAACTAACTTTGCCCTCTGCTCTCCCTCTCTCCTCTCTCTCTCTCTCTCTCTCGGTCTCTTGGCAATTCCTTTTGTCCAACCTGGTTAGCTCTTATCACTGATAACGCGATGCGCTTGCTCTGCTACACTAGACAACATAATTCAGTTGCGTTTTTGGCTTCAAATATGTTTTGTTGCCACTTTGATCTGCTGCTTGAATATATATTGAGTATCCCGCCTAACTTCTCAGCTGCTGCCCCATCTAGGCTCGAATCCCATGCCGTGTCCCAGAGTCGTGTCGTTAACAGCATAATACGCTATTGTCACTAGGGTATAGTTATATTTATCTATATTATGTGACAATCACAACCGAAACGCACTTGTCTGGGATTCGAACATGGCTGCAACCTTGTTCAGCTGCCTTAATGATGGACAACTCAGCTTTGGAGCGCAAGAAACTTGAAATAACACGATCTATTTAAGCGTTTGGCATATATTTCAACTCTCGCTGCTTCAGTTCGAACGAAACGTTTACGAATGACGCGCAAAGCGGAAACGAAAAGCGAAATACTTCGTGGCGAGCGCGTGAATGCTTCAGAGCGAGAAAAGAATTCTTGTGTAGCCGCAATTTGGCAGTCGAGTGTAATTTAATTAGCTCACCTGCCTGTCGCTTGTTCCAAACAATTAAATGCCATACAACGAATTATTTACGTGCTAAACACCAGCTCCTCGCGCACCTACGGCCCGTCCACTGTGTGCGTTGGTTTATCAGAATCTGGCTGGATGACTTTCGCCAGAATTACTGCTGGCTTTAACCATGACGTGACTTAACGGCCTTGTTATTGGGCTTTAATTTGAACAAGTACTGGGAATTCACCAAAGACTATTAACAATAATAAACTCTTTTCGTTTTGTGTGCTTGCAGATCGCCTCGTATTTCATACAGAATCGTGGTTTCTCCTTTGGCATCAGCGATGTAACGCCCAGCGAGAAGCTGCTGCATCACAAGCAGATCCTCTTGGAGCGCGGCTATGCCAAGTGCAACGAGTACATCGAGAAACTGAAGGCGGGCACCCTCCAGTGCCAGCCGGGCTGCACGCCCGCTGAGACTCTCGAGGCGGTTATGCTGCGCGAGCTGTCCGGCATACGTGAGCAGGCGGCCAAGACCTGCTTTGCCGAACTGCATCCGACGAATAGTGCTCTGATTATGGCGCTGAGCGGCTCCAAGGGCTCCAACATTAACATCTCCCAGATGATCGCATGTGTCGGCCAGCAGGCTATCAGTGGCAAGCGTGTGCCCAACGGCTTTGAGAATCGCGCTCTGCCGCACTTCGATAGGCACTGTAAGTACAACTCGCTCTAAGTTACTCGTTACTCGTTACTTTTTATCTTATCACCTGCTACTCTTCCTTTGGTCGTCTCTCCTCTCTCCTTTAGCTAGCTATTGATCCTATATGTCTTGTTACTTATATAAATATCACTCGTTTGTCTTGTGGCTACTTATCGTCACTTTTCCCAAGTTACTCGTCACTCGTTACTTCATACTTGTCCCCTGCTACTCTTCCTTTCGTCGTCTCTCCTCGCTCCTTTAGCTAGCTATTGATCCTTTATGACTTGTTACTTATATATATATCACTCGTTGTTAATCACTCGTTACTTTTGTCTTGTGGCTACTTATCGTCACTCGTCACTTTTCCCAAGTTACTCGTCACTCGTTACATCTAACTTGTAATTCGTTGCATGTCTTATAACTTTATTGACATACCACTCGACACTCGTTATATTTAGTTTATATTCGTCACTCGATATTGACTACTCGTCGCCATTTGATTTGTTGCAGCTGCCATACCCGCCGCCCGTGGCTTCGTGCAGAACAGCTTCTATTCGGGATTGACGCCCACCGAGTTCTTCTTCCACACAATGGCCGGACGCGAGGGTCTCGTTGATACGGCTGTGAAAACCGCAGAGACGGGCTATTTGCAGCGTCGCCTGGTCAAGTGTCTGGAGGATCTGGTGGTGCACTACGATGGCACCGTGCGCAACGCCATCAATGAAATGGTCGACACCATTTACGGCGGCGACGGACTCGATCCCGTTTCGATGGAGACGCGCAACAAGCCCGTCGACCTGAACCATCAATACGATAATCTGCGCGCCCAGCTACCCTGCGTCGAGCAGCAGCAGCCGCTGGAAGCCGACGAGATTCTGGGCGTGGCGGAAACGCTGCTCAAGCAGCCGGAGTTTGCGGAGGCGCGTCTCGACTTCAAGCTGGACATAACGTAAGTCAGCTGCGCGATAAATGGTCGAGATTTGAGTGAGAACCCTTCTTTGTTTCCACAGCGCGCACCTGAAGAACATTGCAAAGCGAATTGGCCAGCTGCAGCAGCAGTACGGACCGAAGCACAGATCGCTGTGCAACCAGATCGAATGCCTCAGCCGGGAACAGCTGCTGGAGTTTCTGCGCCGGATCAATGATCGCTACAATCGTGCCGTCAGCGAGCCGGGCACCGCAGTTGGCGCCATTGCGGCTCAGAGCATAGGCGAGCCGGGCACACAGATGACGCTGAAGACGTTCCATTTCGCTGGCGTCGCCTCGATGAACATCACACAGGGCGTGCCGCGCATTGTGGAGATCATCAATGCGACCAAGACGATCTCGACGCCAATAATAACAGCCGAGCTGCGCAACAATACGAGCATGGAGTTCGCGCGCCAGGTGAAGGCGCGCATCGAGAAGACAACGCTGGGTGAACTCTCCTCCTATGTGGAGCTGGTCTGCGGACCGCAAAGCTGCCATCTGGTCATTGGCATCGATGCGGCGCGCATCAAGGTGCTCGGCCTGCACATCGATCTGGACAGCATCATGTGCAGCATACTGAAGTCGCGGCTGCGCATCAAGCCCGGCCAGCTGCACGCCGTGCCCAAGAAGTCGCGCATTATGGTGCGCGTCGAGGCGACACGCAATGCCACCATCAATGCGGAACTGGCCCGTCTGGCGACCACCATACAGAACGTGGTCGTTGCCGGCCTGCCCAATATAGCGCGCGCCGTCATTGCCGTGGACGATGCCCATCAGCCGCCCACCTATAAGCTGTGCATCGAGGGCTACGGCCTGCGCGAGGTGATCGCCACATATGGCGTTGTGGGCGAACGGACGCGCAGCAACAACATCTGCGAGATCTATCAGACGCTGGGCATTGAGGCGGCGCGCACAATCATCATGAGCGAAATCACCGATGTGATGGAGGGTCACGGCATGAGCGTCGATTGGCGGCACATCATGCTGCTGGCCAGCCAGATGACCGCACGCGGCGAGGTGCTGGGCATCACGCGACACGGCCTGGCCAAGATGCGCGAGAGTGTCTTCAATTTGGCATCGGTAAGATGGAATCTTTGCCAGCTTTTCTATAGTTATTCATATGCGTGTTTCTCTCGTTGGCAGTTTGAGAAGACGGCGGATCATCTGTTCGATGCCGCCTACTATGGCCAGACGGATGCCATCAATGGCGTCTCGGAGCGCATCATCTTGGGCATGCCGGCGGGCATTGGCACCGGCATCTTTAAGCTGCTGCAGCTGCACGAGGACAAGCAGGTACCGCCAATTGAGCCGACCATCTTTCATCAGCTGGGCCTGCATCCGTTTGCCTAGCCCGCCCGCAGCCCGCAGCCCGCCCGCCCGCCATCATCCACTCAGTTCCTGTGAAATGCCAGCCAGTTAGTCCTTAGTCCTTAGTCCATCTAGTTGGAATGTGTCGCCATGTTCCCAGTTTTAGGTTCATTACGCTGACCTCCAACAATTACCAAGCGTTAAGTTTAAATAAAGTTGACGATAATCTGTTTAAATATCAGATTTCATATGTTTTATAATCTTAAGTTACATTTGCATTAAGGAAAAACCCAAGGATTAGCTGCCCTTGTCTGATATACTTTAGATGTTAAAGCTTTTAAACAAGTCCGAAGGACTTTCTGCTATCTCTCTCTCTCTCTCTCTCTCTCTCTCTCTTTATAGCTTATGATCAAACAATGCGATAAGCTGATCAGATTTGAAAAAACTTGGATAACTTCGTCTCTTCCAAGTTTGGCTTAGAGATCTGGTAAATGAATCAGGATTGTCGTGTGCAACAAAATGTTTCTATGATATAGTAATACGTTACGTAAGACTTACGATAGATTTACTGTCTGTGAGAAAAGTCGGTAGAGAGAAAGAGAAAGACTTTCGAATTGCCTGATCAAGTATATATATATATATATATACTTTTTGAGGGACTGCTTTATCTAGCTATTATCAGCTGCTCAATCGAAACTCTTTCTAGTTTATATCAAAAAATATCAAATTTAGGAAATAGCTTTAATTCGTTTCAATAATATTAGCTGGAACGTGCATATAATTAAGTCTGGAAACTAACAGCTTAAAGAACTACCAAATTGATCTGTTACCCTTCAAATCTAAAATTCTTTTCCGATTAATCTTCGTGCGACTTTTAAGTAATTAGAAATATAAATGGAATATAAGTATAAACGATTCCATTTAACATACTACACAAGAATAATATTGCCATGTATATATGTGTGTAAATATGTATGTATGTATGTATGTATGTATATATGTGTGCATGCATGTGTGCATGTATGTGTGCATCTTAATTGTCTTATGAAATACCAATAGCAGGCAAATTTGTCCTGTTGCGCGGCCAATTTATATAAGAAAAACGTATTTATTGAAGCCGCCCTCCTCCTCGATTCTCAAAAATGTAAGTAAGGTTTACAGGTTTCACATCATAAGTTAGGCGCAGGCGGCTTCAACGCTGGTAGCAGAGGACCCGGAGGAGCACCAAGGGGGCGAACCAGGAGGCGTGGAGGTATGTGCGTATGTATGTAGGTATGTAGGTATGTAGGTATGTAGGTATGTAGGTATGTAGGTATGTAGGTATGTATGTATGTATGTATGTATGTATGTATGTATGTATGTATGTATGTATGTATGTATGTATGTATGTATGTATGTATGTATGTATGTATGTATGTATGTATGTATTATGTATGTATGTATGTATGTATGTATGTATGTATGTATGTATGTATGTATGTATGTATGTATGTATGTATGTATGTATGTATGTATGTATGCTCCTTTCTACTCGATTCTCATGAATTCTAGCATACATCATATGCTTTACCACGACCGCAGGAGACGGCAGCTTAAACAAAGAGGGAGCGGCTGCATTATGGGAGGAGGCGGCAGCTGCTACTCTGGAGCAGAAGGAGGCGGCGTCTTGAAGAAAGGAGAAGGAAACATTTTCAATAGACCATGGCCACTGTTTTTGCGGAGGACAAAACTGGTTAGTAATATAAATTTAACTATGTCTTTTTTATGGTATAGTTACAAGTTTGTGTGAGTGTATTCGTATGCATACATACATACACACAAAACGTATTTAAAAATACTGCTCTACTATGCGATTCTCACTAAGTCAAGTAAGGCTTGGCAAGCAAGCTGTTTTTAACGTTTTCTTTTCTTTTTGTTCTTTCAGGGTTTTTTTTATATTGCAAAACTCGTCTCCCGCCTACATGAGCGTGAAAGTGTGTAACAGGTAAGTACACAATTTCAAATATTTATTGATATATGTATATATACTAGTTTTCTAGAACTTATATATAACTATAAACTTTGGGAAATTATAAATTTCAGTTATTGAAATTTCTTATATTAAGAATTTTTGTTGTTGCACAAATCGAAATCTTTTGTGAATACGAAAAAGTGCTATAGAATTCACTTTAGCGAGGCATCACTGTAGCAGCTGCTATTTATATGAGGAACAGTTGGAAATAGCTCAACGCTTGTCAAAGTCATGGACATTGATAAAGACAGAATATGTTATCTATCATTAAATATGCCCATGGTTGATACCCATTATATACGCAGGTGTAGTTGGTCGGGTATGCAAGACCTAAAGATTGAACATTGCTTTTATATTAGCCAAGTCGAATAAGAGGGTTATGAGTATACGAATTTTATAGGGTAGCTGCGCCTCCATTGTCCTGAAAGAAGAATACCCTGTAATCCATAAGAGTGTGGTTTGAATCAAACAACAGTTTTCCATTATTTTAACTTAGTTATTTATTACATAAATATATAGCATATAATATATATGTATTTCTATATATATATATATTTTTTTATAGGGTATTTGCCTTGCATGAATGTAGCTCTATAATTATATTATATATATATAAAAAAAAAAAAACAACAAAATTCGTTCGATATTCCATATAAGCTTGCATAAGATAAAAGTTTTCATTTCATAAAGAGATAGTTTTGTGTGGGAAGCATAATTACACTACGCAACAAAATCAAGCAAGCATTAAACAATAATAACTAATAGAAAGAAGAAGAAAACAAAATCCAACTTAAATCATGCATATCACAGGATTATTTTTATACAAGGGAACAACATTTCAAATAGTTCAATTTTCGATAAAAGTGCAAAAAAAAAAAAAGGAAACGTAAGAAATCTTGAAAATCGAAACATAAGCACTTTAATTTTATTTCAATTATTTCATGAAACTTAAAAACAAAGTAAAACCCTTTTCATTAAACATCTCTATCTATCGGAGCAAAAGCAGGCATAGTTCAGTTATAAGATAGTACTAGATTCCACATGGAATTAAGTTATATATATATATATATAGAGATATTGGCTACACATTTCCACATTTCCATTTGGGTTGGCTTCTCATGCATATTTAGTTGAGCTTAAGACTAGTAAAAAAAAAAAAACCGTTTCAGTTATTTATGATCTCATCTAGAATTATTGATTAATATATATATATATTATTAATATAGCTAGGTGTATATCAACTATGACTATATAAAATTGTTTGCTTTGGGCTTTGCTTCACCTGCTCGGAGCCGACTAAAACTTAAATTTAGAGAGAGAGAGAGAGTTGGTTGCGGCTGAAGAGGGGCGAGTGATGATGGGGGGGGTTGGGGGTTGGGGGAAGTGGCGCCGGGCGTTATCCTTTAAATCAGTCACTAATATCGCCATCGTTGTGGGCGTGGCTGGCCGCCGCCTCCTCCTCCGTCGAGGGCTGCCCGTAACCGTTTCTTCTGTCATGAATCAGCATCGAGAGCGTCTCCAGGCTGCGGCGCACCTGTTGGAATACTTTGATTAGGCATTTCTTTTTTTGTTATAGATATTATTTAAATGATAACACGCACAGCTGACAGTCTAGCTTTTCTATATAACAAAGTCTGTCTGGGGGGCCTTTGCCTGATAAGATTTGCGTTTGATTTCCGATAACTCAATTGCATTGGCAAAAGCTTTCACAAAAGCTCTTGCCTCGCTTAATGTCCTTCTTTCAATTTAATTTGATCTAAGTTCTTTTTGTCTTTAAAATTTGTTTCTTTTACGATTTCTCGCTTATCTGATCGATTAGATTTGTAAGAGCTTTTGTAAAGCACAAAAAGCTTTTGCCTTGCTTAATCCTGCGACAATTTTCTCTTTTGATTCAGGCAAGATTACAACGCAAAAGCTTTAAGCACTTCTATCTATGCCTTTTTGTAGATTTTTGTATATCCTTTCACAATATTTTGTATTTTTATCGTGAAATACTAAAGAACATATGCTTAAAGCTCACGTGCAGCAAAAGCTCTCTCCTTCTCTCTCTCAGTTATAACTGATTAATGAGCTTTCATAAAGCTTTCTCTCTCTTCTCCTTGATAAAAGCACAAGACAGAGAGAGAAGACGAGAGAGAGAGAGTGTGTGTTAGGTTTCTCTTTCTTTGGATCAACTGCAGCTCTCTCTTTCTCTTCGCATTACCTGCGCGCTCTCTCTCTCTCTCTTTCTCTCTGTCTTTGCACTGTTTGCTCCTCTCTCTCTTGCCGTTTCCGTTTACCGCATTCAATTCGCTCTCACCTTGGATATCTGCTCCAGATTCCTAGATAAAATATGTTGTGCTTCAGCCGTGCTTTTGTCCTGCAGCTCCTTCTGCCAGCGCAGCGCCTCCGCGAAGATGTCCTCATCGTTGCCCGAACGCTGTGCAGGACATGAGAGAAAGAGAGAGAGAGAGAGAGAGAGAGATAGGGAGAGTTAGCACTTGATCCTCTTGGAGAGTTGGTAGATTGAACAGCTTACCAGGCTAAAATCGACTGGCGTGTTGTACAGACTCGTCTTGGCCTCAATGTCCAGGATGCGATAGAGCAGAAAGACAGAGAAGAGGGCCAGCATAATGGCCAGCATGATGCCCAGATAGAGTACGTGCAGTTCGGTGAGCGTTGGCAGACGCAGCCTGAGATGCGATCGCATCGAATGCCCCAGCCTGCTCAGACGACCGCCCTCGGAGCGGGCGGGCATGTGACCAGCCGCTGCCACGCCCACGCCCACGCCAACAACTGTGACGGGCGATGAGGAGCTGGACGGCGGGCCGGAGCTGGAGGCAGTTGCAGAAGTGGACGCCGATGAGTTTGTGGAGCGGCTGCCAGCGCCGCCCAAGACAAGCAACGGCTCCTCGTAGTGGACAATGGGCGGCGCGGAGCTGCGTATGGTCACCTGGCCGTGGCTCAGGTCCAGTGCGGCGCACTTCGTCTGCAGATCTGCGGTCAGTTAGACAGTTAGAGCGATTCAATGGACTGGACAATGCACTTACCGGATTGCCTGTCGCTGCCGGCGCGCTGTCGCAGCAGCATCTGCGGCTGCAGATCGACGCCGGCTGGCGTCGCGGCATCGCGCAGTTGGGGCGGACTCTCGTTGCCGCTGATCGAACAGCTGCTGTCGTCGTCGAGCAGATACTCCTCGGTCAGTTCCACGTCGGCGGGCAACGGCTTGGGCAGTATTTCGGCGCCTGTGGCCAGATGGCTGCACACGTTGCACATCAGCCGGAAGGCGGATTCGCGGCTGATGAAGCTGCCGAATACGTGGCGTTCATCTGCGGTGGCCACGCCCACAGCGTTTGGTATTATCTTAGCTGTTTTCTCTTTGGAGATTTTCGTTACCGAAGATGTGGGTATAACAACCTGTTTAACAAATGCCCGTTAGATGCGCGCCATCGCAAGCGTTAGCTGGCCACACTCACCTTGGTCACATAGCCAAAGACATTGGAATAGAAGGCGAAATGCTCGTCCGTTATGTAGAGATGGCCCTGTAACGGTATATCGCCAACCAGAGCGCACGAAAAGTCTACAAAGCGAGCGGAAGAGAGCGAGAGATAAACGGTATTAATAGGCAAGTACAGTTATGCTGGGATTCAGTTAGCTTCAATAGCCTAGGCGAAAGTCTACAAAGGGATAGCGAATTAACGGTATTAAGATAAAAGTACAGTTGTGTTGAAAGTCTACAAAGGGAGCGAAAAGTACAGTTATGCTGGGATTCAGTTAGCTTCAATAGTCAAGGCTAAAGTCTACAAAGGAAGAAAAAAGTACAGACTTGTTGAGATTCAGTCAGCTTAAATAGCCCAGGCGAAAGTCTACAAAGGGATAGGAAATTAACGATATTAAGAGAAAAGTACAGTTGTGTTGAAAGTCTACAAAGGTAGAGAAAAGTACAGTCTTGTTGAGATTCAGCCAGTTTAAATAGCCCAGGCTAAAGTCTACAAAGGGATAGGGAATTAATAGAAAAGTACAATTATTTTGGGATTTTGTGTGTGGTAAATACCCCAGGCCTAAGTCTACAAAGGGAGCGAGTATTAACTGTATTACGAGAAAAGTAATGTTATGCTGGGATCAAGTCTGTTTAAATAGCACAGCCTTAAGTCTACAAAGGGAGAGAATTCACAGTATTAAAGGAAAAGTACAGTTGTGTTTAAAGTCTACAAAGGGAGCGAAAAGTACAGTTATGTTGTTCCTGAGTAAAAATCGTGATTTGTTACGTCAGCGAGTACTTACAATTGATAAGCTTCTCATCTTTGGAGACCTGCGAGAAATGGCGATGAAACTTTTTCACGCGCGAACTGGAGACTTCCTTGCGTTTCTTCTCCTTGTCGGGCGGCGTTACGGCAACTGCGCCGCCTGCAGCTGCTGATGTTGCCGCAACGCCAGCGCTGGCCGCAGCAGCGGAGGCGGCGGCGGCGGCGGCAGCGGCAGCGCCGGCAGATGTTGAAGAGATCGCTGCCACCGCCGACGCCTGCTGATCATGTTGCTTGGCCGTGTTGAGGCCTTTGGCCTGACCCTGGCCAAGGGTTTGACTGTTCCGGGCACTGGAACTGGGACTGCTGGCGAGGCTCTGGGCGCTGCCGCTCGACTGCAGCGGTCCGACGGAGCTGCTGTAGCTCTGGGGCAGGGAACTGTAAGGTGGCAGAGAGAAGGGAAAAGTGGTTAAATAACTCTCCAAGTTAGAATTGCAAGCGAATGTTTCAATGTATGGAGAGTTTCAGTTCTAGTTCAAGTTGGCAACGCCAATTCGTGCGGGATGGCAACATTCAACGAAGTCTAACTGCAGCTTGGCGTTGCCATATGTGCATTTAACTGCCAGATGGCAACACTTGATTTAAATGTAAGTTTAAGAGCTAGTTAAACTGCCTGTTAAATATTTGACAGGTACTTGTAGAGCGGGGTGGCAACATTCAACGAAGTCTAACTGCAGCTTGGCGTTGCCATATGTGCATTTAACTGCCAGATGGCAACACTTGATTTAAATTTAAGCTTAAGAGCTAGTTAAACTGCCTGTTAAATATTTGTAAGGTACTTGTAGAGTTAGTTATATGCGATATTAAGCCGCTTGTCAATCATCTTACAACCGACTGTCAAATGATGATCGTAAGTTAAAAATGTGATAGTTAGTTAATTTTCTGCATGAGTAGGCTGCGTGAGCTTTAAAGCTCTATCATGGAACGCTTAGCTATGCAGGCAAAAGCTCACCAATACACACACACATTTACTAATACTTAAGCACATGCACTGACTGTAAATTAAGAACAAAACGTGCTGTAGTTTCAGCTGATTGTGATTGAGTCCAATCTTTTGTACTGTATAAAGTAGTCAGCTTTAAGATACACCAAATGCCCGACCATGGCCACAGACTTATCGCGATTAATCGAGGTTCGGCAAGGCTTCTAGATAAGTCTTCGGCTTGTCGAGAGCCTCAGCTTTAGCTGCATCTTCATATTAACTAGGCGACGGGTTAGACTAAGGCCAATCGATGGGCTATCAGAGCTTTACGATGGCCAACTGGTGGAATACCTTTAACGGCGATACGCGGCCCACGGGAAAATGCTAAACGTTGCCAGCTGCTCGACTCGATTCGACTCGAGACACCAGGTGTAAAAAAGCGATCGGGTAATGTCAACGTCAGGGTTAACAATGCGAAAACTTGATAAGCTATGAGTATACCCTGTTAAAATTGACTAAATGACAAAAGCTGGGTATATATCGATCGGGTAATGTCAACGTCATGGTTAACAATTAAAAGCGAAAACTTGATGAGCTATGAGTATACCCTGTAAAAATTGACAAAAGCTGGGTATATATCGACCGGGTAATGTCAACGTCATGGTTTTAATTTAATCTGAAAACCTGATGAGCTATGAGTATACCCTGTAAAAATTGACAAAATGACAAAAGGTGGGTATATCGGTTCTGTTCAAATGTATGTACGATTTTCATTTGATCGATAAATATCGAGTTTTTAAAGGATTTGAAGACTTGAAATTAATGTACATATATGCATTTTGGCTATCATGCACAGTTTGATATCCTTTGCGATTTACATATCGATAAATATCGATTCAAAAAAAACAGTTTTTTCAAGCACAACTCAGGCATTATAAGAGGTAGACTTTATATTGAATGCATATCCATTTTATTAAATATCGATTTTGAAGACTTGCAATTGAACGATATGACTTGTGACTTTCATATTATCGATAAATATCGATTTTGAAAAAATCACGTTAACGCCTAGCTTAGGCATTATAAGAGCTAGAGACTTCCGATTTCGCATATAGTGTTATCTAGAGTATACACACATTCAAAAGCAGCCGAAGCAGCACAGGGTATCTGCTAGTCGGGCACTTTTTTTTTTCTTACATTGATATATTGAGCTCTCTCTCTCTCTCTTTCTCTCTCTCACTCTCTTCCTCCCACTCTCTCCCTTTCTCTCTTTCTGTCTGTCTCGGATCATAATGATCTAACAGTCTGAGCTAGCCTGCCCCCCCTCGATGAACACATTCCACAATAAAGCCCGATAAGGCAGCAAGGGCTTTCTTATACATTTATATATTTTTATCTATACCACGAAACGGCGCATGAATCAGCCGAAGCGTCGGCTCAGCAGCCAATCTGCCGGAGGTGACCGACCTATAGCTGAACATATATATATATATTTATATATAGGCTGAAGCTGTCGAGCGTCATTTGACACCTGTTCGGAGCTTTTTGGGGGTAAGCTTCGAGTTTCTGTTTGTACTTAGCTTTTGGGGTCTGAACTCTGAACTTTGTCTGGCTGAATGTTGTCTCATCTCGTCAAAATGTTGTCATTATTCAACAATAAACGTTTTTTTTTTTTTTGTTCCTTTTCTCAGTCAAAGGTTCGCCAGCAGCCAATTGGGTTATCGGGTAAATGTCAAGTGCCGGGCGAGTATTATGAAATATGCTCCGGGCAAAAGATTGCGGTGGAAACAAAGAAAGCGTTTAAATATAAGTCTTACAACAGACTTACGTAATTGCGTTACGAATTGCGATTCACGGTTTAGGGATATCAATTAAAATGTTACGTAACGTAAGGCTGTTACGTTATTGTTCCTGTATATCAACGTATCCACGATTTAAATGTTAATATATGCGGAAAAGTTCGGAGAAGAACAAAATCTGAGATACATAGATACTATTACTAATAGAAAGTCTGGTAAAGTGTAGATATTAATCAAATTAAACCGATCAGCTGTTGATTTAAAGAAGCGGTACTTTTGCCATTCAAATGTTAACGTCAACTGTCACTTGCTCATGGAATCGCCGAATGTGAAGTTTGCAAATGTAACGTATTGTGAGCATTATTCTTTAGACTAATTTGTTTAAATTGTCAATCTACTTTTCCTATTACAACTTTTCGTAGCAGGAAGAAAGCCTTCGCTCAGGCGAGCTTATACTGTACTTGCAGAAAAAATACTAAGCAAATGTTGATAGAAATCTTTGCTACGTCATCATCATGATTAATGCACTGTTCTTATACAACCTTCTCTTTGAGTAACTCTTGAGTTTCGAAATCTATGCAAAACAAACGCAAATTCGCTTCACTTAATCATTTTCAAGTCAAGCCCGTTTTTCGCTCTAATTCTAATTCTCTTTTCAAGCGTGGCTCCAATTCGCTCTAATTCGCATATCGAATTCGCTGTGCACTTACGGCGTGGAATTGTAGTGTTGTTTAAGCTTGGCATTCGCCTTGAGCCGCTCGACGCCATCTTGTGCGTTGCTCTCTTTTGTAGCGCGCTCTCGCAGGCTGCTGCCGGCGCTGTTGCTGCTGTTGTTGTTGCTGCCTGATTCGATGAGGGACATGCGTTTAAATGTGCGCGCCACGGTGCGTGCGCCGCCGACGACAGCGTCGCCTGCAGCATAGACAAAGCTGCGTTCGCGGGAACGGGACAGTGAGCGTGTGTTGTTCTGACGGCGTCTAACCACCGGCGGATGTGTGATATTGTTGTAATCGTTGCGCTCATTGAGCGCATCGTTCGCAGTGCTCTCATTGCTGTTGCTGTTGTTGTTGTTGTTATTGTTGTCATCAACAACGGGCGCTTGCAGTGAATCATTCGCCGCGCTGCGAATATCAACGCGCTCTGTCGCTGGCGTACCCTCGTCCGCGGCAAGATCCTGTTCAAAGTAGACGCTGAGTCGGCCATTGCTGCGCAGATTATCCCCAACATTCATAATTGTTTGCTTTACGTTAAAATTCGTTTTAGTTACACACAGCACCAACAAGAACAAAAAAAAAAGGGAAGATATTTAACACACGCGCCTGTCGATTGCATTCGAAATGCAAACAGAAACTGTAACTGTAACCGAAGCTGTAGCAATAGAGCTGTAAACTGTTAACGGTGCTTCTCTTCTTGTTGCTGCTACTCTTTGTTTTTATTTATTCTGTTTCGGATGCGCCGTCGCCGTCCGTCGCTGGTCGTGCTGTGCGCCAGCGTCTCGCGTTAACTGAAACGTTTAACAGTGCCGGCAACAGCAGCAGCAGCAGCAGCAGCAGCAGCAGCTACCATTACCATTACCATTACCGGCGTCGACGCTAGCAGCAGCAGCGTCGACAGCGGCAGCGGCAGCGTTTGTGCTGTGATATTCGCCGTTTGTTTATAACACGCGTCAGTCCGGGGGAGCGCAACAACAACAACAACAACAAGGAACAGGCTGCTGATCAACGCATGTTATACCCTCGACCGGCTGTTAAGCTTAACAGCGGTGAGCTAAAATATGATTGCATGCGCTGTTGTAAGCTCTGTTAAGTTGCTGTTACGCTTATTTATTAAATGTTTAATATATATATATATATGCGTTAAACATTATATCATTATTGATGGGCATTTAATAGATATGCTCTAATCTAAAACATTGCCAAGTTTCTTTACAGTTGCTGCCCATAAACGAGATACCCGTCCCTGGCAGCACATATGCTACAGGGCATATTATGAACATGTGAATGTGCTTTGTTTTGCTTTGTCTTTGCTTTTTTCTACTGTTTTCAGTGATTACAGACGCCTTGAGATAGCACTTGGTTCTATCACAATTAGTTAATTGTTAAATGTTTTAAATTCTGTTTGCAGTTTTCTTTGCCTTTTCAAATTAACGGATGAAGTGTCAATTAATTATTCAATTATCAGTTATCATTCGAAATTGTTCGAAGAGAGCGCGCGAGAGCTTCGGCTGCTTCTTATACTACTTATACATACATCGATTCTCTTATACTCTTACATAATCACGTGTATTTAAGTAGATTTTATCAATGGACTTCTTTGTCTTTGCCTCTAACATTGATAACAGCTTTCGAGTGGCGAGTGGCAGGTGAGATCAGGTGAGGGGGTGTGTGTGTGCGCGTGGGATAGTCCTGTAAAGGGCCATACTCTATGGGGCATGATTCATCGTGCAACACTTTCGAGTGCTCCATAAAATATCTGACATTGATTATGCGCTGGTGTTGACATTTAATTGTTTGTCCAATCGGCAACCTGTTGAGTCTCGCGTCCGCGTCCGCGTCTCTGACTCATCCAACGCCACGTCGGGGCGGGAGGGTTGGCCGCAGCTTTGGCTTAGCACTTACGCCGTAATGACTCATGGGTTCCTAGTAACACGGTTACAAGTCGGAGTGACAAACTAGATGTAAAGCATTTGCTCGCTAGCGAGTAGGAAAAGACGACTGTGACGACTACTCGCTGAAATGTTGGAACGAGTGACGACTATTCGCTGAAATGTTGGAACGAGTGACGACTACTCGCTGAAATGTTGGAACGAGTGACGACTATTCGCTGAAATGTTGGAACGAGTGACGACTATTCGCTGAAATGTTGGAACGAGTGACGACTACTCGCTGAAATGTTGGAACGAGTGACGACTACTCGCTGAAATGTTGGAACGAGTGACGACTATTCGCTGAAATGTTGGAACGAGTGACGAGTACTCGCTGAAATGATGGAACGAGTGACGGCTACTCGCTGAAATGTTGGAACGAGTGACGACTACTCGCTGAAATGTGGCACAAGCGATTACTACTCCCTGAAATGTGGCAAAAGTTCTTGCGTTTTCAATTGGAATGTGAATAGCCAGTGACGAACTATATTAAAAAATTGCTTAAAACTAGCGAGTGACAAACTAGTTACACACACTCGTCGGAAACTAACGAGACATAGCTTATAAAGTCGCTTGCAAGTTTCTCGATTTCTACAAGAGTTTGTTACGAGAAGTGGCAAGCAACCGTGACGCTTCAAAAACCAGCGAGAGCAAGCTACTCGCTTGTTTGCATTTCGAAACTAGCGAATGCTTACTCGCTCATGTAAATATTTGCTTCATGAAGCAGAGGGGCTTCAGGCTCAATACACAACTAAATGCTAAGCAAAGAAAAACGCGACTTATATTCTTTAAATAGTAACGAGTGGCGAGTAAACTACTCGCTTGGATAGCTTACAACATATGGCAATAGCATTTTAAGGAGTAAACTAAGCTACTAGCTCGTGTTACGAGCTAATTTTTTTTACATTTGGCGAGTAAGCAGTCAGCGAGTGATGCAACAAATTACTCGCTGGGCTAAGATACCAATCAGTCTAATGCAATCCGACTATGTTTATTGTAACTTATTTAAAACTTACTCGCTGGTAGTCTCTAGTCTTGTCTTAGGCTATCAATAGACTTGTTTGTCTGGGCAAATTGATAACGCTGTCGCAGCTGTCTGTAGCAGTAAACTATGTTGTTGAATGTCTGCCACAGACAGCTGCTGGCAAACACACACCTGCCTGACCCTGTTCGTAGGCCTTGGACGGCATTTAACGGGGGCATCGTATCGAACTTTTACGAGCTGAATACTTGGTCATTGACGATTTTAGATGTGTTCTAAGAAATGTACGGTTTATCAACGCAAGTGCCGCATCGTGTGACCAGCCGCCCACCTGACTGGCAAACAAAATAAAACCAACAACAACAACAACAACAAGAACAACAAGAAAACACATGCCCAGTGATAAGCCGTTAGCCAACAGGTGTGCAGAAACTGCGCTTTAGCTGTATCTTATCGACATATTGGACCAATTGCCAAGCCAATTACAAACACGCACACACACACACACGCACACGCACACACTCAAACAGGTAGCTAATTGGTGTGGCTCACCTGTGCTCCGGGCCGAATGTCTCCGGCAGGGATAACTGTGCAGCGTATTGCTGACGTCGCTGTTGCAGCTGTTGTTGCTGTTGTTGTTGCTGTTCGCTTAGAGTTGCTGCTGCTGCTGCTCTAGGGTTGTCACCAGCTGTTTGTCCTGCTGCAGGCAGCTGCTGCGCTGCCATGAAACCTGTTGCACGTGCATCGTTGCCGCATTTGCCGTTGCTGTTGCCGTTGCTGCCACCTGTTGCAACTGTGCAAACAACGCTGCTTGTCGATCTGTTGGTTAATCAACGCCAACGCGGCGCATGAGTAATGTGCCACAAAAACCAAAGCGAGCAATTCGCTGTGTGTGTGTGCGTGTGCGTGTGTGTGTGAGCGAAAACAGTTGCATGCTTTTAGGCGGCGACAAAAATAAAAACGAATTCGCCGCAAAACCAGCGCAAGTCGCGCCTTTGCTTTTGGCTATGCGTAAATGCGTGTGTGTGTGTGTGTGTGTGTGTGTGTATATGTGTGTGTGTGTGTATATATATATATTTTTCGTATGTCTATCTGTGTGTGTGTATAGTTTTCTTGCATGTATAGGTGTGTACAAAAGATATCGAAGTGGGCAAATTGATTAACAGAAAGTCCTCTTAGCTTCAATAACAGACAGGCGTGCATTACCCGGCCTTGCCCGGCCCAAGTTTCCTTATAAAAAAAATATTGAAAATTGGCAAAAATTGCAATTGCAACAATTCGCTTTATTATCTCCAAGTTGCCTTGGCTTATGTAAGCGACTCGCATGCATTATCCGGCCTTGCCCGGACCAATTTTTCTTCTTTCTATATCTATGTGCTTTCTTTATCGTAGACGCTTCTCTCCACCCACTCAGGTGTTTCGGGTACACCTTGATTCAACTATATTTATGAAAATGTATTTAAAAACGAGCAAAGTTTTCCACCCATTTTCCACGCTTGTGAGCGATTTCAAAAGTCGCGGAAGCACGTATTCAATTTGTCTGAACGCACAACCATTTTCTTTGGAAATAAGTGTGAAAAATGTCTCAGCTGAAAAACTTCAGGAACTGAGCTTCAACTCGAAATTTGGCACATCCAATATTTACGCCCATTTTCCACATATAAAGGGCGGTTTTGGCTTAAAGTGTGCAACAATTCTCAAATGAAGTTCGAGGCAGAAGAAACCCTTCCACGAGTTTTCCACAGATGCGGGTGGATTTGAGGCATCCAATTTTGAAGCGTGTGAAATGCTTCTCTATTTCCCTGTCTGAAATCCCCACAGAGTTGAGCTTTTTCGCAGAAATTTTGCTAGAGATGCTGCATATTTGTTCCACTCCTTTTTATCGGACTAAATCGGAAGTGAATTGAAAAGTTGTTACGTTTATGCTCATTCTATATTCATGAATTGCAATTAGATATTCGCTTTGCTAATTGAGGCGAAGAGCGTGCAGCACGCAAACAAATTAGGGTCGAGCAAGTTTCTCAATCAATCCATTTATCCATATGCATATATATGGACATTGATACCCTATAAATCGTTGCTCGTGTTAAGTTTGATCCGATTATCGGACCATAAATGCGTCATTTGCATTGGCATCGATTTCGTCTCCTGAATTATTCAAGCGCATTGAGACTTTGCCGGATGTCCATACCCTGGACTGCCCCCTCGCCGCATCCTGTTGTGCCTGGCGGGCATCGATGACAGTTGTGGCTGCATATTTCATGAGCTCTTTACCGACGCGAGCAACTGCCCCACAAATTGGCTAATTTGCCGAGCAGGGAGACGCTATTTGCTGTATTTTTTGCCCATAATTCGTTTTATTCTGAGCCAGATGTTAAAAACTTTCACGAGCATTATGATAATTGCGAATTTCTGAGAGGGTGCAACTCTGGCAGGCCGTGTGAAAGTCGCAAGGCTGGAATATTTAGAAAGAAAGGTCTTTAGATATTGTAGAAGACCCTAGAACTGCAATTATTTACAAGCCTGGGCAACTCTGGTAAGAAATGATGACAACCCTTTTAAAGAAAGGTATTCAGAAATTATTTCACACCTTTTGAAGTGCAATTAGCAAGAAAATACGTTGACAACCCTACAAGAGAAATGTATTCAGACCTTTAAAATACAATTATTTACAAGCTTAGGTAACCCTAAATAATGATTCTTAAAGAAGACGACAGCCCTTTTTGAAAAGGTGCTTAGAAATTATTGTAACCATTTAAAGTACAATTATTTACAAGCTTAGGTAATCCTAGCAAGAAAATGTGATGCTCAGAAACGTTGACAACCCTTTAAGAGAAATGTGTTCAGATCTTTAAAATACAATTATTTACAAGCTTAGGTAACCCTAGCAAGAAAATACGTTGACAACCCTACGAGAGAAATGTATTCAGACCTTTAAAATAAAATTATTTACTAGCTAAGGTAACCCTAGCAAGAAAATATGATGCTCAGAAACGTTGACAACCCTATTAAAGATAATTGTTCAGATTTTATTGTAGACTCTATCAAAACAATTATTCAAAAGCTTTGGTAAAAATGGCCTTCAAAAACATTGACAACCCTATTAAGATCGGTATTCAGCAACTTTTGTAAACATTTGAGATTAAAGTATTTACAAATTTAAACAATGCGACAGCCGTTTTTCCAAAACTGTGGCTACCCTGGTGTAAAGTTGAGTCTTTGAACAGCTTGGCAACCCTTAAAATTGAAAACTATCGAAAATGTTTAATTAAAAACCTTGCAAAGGGTTTCGTTGGTTCAAACCCAAGCTTTGAGGCTCGCTGACAAAGTAAACTTTTGCCCAGGCAAAGCTAAGAAGGAGTTCTTTTCGGAGTAAGAGAGCTTGGACTTGGTGGAAATCTAGTCAGCTTTTGGTTAACAATCGAGCCGTACGTCAGCTGCGACATTTACGGATTGTCAGTTGCTTTTGGGGAACAGCACACAGAGCACTGGCATAGTGTAATAAATTTAAGTTGTAAACGTGTTTCAATTCAATTATTTTTTTGTTTTTTTTTTTTTTACATATTTAGTTTTAAAATTTGTTGCAAAAAGTGGCAGAGCCCAATTTAAATTCAAGATCATAGAGGAAAAGTTGAAAAGACAAAAAAAGAAAACCAAGTTTAATAACAAGAACCAACAAAAGATTTGCGCGGGCAAAAGCAAAAAAGCAATAAGGCAAAAGGAACGAAAAGGAAGAGCGCAGGCCCAAAAATGCCGAAACAGTCGAGCAGCGTGAAGAGGACCTCGCTCAGCGCCGTGGAGCAATACGAGCTGAACCAATGGCTCGAGGAGAACCGCATAAATTCATCAAATTTGCGACGCTCGTTTACGGACGTGCTGCCGCTGGCCCGGCTCATGTCGCGCTACTATCCGGATATGATTGATCTGAACTATTATCCGCCGCGGAACAGTGTCCAGAATAAGCTGTGCAATTGGGAATCGTTCAATAAGCGTGTGCTGGCACGGCTCGGCCTACAGCTGACACGCGATCAGATGGTGCGCGTGGCACGCAGCGTGCCCGGCTCTGTTGATCTCTTGCTGTACAGCGTGATGCGTGTCCAGATGGCGGCGGAGCGCAAGGCGCGCGAGGAGCGGCCCAGCAGCGGGGACGACGACGACATGAACGTGGACGAGAAGCAGTCGGCCGGCCAGCCGGATGACACAAAGGATGACAGGGCCGGCATCAAGCCAATGGGCGTGGCCGTGGATACGGTTAACCGGAGCCTGAAGCAGACGCCGGCGTTGCCATTGAAGCGTGCTGCCGCTGCAGCGGTGAGTGTGAAAGCAGGTGTTGCACGCGGTGGTGGAAGTGGAGGTGGAGGCGGAGGCGGCGTTGCATCGACTGGTCGCAACAAGAGGCAACAGCTGACAATGTCCGGGGCCAGCAGCCGGGAGCTGAGCCATACGCAGCGGCAAAGAGGTGAACAACTTTGTGAGCTACCCAAACAACGTATGGTACTTTATTCCATCTATATGCAGGCCGTCAATCAGTTGCAGCGAAAAAACGTTAAAATCGAGCGTTTCAATCAGTGGAGCGCCCATCTGGAGAACATGCTGCAACTGAAATGCGAGCGCATCGATGAGCTGCAACGTCAGGTGGCCGTTGCCGCGCTCTCGTGTCGCCACAAGCCGTTCCGCATGGGCCATCGGCGGGTGAGGCTCAAGAAACGCAATATGCAGTTGGCCAATACAATTGGCGGCATGCTTAAGGCGGCCGTCAAAAGGTTATAGTACCACACACACAGAGACACACACACGCACACATGCACCCAAACATGCCCAGAGAGACATCCCTCACACTTCTCACATAGTTAGCCTATAATCATGTTGCATCTGTTCGGCAGCTCGTACTTTGCGCTGCTTCCTTTGGGTCCATTAATGCCATTTGATTTGTGATAACCCTTTTAAGCAAACGCCACGTTGGATTCTACACACACTCACACACACACACACACACACACACACGATTTCGGCCAACTCGAAATTCTTGAAGAAGAGACAAAAACAAGACAGCATATATATATGTATATATATATAATGCTACCAAGTGTATTTCAAATAAATTAACCCATTCATTAAATTCGTTTGTAATTCTCACGGAGTTTTAGCATAAATGTGAACAAGTGTCGTGGAGCTTTTGTGAAAGCTCAGCGCAAGCGAAAGCTCAGCACAAGCGGAAGCTCAGCCTACGCGAAAACTCATCTGAAGGGAAAGTCCAGCTTAAGCGAAAGCTCAGCTTAAGCGAAAGCTCAGCTTAAGCGAAAGCTCAGCTTAAGCGAAAGCTCAGCTCAAGCGAAAGCTCAACTTAAGCGAAAGTCCAGCTCAAGCGGAAGCTCAGCTTAAGCGAAAGCTCAGCTCAGCTTACGCGAAAGCTCAGCTCAAGCGAAAGCTTTAGGAATACGTTTTAGAAAATGTATTGCTCTATGAGCCACATCCAAAGAAGCATATAGCTTTATCTTGCTGCTCCTGCTTAGAGCATTGACCCATATGTGCTTCAAGAAAAAGTCGTGATACAGCTTTTGGCTTCACCCCACAACAAGTTTATAGGAAATGCAGTCCTGAATAACTCTGGTGTTTATTGTTCGATCGTAATGAAATTTTCAGGAAACATATATGAAAACCAAATATGCGCAAATAACAAAGCACAAGAGAATAGCTCGACAAAGTTTTCTCTTTGGATACGAACGCGAAATCAAACTTATTGGCGCTGGCTGGTTCTGGTTTCGGGGCACGTTTTTGGCCTGAAACGGAGCAAACGCTGCGTCAGTTTTCAGAGAGTGTGGTTTTTATTTATTTATTTTTTTTTTGAAGCTCACTCGAAAACATTCCGAGCTCAATATCATAATATTCAGTGTGTATTAACCTATATATATATATATCAATATATATATTTATTTATTAAATATTCTGAACTAGAAGAAACGACGTGCCGGGCGTCCGGTAGCGCCTAGCAGCATGCACACAATTACCAGCAAGAGCCTCAACAGCGAGGAGATCGCCGAGGTGCACAAATGGCTACAGCAGAACGAAATCAATACAAATCGTTTGCGTCGCGAATTCTCTGACGTATTGCCGCTGGCGGAGATGATGAAACGCGATCATCCGCGTCTGGTGGATCTCAATAATTTTCCAAAACGCAGCAGCGTTCAGCTAAAGGTTGCCAACTGGGAGACGTTCAACTACAAGGTGCTGACCAAATTCAATTTAACATTGAGTCGCGATTTCATTGAGCTACTCTCAACTGGCGCACACGGCGCCGCCGAGGTGCTGCTGCACGAGATAATGCGCCTCAAGAAGCGTCAGCGTGTCGTTGAGACACGCAATGCGATATTGGCACAGGAGCAAATCTGGGAGGAGAACGATGAGGTCAAAACTGTGGTTGTCAATAAACAGGTGGGCGATGGCATTGTACAGGTGCCGCAAAAGATGATACTCTATTCGCTGTACGAGAAAATGGCGCGCGACAATCTGGCCAAGGAGGCGATCATTGAGTCGACACAGAAGCGTCTGGCCCACATGGAGAACATCATCAAGGTGAAGACCGAACGCATCGATGAGCTGCTCATGCAGATGGGCAAGCCATCCAATAAGCTATGCACCAGTCCACGTCTGCAGTGTTCCAGCGCCACACGGGTCCCGTCCACATCTCTGATCAGTTACGAGGCACTCGGCGCCATACGCAAGCGGCATCCCAATACGCCCGCCTCATCCGACTAGAGCTCTAGACACGCGCCCCTCGCCTGTTTTCAGTTAATTATCACACACACACGCACACACACACACACGTCTCATATATATATTTATTATTGGCGTAAAGCGAACCGTGGTAAGCGCAAGTTCGACAAATGTTGCATTCCCAGTGAATATCTTGCCCAGATTTCCTTTAAATTGTATTTCCCAGTTATTTTCAATTTCATGTCTCGGAACACTTCACTCTTCCACGCTCCCACTCTCGCACTCTCTCTCTTGCTTTTTTTTCCAGGGTATCAGTTTTCAAATTTTGAGCGAGCTAATCAAAATTTTAACAAAAACATTCTCAAAAATTGTAGTCGATAACGTAAATGTGTTCTGTGCTCCAAAAGTAAAACATCGCGTTTTATTTCCCCGACTTTTCCCCCCAAGACTTTTGCTTTTCTTTTCTCAATGTATGGCAAAATATGCTCACACATCACACATCTTCCATTAAGTTTGTTGGACTTGCAGCAGATATCCTTACTCTATCTTGTTTGCTTTTCAGCAAATCTGTGAGAATCTGTGGGATTTCGGTCTATCCCAACTATCTTGTTTATTTGGCTTATGTTTATCTCTGGGTTTCTGGGCCTTAACTTTAATATGCGTACCTGGCCTTGAGCAAAATGCGTTGCTTGCCTCTCTGCTGGCAGCTGACCTTTGACTCCGCCCCTGGACTGCTGTTGTTGTTGTTGTGGCGATTCCAGCTGCTGGGATGGCTTACAGTTAGGCTCTGGGCGAGACAGAGCAGAGCGCTGCCGCTGCCGGTGCGATACATTTGCTTGTTTTTGGCTCCTCGGGGGGTTTGTTTACGAGATCACGCGCTCTAATTTGCAGCTTAATTAAATTAAGCTTTATGGACGTGCCCCTATACATATATATATTTTAATATGTGGCACACAATTCAGCATATGTGAGTTTGGCCCCGCCTCCACCCCCCCCCCCCGCCGACCGTCTTGAATTACAGGTGTGAATTAAATGCCAATGCGAATGTATTCGAACATGTGTATTCAGATTATTCGTGTGCCAATTGACCACTTCAGTTTTAGCTTAGCACGGCACAAGAACACGACGCTGACTGTTGGCCCGAAAGTGTCCAGGCAGCAGTTTTATACGAAACCTGTCCGGGTCGTCCCAATGCCAGGGTTGCAAACGGCAAGGCACCATGGCAACTGTAGGATGAGTCATCGTCTTGCTGCGGGAACACTTCAGCTGTGTTTTGTGCCCAATTTCAGGTGCGCAGCTCAAGTACTTTGGTAGCTATGGGGCTGAACCGCTTGTGAACCGGTTCAGAGAAATTTAAATAACAACTGTAAGCGAATCTAAGCTAACAAGATCATTCAGATGAGTTTATTTGCTAGGCACACAACAATTAAGTATCAAAATTTCAATACTTTCAGTGATTTTAGGTCGAACCACATTTGAACCGGTTCGCAGAGAATGGGCAAAAACCTGTTCAGTTGATTACCCAAGCTGTTGACGAGTGATTTAAATACAATGTCTATTAATTCTCATCAATACAGCACAAATACCTTCGAAGATATTAAGCTGAACCACATTTGAACCGGTTCGGAGCGCATAAACTTTAGCTGTTGAAGAGCACCGTTCGGTAAACAAGCTCGTTGAGGTTGATTACACCAACATTCCATTCAAATAACTATTTCATAGCACATATTTGTATAGAAAGATACAAAGTAAAACCACTTTTTGAACCGGTTCGGCGAGAAGAGGCATACGCTTTTTCAGAGCAAGATTCGGGGTGATAAAATAAGTATGCCAATATAGCTTTAGGCAATATAGAAATTTCGGTGAACCACTTTTGAACCGGTTCGCCAACCATTAAAGTTGGATTTTCTTGTCAGCTTTTAGAATACAAACTCTGAAAATGATCAGATAAACGCAAAACTCTCGAGCCCATGAACTCGGATCGACGTGAACCACTGAACCGTCTTGAACCACAAACAAAAGGTTCACAACTTGCGCATCACTTAATGTTTATTTTGGTCTTTTTTAGGGCGCAAGCACGCCCGAATCAATTGACGGCTGTGCAAATTCTCACGGCCCTGGCCGTGAAATTTTTGCGAATTGCATTCTCCGCTTGATTTGTGTTAAGCCGAATAAATGTAAATACGAACTGGCCAGAGCTGTCAGAGGAGTCAGCTCTGCTGCACACGAGCACAAGTATCGATTTCCAGAGTACGGCCCGAGGAGCTTATGCAACACGCATTTGCCACATGCATTATCATATAAACGAGCAATTATGCACACATATGTGTGCACTGAGAGAAAATTCATTGAATATGTAAGCTTACTCAAAATAAAAGTGAACTTTGCTTGCTTCCTTTAAGTTGAAAGAAGCGCAAGGGCAGGCAGCATTTGCCCTGCTGATTATAATCGGACTGTGAAGTCCGATCTTTATGCAATTTTTGCGCCTTAAATATATTCAATTGCAGTCTCTGCGAATGACTACGAATACTGAATATAGTCAAATCATAAATGAAATGTAGACAAAGTTTTAGACGAATATTTCAACAGTTCAACATTGCAGCATATGCTGTAGATCGTTTCGCTCAGTGTAGGCTTCGGACCCCTTGCAATAGCATAGCTTGAGCTGGACAAGGGCAAAGTTTATTAACCCATTGTGGCCCCATGGGGGCGGGGTAGGGCATGTGGGCGGTCGCCAAGGCAAATGCAACGCAAATTGCAACCCCCCCCTCTCCCCCCTTCACCCAGCCGCCCCTATATGCTGCGGGTCAGCATAAAAAATGTCATGCCTTGCGGCTATAAGAGTTTTTAGCCAAGCGGGAAGGCGGTGCGAGGCGTGGACAAATGTC